TAAATTATTATTTTAAGCATATTATTTTTAATATTATTAAACCTAAGCTTTATAAATTTAAATTTAAAGCTAAAGTTATTTATTTCTTAATTCTCCTTTAATTTAATTGCTTTTCTTTCCTTTTTATTTAATTCTTCCTTATAATATATTAATTCTTAAGATAAAATTTAATATAAAAGTATTAAAAAGTATTTATATTTAAGCTATATTAATTATTAAGATAAAGTTGCTTTATAAAATATAAGTTTGCTTGTTATTATATACTTTAAGGCTAAGGCTAATATGTTAATAAATATATGCTAAAAGTAAATTATAATTGCTGCTATAATGAAATTTTATATAAGGCTTGTTAATTAGCTTATTTAGATTTTTTAATAATTAATAATGTTTAAAAATATATAGGTTTTTATAAGTATTTTAAAGGTTAGTTTTAAAGACCTTAAGGTTTGTTGTGTTAATTAAAGTAGCTAGTACTTTTATAGCTATAAGCAATCCGCGCTTTAAGGTCCCTTTTAATTATAATTTTTATTAAAGGTTATAAATTATTTTATATAGCTAATAGTATAATATTTAGGTTAAATGGAAATTAATAATGCCTTTAAGCGCTTACTTAAAACCTTACTTTAAATATAGCCGCTGGTTTTAAGAGTAGCGTTTCCTTTCTTATTATTAATTAAGATTTCGGATTTTACTTAGCTAGCGGCTTATAGTTTAAATGCTTAGGGTTTATAATTATTATTAAGGATTTACTTTAAGAAATTTAAATAATTATAATAAATTTATTGAAAGTTTTATAAGCTTAATAATAAGCTAAGTTAAGTAAATAGGATTTTATAATAAGCTATTTATAAGCTGCTTTTTTAATAGCTAATAATTATCTTAGTAAATCTTTTTGCTTTTTTTATAACTAAGAAGGGAGTTGGCTTCTTTATATGGCTGGCTATATTAAAAGATAAATGGGTTAAAGTTTATAAGAATTTTATTACCCTTAGTATGCTTAATATAATTAAGGGCTTAATAGTTATAATAATTAATTATTATTATTATAATTATAAGAAAGTAACTTTATTAAGAATATTTTAATAATTAAAAAGTAATAATAATAAAGGCTTTTAAATATTTAAGTTAGCGGTTAATGCTTAATTAATGCTTATAAAATATATAAAAAGGAATAAATAATAAAGTTATAAGGGCTAAGCTTAAAGTAAGAATGAAAGGCAATAAGGCTTAATATTATTTATTAAGTTTTATAAAACTTACTTTTCTTAGGTAAGTGCTTTAAGCTAATGCATTAACTAAGCTGCTTTTATTTATTACTTTTTTTATTAAGAAAGTTAGCTTTTAACTTTTAATTTTAACCTTTTAACTTCTTTACTTTTATTAAATTTATAATAGCCTTATAATAAAGATTAAGCCTTAATTTTTTTATTATAATTGCTTCCTTCTTAAATATCTTTACAATTAATATTATTATTATAGCAATATTATAACTACTACTTTTTAATAAGCTTTTCTTAAGATTACCAACTTATTTATACTTTATATATTTATTATTAACTTTTATATAACTTTAGCTAGCCTTTAATTTACTTGCTTTATAAAAATTATAAAGAGTTAAATTATGCCTTGCTTAATAATTTTTTATTTAATATAAGTTTTATAAATATAAAGACTTATTTAATATCTTATATATTTGCTGCCTTAGCTTAGGAGTAGAGTTTTACTTATTTAATATTTTTATTTGCTTTATAAGTTAAGGCTATATAAAATTTAACTTTAAACTTTTTTACCTTTCCTTTTTTATTACTTTAGCTTTTTTAAGTTTAAGCTAACTTAGCTTTATTAAAGTATAAAGTTTAATTAAAAGGATATAAAAGTCCTTAAAAATAATCTTATGCTAAGCAATTAAATATAAACTTTTAATAATATAAATAAAAAGTTAAGCCTTAATATTAATAAGATAATAATTAATAAAAAGATAACTTAAAACCGCCTTAAACCCGGCTTATATAAATAATAAGTAGCTAATAATAAGGCTATTATAATTTATAATGCAAATAATGCTCTTAAGTTTATTTATAAATATAATATTAATTATAATATTATTATTAATAATAGCTTGTTTTTATCTTAAAAAATTCTACCTTATTAATAAATAGTTAATAGCCGTAATTTTAGCAAAGTTAAAGATTTTATGGAAAAGCTTTAAGATATATATACCAGCCTTAATAATAAGTCTTATAACTTAAAGTTTTTAAATTTTTAAAATATATATAAAGCTAAAGGCTATTAAAAGCACTTTATTATTAAGGTTTAGGAGAAGTTTAATAACTAGGTAAATAAAAACATAGTTAATTAAGCTAGGGTTTAAAAGTAGCGTTTAATTTTATAACGTATAGGATATTAAATAAGGAGATTTATTTAGCTATTAATAATGGAAAACATTAATACTTAAATCTTTAAAAAGGTGCTTAAGAAGAATGATTTGCTTCTTTATTTATATGCTATTAATTTCTTTAATAATCTTAAGGATTTAAAATATAACGTTAAGAATTATAATAAAAAGCTTATATAAAAGCGTAAAATAATAAATATATTATACTTTAACGCTAAGTTTAAACTAATAATTAAGGCTAAAAAGAATACAACCCTTACGTTGCTAAAGCTTATAAAAAAGGCAAACTTTAGCAATAAGTATACTCTTAATAAATATAGCTTTTATTTATTAATAAAGAATATAGCAAATAAGGATAAGGTAAAGCCTCCTATAAAATCCAGCAATTTTAAAGCTAAGGCTATTAAGAAAAAGGAAATAAAATATAAGAATATTAAGAATATTAATAAAAAGCCTTTAAGAAATAATAATAATAATAAGCAATTAATAAAATTAACGAAATATAAAGCTATATATAAGTTAATTATAAGTAATAAATATGCTTATATAAATATTAAGGAATTGCTTAAGGATAATAAGAATAAAAACCTGCTTTTTAAAAAAGCTAAAAAGGTTTTCATTTTAAATTTCTTAAAGGAAAATAAACTTAAATCTTTCTCTTTTTACCTTTATATTATATTAAAATATAGTTAAGCATTTCCTAAAGCTTATAATCTTACTAAGCATATTAAACTTTATTATTTAAAGTTTGCTATACTTAAGCTTAAAAAAACTTATAATTAATTTATTAACCTTAAAGCTAAAGCTAAGAAAATTATTAAGCTTAAGAAACTTACTAAGCTTAAAAAAATCTATAATTAATTAATTATAAATAGCTTTAAAGTTAAGGCTAAAAAGAATAATATAATATTTAAGCTAATTAATAATAATAAATTAATTATAGCATAACTTAAAGTAAATAAAGTAGGATTTAAGCTTAATAATATAAAAATAATTATAAAAATGGTTAAGGAGGTTAATAGCTTTTAAAAAGCTATAAGATTTTATAATAAGCAGCTTATAAGTAGTGGCCATTAAGGTTGCTTTAAAATTAATAAAATTAATGGGATTAATAGCTATTAAATTTTATAAGTAAAATAATATTAGTTTTGCATTACCTTAATATTTTAAATAATAAATTATTAATTTCCTACTTAAGAAATATACTATTAATAATCTTAATATAATATAAAGATTATATCTTTTTTTTTAGCTATATAAGTATTTTATATATATTTCTTTTAAGTTTTTAAAAGCTTAAAGTATAAGCTTTAAGCTAAATATAATTTAGCTTTTAAAATACAGCTTATATATTTATATTATATAACATTTTTTTTAATTAAACCCTCCCCCTTCCTTATCTTTATTCCTTACATTAAGTATATTATAAATTCTTTATTAAGGCTTCCTTTTATATAAATAAACTAGCGTCTTAAAAGCTATTTAATTAAAACTTTAATAATCTTAATTAAGTATTTATAATAAGTATTGCTAAATTAAATAGAAATTAAATTAATATTACAATAATTTTATTAAATAATGCATTATAAAACTTTTATTCTTATATAAATATATTATATTTTAAGAAACGCTATATAAAAATTAATATTATATATATATATAATTATGCATAGCATAATAAATGCATATACTTTAAGAAATAAACCCTTATACTTAAACTTATTAATATTATCTTTAAATATTTATAACTTAAATCTTAGCTATATATTTAAACTTTAATTTTATATACTTAGCGCCTAATATAAGTATTTTAACCTTTCCAAACTATAAGTACTTAAATATTTTTATGCTTAATTAACCTTACATTCTTAATATTTCTCCTTAATATTATTTTACTTACTTAATATTACTTATATTAAACGCTTACCTCCTTTTTATTATATAGCTAGCTTTAATTTTATATAGCTATATAATAAATAAACTTAAAACATATATTATTAATATATATTGCTATTTAAGAAATCCATGCAATTTACTTAAATGCTAAGATATTAAAGTTAACTTACTTTAAGATAATATTAATATAATTATAAGCTATTTTTAAGATAAAATTATCTTAATATTTTAAAATTATTATTTAATATATTAAGATATATATATATAGCCGTTATTATTGCTTACTTAAAATTATTTATTAACCTTAATTTATAAATAATATTATACTATATTATAATTATTATATTTATATAAAGTTAAATTTAAAAGGATTTTAAATATAAATATTATTACTTAAATAATTCCATTTTAGCATTTAAAATCCTTTTATAAATATATTTAAGATAATATATTATTATAATTTAAAATGGTATTAAGGTTAACAGGGTATTAATATACTATAATATAATGGCTTAAGCTAATATAATGCTACCCTTAATATGCTATTTCTTTACTAATATATATTATTATAAATAGCCTTATAATAGCTTAAAGGCAGACTTTAGCTATAATTTCTAAATTTTAATTATCTTTTAACATTATGTCCTAAAAGGATTACATTGCATGATTTAATTAAAAACCCCCCTTCCCCCTGGTAGGAATAGAGGAAATGACAACTGTTAAAGCTCAATCGGATTCGAGGTCCGTCTGCCTATCGTCAGACTTGATTCGCTGTTGCTGATGTCTACAGTGACCTGATGTCTTCAGGTGCTAAGCCTGACAGCATGATCGGGGCCGCCAACCAAGACATAGAAGCCTCACCACAGATGGAAGGCTCACAAGGCAAGGAACCCAGCAAATGTCGGCCACGGATCAGGTACCGAACAGAGCTTCGTCATCGTGTTACAGGCGACTTGATCCATCGATCCGATTCAGATAAACCCCAACAACGAGAACTCCGAGTCGAGAACCAGGACAATCAACCAATCTTCGAGCTCATCACACGGTACGAGACAGGGGGATCTAAGCTCGAACAGGCCCGGGAAGCTCTGCAAGAACCCTCGGAGGGCCAGCTTCTGGATTCAGCTCCATCTTACTCCTTGCGAATTTATTCCTCGGCCATACTCAATGCACTACGGTCCGTCGTCCAATACTATCCAAGCCAGGATCTCACGGGGTCTACCATAGAAATCAAATGGCCTTATCCCATCCTTGTACACCACTACGATGTGCTGCAGAAGTTCAGGGCAAACTGCGACGCCAAAGATCCCGATGAGCTTTGTGCCCGTGAGAAAGACGCATCCGCTCATATTGCACATCTTCTTAGATTCCTGGATGACAATATTATGGAAAGGGTCTGGGCAGAGGAGGAACGCGTCAAGAAAGGCTTCCACACGTTCGATAATCTATGGATTAATTTCAAGCCCGGAAGTACCGTCTTGTTCCGCACCTTGCAATCAGAATGGGAAGCCATGGTCGTCTCCCATGTCACGGGTGGCATCTACCAGAACCCGACTGCCCCTTGGAAGGTGAATGGGTGGCAACTAGAGTTCGACGGAAAATACCTCGGGCGACGCGTTGGTGAAATCACACCATTCCCATTTGATGGTGAAAAGAGTTTCAAAGTGGACACGATATTCGTCCCCGATCGTGACCGGATCGAAAACGAAGAGGCAGAAAAACTCATTAACTATGGGAAAATGTATTGGGGGCTTCTGATGAAGCAGTGTAGACAGCACAGGGGCAGATCTGTGGTCCACCCATACAACGAGGTAAGAGATGCCCCCTCTCTTCGGAGTCCATGTAGGCGTATGTGACTAATGATGGCTAGGTTGATGGCCTGGTCATGGCCGATCTAGAGACTTTTTACGCCTCCACCAACACTCGCCGACCGAGCCTGCTGCCTCAAGAGAGTGATTCTCGAAAGTTCTATTCTGATTGCACATGCAAGATCTGCCAGAAAAAGACAGCAGCCGGCAAGGGAGACGTGAAGTCCATATTTGACGATTACAATTTGATCGTGCCAAGCGAAGCCTACGAATTAAGTCGCCACATGTATCTCCTCTGTCCAAAGGAGCTACCCGCATTTGTGTTCAAGTCGCGAGTATGGGGTGAGTTTTGTTGCGCAATAGTCTACTCACCGTCATCAAGATGACTGACGAGATGAATTCAGAGTGGCTGCACGTGAAGAATTTCTACGCACCTGAATTTCAAAACGACATGATCGAGGACCTCGTGATGGACCAGGCCAGGATCAAGATGCTCAAGGCGCTGGCTAAGAGTTATATCCGCGTCAACAAGCGTGGAGATCAAATCGAGCATGAGCCATGGGCCGCGGACTTTGTCAAGGGCAAGAGGAACGGGCTCATCTTCCTTCTACATGGGAAGCCGGGTGTCGGAAAAACCGTGACAGCAGGTAAGTATGACATCGCATTCGTCGGGTGGAAGCTACTGACGCCGATACGCTTTTCGCAGAGTCCATAGCTGAATACACCAAGCGGCCACTGATGATTATAACAAGCAGCGACATCGGCACCAATCCGTCGATAGTGGAAGCGAATCTGACGGGAAGCTTCAAGCTCGCGAAGAGCTGGGGAGCAGTCATTCTCATTGATGAGGCAGACGTGTTCATGGAGAGACGAGGACCGGCTGACCTGGAAAGGAACAGCTTGGTGGCTGGTCGGTGCTCTATTTATTGTAGAAAACACACGCAAGCTGACTGGCGCCCAGGTTTTCTCAGGGCCCTCGAGTTCTATGATGGTATCTTGTTCCTGACTACCAACAGGATTGGAGCATTTGACGTATGGCGTTCCCAAGTTACAGAATACCAGCGATGAGAGATGAGCACTGACACGCGCCGAAGGACGCCTTCATCTCACGGATCCACGTGCAGCTGTTCTACCCCGACTTCACAGACGACGAACGACAACAGGTCTGGATGACATTCATGCAGAAGCTGACCAAGGATCGCGGCAAGTTTATGCGGATCAGTATGGACGCCAAGGATTATATCAGGGGCAACGAGGTCCGCTCCGTCAAATGGAACGGGAGGGAGATACGCAATGGTGAGCTCTATAGCAATTCCACTGCGCTGTGAAAAGAAACTAATGGAACCTCTTAGCTTTTCAAACTGCCGTCTCTCTTGCGGAGTACGAGGATGAGAGAGACGAAGAGGGCAAGATCCTGCTTACCGACGAGCACCTGAGATCAGTTGTCGAGCTGTCAAGGGATTTCAAGGATTACCTCAGTAAATTGCACAAGGGGGACGAAGAGAAGCGAGCGCTCAGAAGGTACGAGAGGCTTGATACCTAAGGATATTGGGCTTGCAAGAGTGGATCAGCCAAGACATCAGGCCATCGCGGGGTGACTAGCTTGGAGCATATGGCAACAGCTCACAGCAAGGCTTTCGTGATTCTGGTTTGCAGTGTGTATATTGTCATTCAGTCTACGTCGATCGATTCCAATGGAACTTCCGAAGCGCCCCTGTTGACATCCCCGACCAACACCTTGCGCAACCACCCCCCTCGCACCCCCAAGCCGGCCAAAAGAAGAGAACAATTTAGAGTAAGAAATGGGTATCGATAGTCGTATGTGTTTTCCCGTCGCTCATCCCGTGTCAAAAATGCAAGTCAATCTGTGAAACCTCCAACGGGCCGCTTTCCGGCACAAACAATTCCAAACGCCGGCCAACCGCCTGAAATGCATCCCGGTTGTGAGACTTGGGTCTATGAAGAACATGAAGAAAAGACAAGTGCAACGCGCTCCAACCGGGGCTCGCGGTGCGTGCACGCGCAGAAAAGACCACGCCCGGCTCAGAAGACCGAGGCGCGCTTCCACTTGGCGCTCCTCTTCCGCTTCGTCGAGTTCTCGTGCAGCCACTCGACGAGCCTCTCCTTGTCCTCTTCGGGCAGGTCAGACACGCTGTCGTTCAGGAGGTCAAGACAGCTGCGCGATGCTACACAACAAAGGCACGTCAGTGAAACGGGCCCCCATAGAAAATGAGGGAGAAGGGAACGAGTGAGTGCTCACGGGCATATCTGCCAACATCAACCCCCATCTCCAACTCCAACAGCGCAGCGGCCATGCGCGCGCTGTTGTAGCAGTGGAACTCGCGCTGGATGTCGAGCATGCGCCTCCACAGCCCGGCGTCGTCCAGGTCCTCGCCCGCGGTCGGGTCCAGGTGCCAGGTGCGCGTGGACGATGACGTCTTGCGCGGCGATGGGACAGTCGAGATGATGGAGTGGCGCTGGCTCTTCGACTTGGTGCATGAGTCCATCACCAGGGGCTGCTGCTGGGGCTCGGGCGGCGGGGACGAGCAGGGGGTGATGGCGTCCTCGTCGTCGCTGAAGGAGGCCTTGGCTGTGATGGAGCGGCGGCCGCTTCTTTGGAGTCGTTGTGATAGTGCCATATTGTGTGGATTGATTTGGACGTTTTTGAGGTAGAGTCGACGATTGGCGAATTTTCTTTCCAGCGAGAATGCTGAAATTCCCAGGTTGTTGGGTTGTTATTGTGTTGCTATGGTGGATATAAGTCCCAGGGCGACCCGAATTTCCAAGCGGAAGGATTTTTTTGGGGGTCGTCAGCTTTCTTTTTATGGATCGGCGCGTATGCAGGTCGACAGCGCCGCAGTCAGACGTGGGTGGTAGAGCGTGTATGAGTTTGCTTATTATCGCAGAATCCAGCGAGGCAGGGCATGCATGAGTCAGGCCGCGACGGAGGGCTGCCGAGGGGGGCCTATTACTTATATATAAAAGTGACAAATGTGTGAGTGGGTGCGTGTGCGTGTGTGTGTGTGTGTAAGGTGGTCTAGAGCGGGTTGCAGCGTGATCTCGTCACTGTGGTTGCATTCAAGGCCCATGTGCGTGCGCTCGCTTTGTGCGAGTGTGTGACGGCGCTGCTCGCTTCTTATCCTGCAAGCGTTGGCCTGAGTCAAGGCCTGGTTGTCCGGCCGTCTTCGCGGTGCTCCTGTCAATGCGCTGCACTACCACAGCACAGAATGCGATCATCTACTCCGTCTCTGTGACTACGGTGACTCCCTTGTTGCACACCAACAGCGCTACATGTAGAATAGGGTGTCGTCTGGGGTGGGGTTGGGCGCTCATTTGAGTGGGTGCCACAACCCGGCATATCTGCGGGAGGTGAGAGCCTTGGATTGACAGCTCACAGGTGCGATGCGATGATCTCTTATTCGCCTGTACCTTGATTCAGGACAGGGAAGTACCGTACCCGCTGGCGGTTGGGCTGAGGAGACCTTGGTCTCGCCGGTGTGGGCACCAAGATGGGTACCTGATTGCTGGGTAGGCATTGGCTAGTCTTCCCTGCTGGCGCTGTCTCATTGTCCAGCGGCGCCCGACAGGTTCTCAGCTGTCGTCACAGGCATTGACCTCATAATCTTTCCCTGATTTCAAAGAAGCAGGCCTGGGGCTTCATGCGCCCTGGCCCGCCAGCTCGACAAGTGCCGGATACGAAGGCCGTGACACGTCTGTGGAACAACACCAGCTGGACAGAATCTGGGGAACAAGACCCGGAGAAAGACTCTGTTGTGTGCACACCTGTGCTTTCATGGTCTGACTTACCGCCCGAGTATGATGGACTTGGAGTGGGGCATGTCATGACCTCGCCCTTTCGCGCCCGACGAGCGGATCTGCGATGCAACCTTGGCTTCGGCTTTGCTCCCCGCCACCCACTAAGACCGCAAGATTCAAAGGAGATTTACACATCGTGAGCACTGACCACTGCTTAAAACAGGTAGGGGTGGAGAACGCGCGAAGAAAAAAAAATAAAAAAAAATCGAGAAACAAAACAGAAAATTTCCTGAGATTGACGATATCATTTCTCTGCTTGACCTCTCAAGCGCGGTGGCAAGCAAAAAATTCTGTCAACGTGATTTTTTCCTTCTTGCAATCCTTGGACGCGTGGGTGGCCTCTTTGCCCATTACTGGTGGTTGACGGTTCACAAGGACTCAGACATGATAACGGTTGAGCACATGGGAATTTTCCAAGAAGGGTGGGTGTAGCCGATGTCTTGAACTAGACAGTGAAATGATGTCTCGAACAACCCCCCTCACGCCAACATGGTTCCAACGGCCGCTCGTGACTACGTAGCGTGGGGTGGAACTGCAGTACGGTACAGACCAGTGTGGTGTCTTGTCGATCAGCGGAGAGTCATTCTCTGGTTCCAGCGGAGGGCTGGCGGGCGCAGGCCAGTCGCATCGCAGCACGAATCTGGCAACCCTTTTCCTAGAGGGGCAAACCGAGCGCCAACGCCAAGCACAGAGGCTGAGAGGACCACGAAGATTTGCGTCTTGCCAGCCAGAAGGGTGCAGCTCGACTCACGCCAGAAGTATCCAAGCTGACGACAAAGGGTCAGATGTGAGGCTCACCGGCCGCTGGGAGGACTCCAGGAGCGTTTCAGGGGTCAGCCCAGCACTTGCCCAGGGCAGCACGGCGGAATGCCCAGAGCCTTAGCAGCGACCTGAAAGCTTATCTCCTCACCTGGATACGTGGACATGTTGACCGGCGAACATCACAATAAGGTTGTCAACAAAGCCATGATTGACCAGGACAAATCACATTCCTGACTCTTGTTGATGTTGACCCCCTCACGGCTGCTGCGGTAAAGTTGCACTTTCAGCGAAGCATGCTCAGCCGTCACGCTCATCTCCAACGATCGTGCCAAATCAAAAAGGCGGGAGCCCCGTTGCCGGCGGACAGCACAGACACCAGCATCCGAGCTCGGCGGGCCCTCCGCCATCCGACTTCCTTCACACGGAAGTGCCGCTGTAGATCCCGGCAGTGACCGGCCATTGCGCTACCCGCTGGGAATAATCCGGCGTTGGTGGAGGCTGCAGAAGGCACGCTATCCCATCCCGTAGCTCTGAGGACACCCAGGACGAGGCGATCGCAAAACAGACCGCCAATCTGGGGTTTTTGTCACCCTCGCGGTCCTCGCAGCACGTCTCGACCTAGCTTGCTTTCCCCTCACCGTCTCGCTCCTCTGCTCGTCAGCAAGGTCCCCAAAGTTCGGTGACCGGCAACGTCGGAATCCCCCCCATGAAATTGGGCCATGTCATGCCGCGGTTTCACAGGCAAAGCGACGTCAGACCGGCGCCTGCATCTCGCTGAGTGAGCGCACGCTCCAAAAGCAGTCCAAGTGCTTAGGGAGGAACGAGAGTTCATCCCAAACGGCGCCAAGCACCACCGGAATGTTGGAACTAGCATCTTGGTGCTTGAAGGAAGGACTTGGAAAGGGGCGCAGCCCGCACGGCTTTTGGGTTAAAGGGGCATGCATCCTTTTTTTCATGCGAACCCTAACCTGAAAGCAGGCTTGGATCCTCCCTACCCTCCCCCTCAGCAGCTGGGGACCCCCCCTCCCCCCCCAATTAAAAGCCTTCCACCAACAGAGAAGAGAACGACGTCCACTGCTCATCTACTGCCCGCCTGCCCGCAGATGCAGGCTCCTGCGCATTTAGACGAAAAATTCACTATGGGACTTTTCACTACGTTTCTATAGATCTTATCCCCCTGAGAGCTGCCTCCAAGGGTCAGGTCTGGCCAAGTTGTTAAATCTTTATGACGAGTGCCCGTAGATTGAGCGTCTACACATGTTCAATAATTGTAATTTCAACATCTAGTCCTTCAATAGAAACTGTAGCATCTCTACGATAGTGTCCAAACTTTGAGTGCCGTGCATGGTCTCTCGAGATAGACGTCAAAGACCATCTTGAGCTTCGAGAACGTTGATTCGAGACCTTGGGCCACTGGCAGCAGTGTGTCTCGAATGAAAACACCGGCGAAGGAGGAAACACGTCGACATCGCTTTTTTACGATCTGAAGTGCCAATCAATCTCAACAGATGGACTGGGAAAACCTATCTCGTTGCACTTGATGCATGTTAAATGACAGAAAAGGGGCTGCTGGATATGCAGATGGTTCATGACATCTGCACTCACCCTATTCTATTGTTCAAAATGCTGGAGGGAATAGACTTGAGGCTTCCGCTTATGTCAAGATACCGCCCTCTACAATCTTCTGGTGTGGCTCTGAATCAAGGCAGCAAATATGTGTCAGCATCACAACACAGATCGTTGAGAGATGGTCCACCACTACCCAGTGATACTCGCACCTGACCATTCCAGGAGATACCTTTTACGAAAGGCTGTCGTTGAAACATGTATCGAGCAGGAATAAAGGAATTGACGAACATGCCCATGACCAGGTCGACGGCGATGACGCAGAATCCAAAGTTCCGTTCATTCACAACATGTCGACCCAGGGCCAGCAAATTTTAATACAGCCCTAGGAAATTCTGAAGAACAGCCAGGAAGCTCATGCCAATAGACATGGAGTGTTAAAAAGAAGCTCATGTGAGTTGCCTCGTATAATAACTCAGACAGCCGTACCGCAAACTGACAGAAGCCATCTACTGCAAGGACTCCCGCCACAGGAACTGGACTCACCTGCACAGGTCGCGCCTGCGACATTGTATCCTACTAGCTAGACATTTGATTACGATATTACTCCGAAATGAGGGCCAGTTATACTCGTCTCCCCAAACTGAGCAGAGGTAAGGAGGCCCTGGGGTCCCTAAACAGTAAATGTGAGCGGGTAATCAACGGTACGGACAAAATGGCCGTGCTGGCAGCGAATGGTTCTGAGCACATCAAGTCGTCCTGATATTCCAAGAAAAGCCACATACGCTAGACTTTTTCGATCTCTGTAGAAGCTGATTATCAGGGAGGCCTCGTTGGTCTTTGCCAGGTGGCTTCTTAGCCACGATCGAGGTATATATCCGCAGATTTTGCTCTTGGACGGGGTTAGGACATTAGAAACGAAGCAGATACAATTCAACAATACAATCTATGATTGCCTGTGATGCACTACGTCGATAAAATGTTGCGTGAACTGTGTTCTGCTAGCTGGTCCGCGTCACACTAGACTTGCTGATCGATAAACTGACGAGTTTCTATACATGCCAGTGCCAGTGGGTGGCCATTTCGGTAGGGAAACTCCGTTCGACTTATAATCCACGGTGTGCATGCTTATATGCTTGTACCATTATGGGAAGATATTATTTGTACAGGAACAGCTTTAATGCAAATGTAATATCTACTTCGAAGTGGGAAACCCATCGCGCTGGGTACCTAAAGTGGACCTGCTGCTGCTCTTGATCGCGAGGATCATGCACGGCTCCAAGATGACCAGCTATCTGGAGTATGGCCACCTGAAGTAGGGTCCTTTTCCCTCGCATCTCGTGCGTCGAGCATCTCGATATCGTCGGTGTGAATGTTCATGTCACTGGGCCGGGACTTGTGGCCCTTACTACCCTTCCTGGATTTTGACCTCGACTTTGAATCACCCTCTTTCGATGGCCACATCTCGGAACCTCCAATTGTCCTCTGCTCACCACTGAAATAACTGGCCGAGTATATTTGGTCTTGATCGCCGCCTGGCAGTAGCCGATTCACCCAGCCCTTCCACAAGGGGCGGCAAACTGGAATTCCGATGGCGACCATGGTCACTGTCAGCTCGGCGGCATGCCATATGATCAATGTGGCCCTGTCCCCTATGGTGAGGTAGAGGCATAATTAGCAAATAAGGTTTTCGGATCGTACTGCCAAGGTATTCCGGACATACTCATATATTCCCCATCAGACATGGTTGGCAGCTTTACTGCTCTCATTATTCCACATGCGCCAGCACTAATACAAGAAGTTGTTAGAAGCCTGAATGATGTTTCGAGTGCAAATTGAGAGGCCTTCTGACAACCAGAAAACAGACTTACAAGATGCCCAGGCTCAGACTATACAGTACGATGTTTTTCTCCCGAGGTGGCACTAATTGCAATAGTTAGTAGAGAGTCTTTCATGAGTGTTGCATCGTGCTTACTTTGGATCTTTCTGAGAGTAAACCACGGCAGGGCCGCAAAGATGAAGTCACACAAAAAGCTGAGGATAGCCGCGATAAGGTTCAAGTACACGGCAGTATCACCGCATACTCCGTCCGGATTCAGCCGGTCCCACAAGTAAGAAATCGGTCGGCATTCCAACCAAAAGGCCAACAGGCCCGCGGTGACGAACAGTCCGAGGAGAACAGGCGGCAGTATGATAGTCCACCGAGTTTTGCGGCCGCAAGCGCCAAATATGCGCAGCAAGAAAAAGGCAAGAGCGGTCTTGGAGATCCAGACTGCAACCCCGACGACGGTCTGGCCGGCGTTTGTGAGGATGATCACCATCGACCGATCCCATGGATCTGGGACATCGTCGCGAATTAGACCGAAGCCGTAGAAGGCAGATACCGTGATCAAGACGCAGTACGCGACTAGGAGGACCTATTCGCGACAGGGGCTGTATGTCAGTACGCGGAAGTTTGGTACACGTCCCCACACATCTCGGTTACTCACGAAGGCGACGTTGAAGAGATGGTCATCTATCCCTATGGCATCGATGACCTTGTACCGGGTATAAAGCCTCAGGAGGACAAACACCAACGCCAGGGCTACCAGGCACCACAGAGCAGCCAGCGTCTGCGGCGCGTTGCCTTGGGGCGATGAGAAAGGCGGCGCCATGGTCAACAAGTGGACATTCTCGAAATTCACGGAGAGCCAGCCATCACGGACTCGTGGAGTTCAGGAGTTGGCACAGGCCAACCTGACATTTTTCTATCGACGCGGGCTCTCGCATGTTCCCGACGAATTGGTAAAATCTTTATTTAGTAATTGCTGTCTAGCCGTAGCCACTACCTTAGCCCTGACTCAACAACCAGGCACGCCAGTTCTTGGGGCCAGATCCAACTTGGCATGCTAGCCTGTTTGGAGACAAGACAGGCCACACCAGGCCGAAAACTGGAACGTCGTGAAACCGCCGCAGTGGGTTCCAGGAGATCATGCCCTGGTTGGTCATGCGCCGAAAGCATATACCCGTGGGGCCGCACGGGAGTCTATTGACGGTAGCCTCGCCGTAGCGGATTGCGGCGCCCTGTGGGGAAAGACCAAGACTATTCCGTCATCACGGGAGCTTGCTTTCTTGTCGAGGCCCCATCGGAATTGTGGATAGACGCTGGCCGGATGTGCACGTTGTCCGAATATATGGACTCGGGTTCTCAGATCGGAGGGTAATGACTTTGCCGAAGCTGCCAAAGCTGCTGATGATCAGATGGTTTGATGAATCGCGGGATTCATACCCATGGACCTGCAGACTCAGCTTCAATGCGCCCCCCCCCCCCTTCTCTCCAAGACAGCGCCTGCATCTGCCGCCTCGACGGCGGCGGCTTTTTGTATGGGCCATGGGTCGCCAGCGGAATGTCCTCGTGCATCGAAGTCATCGCGATTTCACGCACAGGCTGCGGTGTGCAGTCAGCACTGGGCGAGTCAGTCGCCCATTGCGATCGCCTCAGCCCCGATTCAGTGCCGTGCATGTTCCCTCACAGGCGCTTGCAGTTCAGGTTGAGATGTCACATGTAAGGCGCCGACATGCAGTGGGACTGGCAAAGAAGAAAAGTGTGTTGCACCAGAGAGCCGAGACATGCGAAGGAGTAAAACCTTATCGCCCATGTGTGTCTAATAAGTGGGTTTTGTGTGGACCAGATACTCGGTAGGCAAGGTCTTGGCATCCCGATCGCACCGCGAAGCCACTTAACTTTATTAGAGTTCCGGGCGGCGATCTGCGGACCAGGCAGGTTTTGTTGATTTGACATCAAGGTACCCAACAAGCGAACGAATCAAGTGCTGAAATTCATTACTTGAAGAACTCGAGTGGTCGGAGGCCGAGCTGACCTGCGAGACAGGGCGTGCTCAGCACTTTGCAAACTCGTTGTTCGTGCGGCATACGGAACGTGAAGTGCAGAAATGACTATCTGAGAGAAGAGGACGGAGGCATTCAATACTTTACTTCGCAAGATATGTTTGATAAGTTGGAAAATAAAAAAAAACTTAATGAGATACAGCTTAAGCTATTTTTTGTAGACAGTCTCTCTGTCTAATATTCAGTTCACACTTATTCTGAGCTTCTGTCCCGGTCACAATGGCGATAACCGCGAGCACCACTGCCGTTGCTCTCACTGATACTAGCAACTCACCTGGCAATGTTCGCAATGGCCTCAACAATAACACAGCCGATGCCGCAGTAAAGGCTTTGCAAGGAGCCAGGCTGGGAGACGTCGTGCATCTGCCTGGGGAGGACCACTTCGAAACTCGAACAGCATCCTACTGGTCGCGTACTTCACAGCTTCGACCGTGGGCCATCGTCCAACCTCGTGATGCACGTGAGGTATCAGCGGCCCTGAAGGCCCTTGTTGCCACGCCAGGATGCCAGATTGCAATACGCAGCGGAGGGCACATGGCTTCCCCTGGGGCAAGTAGTATCGAAGACGGGATCACTATTGATCTCGGCCTCCTCAACGCAGCGACATACAGCGCCAAGGATAACTTGGCATGTCTCGGTCCAAGCGCGCGGTGGGGGGATGTGTATGCCGAGCTTGAAAAGCGTGAGTCGTGTGGCCTTAGTCCTTCCTTTGCACCCTTGGATTACATCGCTAACATATGGCTGTTCCACTGGTAAGACAACGCGATGGTAGCGGGTGGCCGTGAACGAGATGTTGCCGTGGCAGGATTTCTGCTGGGTGGTGGGACAAGCCTGTACACCTGCCGTGCCGGATTCGGATGCGACCAAGTCGTCAACTTCGAGGTAGTGCTCGCCGATGGCAAAATTGTTCAAGCAAACCGCGACGAGCACGTCGACTTGTTCAAGGTCCTGAAGGGCGGCGGCAACAATTTCGGCATCATCACCCGCTTTGACATGCAGGCGTTCCCGGCCAGCCCAAATGGCATATGGGACGCCGTAATGACATACCCAGCCGAGGCAAAAGATGAATTCTTGGCAGCTGACTTTGACTTCACGAAGGGCTTGAATCATAAACCCGATGCGCATTTACTGCCATTTGTAAGTTCAAGCTCCCTGAGTCTAAACTAAGGGTTGATTTACTGACATGAGATTGAAGTGGTTCTCTTCAACCAAATCTCAGAGGCCGGTTATCACCGCGATATTGACGCACCTCGACGGTCTAGAAGACAGCAAATGTCTAGCAAAATGTATGGAAATTCCTGGCGCTCAGATTGTGAAGGCCGGAGTTACAACGGTAGCCAAGAAAATGGAAACACTCGCAACGCCTCCAGGGGAGTACGTGTCTGTGCACCATTGCTTTGAGCCTCTGCGACTGCTGAACTAGACAACCTCAGCCATGTTCGCGATAGTCCGTATCCATACCCTGTTCGTTTACGTTCGTTCCAAAGGTCAGTCGCTTGAGCACACCCAAACTGGGCGGGTCTCACGAGATGGTGATAGCAAAACTTCGAGATTCATTCTTTGGCTGGTGCTGCCGCTTTGTTACAGGCGGCAGGGTATTCAAGTACCCTGAGGAGGTTCAGCAGGCCATCTGGCAGCGCTATCTTGCTGACGATGACCCATTCCTCTCCACAATTGGCGTCGCAGTAACAAGCCCAATAGTTCCTTCCCTACCCCCAAAGAATCCCCGGCGGAACTCACCGCCTGAGAGATACTCATCATTTCACCAAGACAGTTACTTAGCTGAGGAATATCAGCATCTCAGGCGCCCACAGAACCCACCTTTGCCCCCTAATCCCCCCAGAAGAAGCTTGGGTCAGGAGGTCACGGCGTCCAAGTGAAGAGAGCGTGGGTAGGTCAGTCTGGCTGAACAGCAAGGCCTCAGCAGCAACGCTTGTGCCAGAAGGGTCGTACCCTTCAAATACTGCGGAGACGGTCCGACTTGACAGTTTCGGGAGTCAGTCCACACACCGCCTGCACGAGACTCTCAAATATACAAGGCTAAGCAACAGCCGCCCCGCCGACACATTGGTCTCATCAGGGCGAGACCGCGAGACAGCCTATCCTCCAATCAGCCCAAGGACCAGCAGAAAGAAAGACACCCGCGTTCGTGCCGAAAGGGATTCTGCGAGTCTCCCGGACACTTCTAGACAGACGAGAAACGACTCTGCCGTAAGTACGGCTGATCACTATGTTGGCAGAACGGTATTCGAGAGCCATGCCAAAGCCGCCGGAATCTTGTCCTATGCTAATCTCACTGGCGATAGGCGACCAACAACAATAAGTCGGCGTCTGTAAAGCGATATTTCATCGGCTTCGAAATTCTCAAATTCATATCATGCATGGTCTTCGTCGGGTCTGAGAAGACTGTCACTGTGTCAAGCACCCGACAAGGCCTCTCCCCCAAACCAGTCAAGCGCCCAAAGTTTACGGGAGACCGGCGCTCAAAGCCAAAACGACGGCTTAGTGATGAGATTCCATTGCGGGAAATCCATCTTGATAAAATCGACATAGAAAAAGGGCCCGATGATTCTGAGGAATCGTGGGATTACAGTGAGATGATCAACCCAGACTGGGAAGTTGATAGAAGAGCTGGCCTTTACATTGTTGGCTGGTACAGGCAATATGACCCAGAGGTGAGTCCGTTTGGAACTAAAAGTGGTCAGAGGGCGATTCTAAGAGAGCAACGTGATCCAGAACCCCCAGAACTGGTCGGCAGCCAAGAAGCTGTTCGTGACCTTCGAAGTGTGCTTGCTTACGTTTGCTGTCTACATCGCCGCCGCCATCTATTCTTCTGCGGTCGTCGACATCGCCTTCGGCGTGTCACACATTGTGTCTATCTCGGGGCTTACGCTGCTTGTGGTTGGGTACGGCTTTGGACCTATGCTCTGGTCCCCTCTCTCGGAGGTTCCGGCGGTCGGTCGTACCAGCATCTACATTGTCACACTTGTGGCATTTGTGGCTCTACAAGTGCCCACCGCCCTGGCTACGAATATATCGGCCCTGCTGGGCCTGCGATTCATGGCCGGATTTATGCGGAGTCCGAGCCTGGCGACTGGAGGAGCAAGTATTGCAGATCTGTTGACCACTGCACTGCATTCATAGGGGTTTTAAATCAACTTGATTGGCCGCGTGGCGGGCAATCCCTAGGGGCCATCTGCTTGGCAGAGGCACGGCACGATGACGATTCGTGCCGACTGCGCTGGGCACAGCCCAGGGACGGCCCTATCTATCTAAGAAAAAACAACCAACAAAACCTTCCTCTCTTCCTTCCTTCCTCGGAGTGGGTGGGTGGGTGACTTCAAATGCAGTGCAAGCGTGGCCCATAGGCAGGAGATGACAGATGGAGAAAGAGGGGAAAGATTTGGACAGAAGCAGGCGGGGGACGCACTCCTTTTTGTCCACCCGCTTCCGTGTACACAGACACTGCCAGATGTTTACTGCAACCAAAGGTGCCTGTGGGATGGCTCTATGGGGGCTCTTTTGCATCTGCGGACCGACCTTGGGCCCACTCATCGGTGGCTTTGCAGTCGAAGCCAGAGATTGGACGTGGGTATTCCTCATTGTCTTCTGGATTTCTGCATTCGCACTCCTGATCCTCTTCTTCCTGCTGCCAGAAACTTCGGCTGCTAATATCCTGCACAGGAGAGCTACCCGGTTACGAAAGCTGACCGGAAATCACAAGCTCGTGTGCGAAGCCGACATTGCCTCGAACGAACGAGGAATGACAGTACAAGAGATGCTGATGAACACGCTTGTGCGACCCTTCATAGTAACATTTACAGAGTCGATTGTTTTAGCGCTCAATCTATACTCGGCATTTATTTATGGTCTGCTTTATATGTGATTCGAGTCTTTTCCGATCGTATTTATAGAGATCTACGGGTTTGGCCTGGGTACCTCGGGACTCACGTGCTTGGGAATCCTCATCGGTGCCATCCTGACACTCCCGGGATATTTCTGGTGGTTGCGTGTGTCGCTTCAGCCCAAGGTTGCGAAGCACGGCGGTAAGTCACAAAACAACGACCCCCCCCCCCAAATTCGGTTGTTTCGGAATACCATGTGATGAGACTGTCACTAAGCTCAACATTAGATCTTGTCCCTGAATGGATTCTGCCGCCATGCTATGTGGGCGCTATCTCCCTGCCGGTGTGCTTGTTCTGGTTCGGGTGGACCAGCAGAGCAGAGGTACACTGGATCGTGCCTGTGATTGGCACCGCATTTTTCTCCGTGGCAATTCTTCTGCTCTTCAACGCACTACTGAATTATTTGGTTCTGGCGCATCCTACACAAGCAGCAACAGTTCTCGCGGGAAACGATCTAAGCCGCTGTCTTGTCGGCGCAACATTTCCATTTTTGCTACGAACATTTACGAGGGTCTGGGCGTAGCTTGAAGCACATCTATCCTGGGGTTCATTGCTGTGGCTTTTACCCCGATTCCTTTTATTTTGGTCAAGTATGGCACGTGGCTGCGGAACAAGAGAAAATGGCTAGACATGACTTGTAGATAGACGGGCGGAATTTCGCAGTCTATCTTTACGAGAACGGATATTCACACAGAAACGGATGGTATACAGATACATTCACCTAGTGTGCACTCACACCCATATCACCTACACCCAATCCACCCACACCCAATTCACCTACACCTGATTCATATACCCAAGCCCAATTCACATACCCGCTACAATTCTCATAGCCAATTCACACGCCTAATTCGAACGCCTAATTCACATGCCTGATTCACTGCAAATTAAGCATATAAAGTCCTGCGTGTCCAACTAGTCCTAGACCAAGGGGCATAGTAACACCCAATATAGCTATTTACGATACCTAGGTAGTCTTTATCCGAATAGGACAAGATATAGTGTTGATAACTGAGAGCAATCGCTGAGATTTGTTGATCACATCTCACGTGACGGATTGACGCGCTCAAATTCAGCGACGCGACTCCGTCGGTTTCACTGTGCTTTCTTCTCCCCAACACATCACCAGAATATATAGCACATCTTTAAGATGGCCAGCCGAACCCTCCCGATCGATGCCAATGGACGCACAGCGGCTATAGTCAATATTGAGACCGACCACACTCAAGTGCTTCAGGCGGCTTAGGCGGCCGCGTCTAATATCTCAACCCCCTCTCCCCAAATATATCCGACTCTGTACGTGGAGTGATGGGAGCCAACGATTCCAATCGCGGCGGTGTTGTTCCAGCATACCAATAGCAATGGTTACCGCAAGAATGGACCGCTGAGCGGAGATCGACGGATCCCCCCACTGGGGACATGTTTGAATAAGCATGGCCATGTGGCTAGTTATGCCATCGGCATCCTCGCCATGGAAGGCATGGGAGTGCTCGGATCACTCCACGCAGTCAATGAGCAGATAAAGCGCAATCTGTTAAAAGAGCACTTTAGCAGCGTCCATGCCAGTATTTCAACCGATTGCCAGCCAATCCTCCTACACATTGCAAGGATTCGGGAGTCAGCGAACCCTGCAGAGAAATTATCTGGATCACTTACCAAGAAAATCAAAGATCTATGAACCACGAATCTTTTGCCTACTATTGTTTCAACAGTACATGGGAGCCTTGCATTTAAAACGAAAACGGATATTCGCACCTACAAAAATGGAGGGTACACCGGTATATTATCAACTCACACCATAACTACAACTAATCAGAGCACATCACCCAGGCCTAATTCAAACACCCACACCCAACGCCTATACACCTACCTAACACCCATATCCCACACACCTACACACCTACACACCTACACACCCAACGCTCATATACTTGACACCTAATACCGATACACTTAATTTATATAAACTAAGTACATAAATTAGGTATGGCACTTGAGTATCACATACAATAGCTGTTGAATTCTATCTGCTCTTGTTCACGACTCTCACTGACACTGGAGCAAGACCCAAGTAGGACGAATTTATGAGATTGACCACGTCACATTAATAACGACAACATCCAAAATACGTACAGCTCAAGCAAGATATTGCAAGAGAATTTGACGATCATCTGGAATCACCATGTCTCCGTCACTATCAGCAGCAGACCTCTTCACAGTTAAAGACCCAGTCGCCGTCGTTACTGGCGGTGCAACAGGTGAGTCAGTGGTCGAGCACGCGTTTTGAAAGAGAATGACTAACATTGAGTATAGGCATTGGACTCATGATAGCCAAAGGTCTGGAGGAGAACGGAGCAAAAGTCTATATCGTTGAGCGTCGCAAAGATGTGTTGGAAAGTGTCGCCAAGAAAGAAGCTGTACGTCTCGTCCAATGCTCGAAATCATATGGCACTGCCCAATTGGGCTTTTCATTGATCACACGCGATGGCCCTGACAATTCTTCGCACAGAAATACGGCAACTTCATTCCTGTCGTAGGCGACGTAACCTCAAAGGCAGACTTGGAATAAATCACAAAGCGAATCTCATCCGAAGTCGGCTACATCAATCTACTAGTAGCCAACGCCGGTACCACAGGTCCCATTTTCGGTGACAAAATCTCTATTTGCGGGCCGGACCAGTCGACCTTATCCGAAGTGCAAAGAGACCTTTGGAACATTGACCAGGGTCTATTCCTGAACACATTCGCTACGAATATTGGTGGTCCTTTCTGGTCCATAGTGGTCTTTCTCCCCCTTCTTGATGCAGGAAACAGCAAGGGGAACGTCGTGCAAAGCTCAAGTGGTTAAGACGGGATCAGAGGCTGCTTACGACCGGATCCCAATACCGCACTACACATACAGTGCTAGCAAGGCGGGATTGACCCATATGTTAAAGCAGTTTGCAACTACCTTTATCAAGTATAAGATACGGTTCAATGTGAATGCTCCCGGCCGTGAGTCTTAAATCTCTCTTCTCTTACCATAGTAGCATAACTGACAAGACCTAGTATATCCCTCCGAATTGACAGCGGGATTCATCGCTAGCACGGAGAACTTGTCAGACGACGAGAAGTCATCTCTTGTGTCACCAATGCAGAGACCGGGCAATAAAGACATGGCTGGTGTGGCCTTGTGGCTTGCATCAAGGGCCGGCGCATGGGTTCATGGAAATGTGGTCCTCACGGACGGGGGGAAAATTAGCTCGGTGCCTGCCACTTATTAGGAGGTTTATTTTCAGAAAAGTCTTCGGAAGTCTACTCCTGATTCATAGAGTTTGAGAAACATCTTTGTGAAAGTTATTCTACGCAAGCCGTTGGGGTCTCTGCGACGTCATCGCGCACACGTGGCGCTCACAAGTTCGCTACGTATCACCTGTTCAAGCAAGGTGGCCGCAATATAAACTCTAATTCGAATTGAAGAAGATGGTCTGATCTTTCACATCGATTCAAGTAAACTGGTTCGTCATTATGCTGTATCCATCTGCATATTCAAGGGTGTTTCCGTATTCTAAGCAGAAGATAGCAATTGGACAAGAGATCAACCGTTGTAGCAGAGCTTAACAATCTAAATGACTTTTATTTAAGTCTAACTGACCCGTTATATCACATTCTAGGGTGTCCATATGTATTTAGGCGACCGTAAAAGCATCTTAAGCCCTCTGCCCTCCGCCCAGGTGGCGACTTCAGGATGTGGCAAGTGGAGATGGCATTTGGGCTCGCCAAACCTTGGACACTGAGGAAGATCTATTCAACCTTGGACGAAAAAGACAGCCAAATTAATTTCTTAAGACTAGTATATGACTGGTCTGATAACATCGTCTACAGCCAATTTACTACGATGCAATGAAACGATGATTTGGTTGCAACATACCCCACCGGCCTCACCATTCGATCTCCTTCCCGTCGTGCCTGCCCGGAGAATTTTCGTGTCCGGGCACGTGGATGTTCAGAAACTTTCCATTTTGAGCTGGGGTGGACGCTAAGATGATTCTCTTCATCTCAGCAGCACCCACGTCGACAGTGAAGTCTCCGTAATCGGTGCCTAGGTCTGTCTTGAGCCACTTGATGAGGTTATTTGGTCAGTAACGTGCATAATAAGTATTGTTGGAGTCTCGGACTCACCCCTGGAGATACTAGCAGGCATGTGAAGCCCTCCTCGGCGAGGTCCAGGGAGAACTGCTTGTTCAGCATGTGAAAGCCTGCCTTGGAGACCTTGTACGCGGATCCTTGAGCGATGTTCATGGCGTCCGCCCATGCAATGGATCCCATCGTGGAGGAGCTGTTTCCACGTGATCAGTGGGCGCTTTCTAAGGGACCCCGGGATATCTTGGCGAAAGTAGGAGGGGAGGTGGTGCTACTGAGAGCTTACATGTTGATAATCTTCTTCTGTGTGCCGGCTCGAAGAAGCGGTAAAACCGCGGTGATCACACGGTGCGGCCCTACGAGGTGGATGCGGGAGAAGTCAGCCGGACTGAAATCCTCCATCTTGTTGTTGGGGCTGTGCTGCTGTATGGCGGCGTTGTTGATGAGCACATCTAGGCCGCTAGATCCAAGCTGACCCTTCACCTCCTGCGCCGCTTTCTCCACGCTTTTAGTATTTGTCGACTGACGCAACGATGTTGACGATCCGCCCATTGTTGCGACTGATCAGATCGCTTAGGGCCGACGATGGCGAGCTGCGGGTTACCGCGAAGATCTTGGATACCTGTGACTCTGGCAGTTCGGAGAGTTGCTTGGTCAGCTCCAGGCCGAGACCTTTCGCTGTTCCGGTGATAAGATTCAAGTTCATCAGTTGAAGGTTATAGGTTGGGATACTTACCACTTTTAGTGCTAGTGTGAGTGTGTGACGCCTTTATACACGCCAATCTGCGTGGAAACTAGCCCGCATGAGACTAATAAAGCATCCTCCTCCAAGATCTTCCTCGGGTCAATACGCCAAGCAACGAAATGCGGCCAACGCCAGTGGTCGACGGCGTCATACTCTCTGCATGTACCGCTGTATTAAGTTTTGAGCAGTCAGGGCGGGGTGAACTCCTCTCTAATTATCGGCGGCCGTTCATGTGAGGCGTTCATAACAAGATTTCCATCCGCGCAGGGGTTTGCGGAGTACTCGAACGAAGCCGCTTTCCGGGTGCCGAGCAGAGCTCGGACGCAATCTCGGACGCACTCCATTCGCAGCTCCGATCAAGCCGGCCTTCGTGCTCCGTAGCTCTCTTTAGCTTCTTTCATTCCAATTCATTGGTAACAGCTGCGCTTAACGGGAGACACGATTGCGATAACATCTGATTTATACAAATTAATCACATGAGATACTATAACGAAGGAACGCATGCGCGACCGTGCAGGAATACTTAATGTCGTGCTTGACAGGGTGGCCAAGAACTAAGATGTGAATGGTTCGACAAGTCTTTCTTTTACTACTTACCGGCCGGCTTGTTTTTGAGGCATCGAGTAGAGAGCCACTTGCACGGGTCCTCAGCTACAGTATTCCACGCTCAAAGGACTTTCCACCCATAACAGACCAGCTTACACCATGAAGTCTTCTGCCATGAGCAACGGCGTAATGCATTCCCTGCTTTGGGCACTTGCCGTTCATCCTGCCTCTGCATTGCCCTCCTCCTCCACAGGCCGTCGCCAGACCGGTGGCGGAGGCCAGACCCAACAGGTTGACTATGTGGTTGTTGGGGGTGGAACAGCAGGTTTTGTAGTGGCTGAGCAGCTGTCACGGAATCCCCACGTGTCTGTGATGCTCTTTGAGGCCGGTCCAGATAATGCGGGAGTCGAGAACATAGACGTGCCGCTTTTCGCCCCTCGACTGCTCTTCGCTGAGCACGCCTGGAATTATACGTCCCAGCCCGATCCGAATCTCAACGGCCGCACGCCTACGCTCGACCAAGGCCGTGGCTTCGGTGGTGGCAGCGCTATCAACTACCTAGGACACTGCCGTGGTGCTGCTTCCATTTTTGACGAATGGGTGGAAATAGCAGGTGATGATGGGTTACGTTGGGAAAATCTGGTCGAGAACTTCAGAGCCGTTTCTCACTACAACCGACTGCCTGACCAAACCTTCAACCCGCCGGTCAACCACAGTGTCTACGGCGATGGCCCCATAGAGCTTACGATGCGGAATAATGACCTCGGAATCGAGACGGCCGTCATGATGGCCTATACTTCCACATTGGGTCTCCCTCTTGTCGACCTGAGCGATGGCACTGGCATTGGCGTATCGAGCGGTCTCGTCGGCGTTCGCGGAGAAAATAGGACGAGAGTCTTCGCGCCTCAGGCTTTTGGATGGCAAATGGCCACCAGGTCGAACGCTCAGCAACTTCATCATGCTTGGGTCACCAGGGTCAATTTTGACGGCACTCGCGCAACTGGTGTGACATACGTCAATTCCAATAACCCCTCGGAGGAAACCACTGTCCAGGCCCGGGAAGTTATTCTTTCAGGTTGGGCCATTAATAGCCCAAAGGTAAGAGATTCTGACTAATACGAATACTTTCTATGTACACGTGATTGACCTTTGTGACTTAGCTTCTCATGCTCTCCGGTGTAGGACCAGCAGATCATCTGCGAAATCTCAGCATTGATGTTGTGGCAGATATACCGGATGTTGGAAGTAATTTGTGAGTCGAGGAGCCCGAACCCAAGATACGCCTCTGGAAGAAAAAGCCATTCTCACAACTCTTTGTACTTCACTTACAGGCTCGACCACCACAATTCCTTCATTGAGTACGAGGTCCTCGATGACGTACAGACCCTGTACCAGTACGACAATAACCAGACCATGGCCACCCAAGCCAATGCAGACTATACAGAGGTGGCATCCCCAGGCGTTCTAGGATCACCCAACGGCGTGTCATTTGCAGTCTACCGTGCCCCTGACTCGGTATTCGACAATGTTAATAGTTCCTTTCACACGGATCTACCCGCGGATAGGGGTCACCTTTTGATTCAGTGCGCCACAGTTCCTTTAAGCGGCAATTCCACCGGAAATGTCATCTCAGGCTTTGTTGGTCTTGTACAGCCTGAAGCAAACGGAGAGATGCACTTGGCCTCAAACGACTTCCGCGACGATCCGATAATTAACTCCAATTATTGGGGTTCTGCCAGTATGTACAGCGCATCATACCTTGCTTTTGGTGTGAAATGACCTTGGTAAAATCACAGAAGCCGTTCAGACGCTCTCATACCCATGCTGATCATATCGTCTTTGTTTATTTTAGGTGACAAAGCCGCCATGATACATGGATACAAGAGACTTCGCGATGTCTGGGCTGACGCCTCTCTCAGTAAACTCGTTGTTCGAGAGGTCTTCCCTGGCTCAGACGTCGTATCAGATGAGGACCTATGGCGTGCCATCCAGAATTCAGCGACTACATTTCATCATCCGGTAGGTGAACTGAGACTCAGTGGGGGAGCATTGAAATCCTCCTATAGCGTGTGCTCATGTACATTGTTGGCTAAATCCTCTTTCCAGGTTGGCACAGTTTCGCTTGGCCGCGTCCTGGAAGGTGGCTCCTTTCGAATCAGAGGCCTTGACGGCATCCGTGTTATAGACTCATCCGCTATGCCATACGCAACTGGCTGCCACCCTATGGCTTCTGTATATACCTTTGCTCATTATGGTGCGCAACAAGTGATCCAACAAGATGGTAATATTAGCAGCAACCCCCTTGGCAACACCAAGCAGTCTGTGTGAAATTCTTGGCATACACAGTGGCGATTCGTATATCTTGGTATACTATTAATACACCTGTTCTCCATGAAAGACACAGTACAAGGAATAAGGTCATTGTCATTAGCCGTGTCTTTTATCAAGATAACCAATCAAAATCTTACATGACAAGTCTATTCTTCTCTTCGCTATTTCATCGTTCTCGCCATCGATGAACAAGCAAGTCCGGCATTGACAGTGTACCATTTACAACCATTTCCATTATCCGCCGGGGTTGATCGTATGGTTGAACGGCCCATCATAGCTCGCTACCCTGGCATCAATAGATCTGGATAAGTATAAAATGTGCGCACAATTACATTGTTGGTAACTGTCAATTCGATCTCCATCAACTTGGAACCACTGGATTTCACAGAACTTGCAAGCTACCCATTCATCAAACTCGAAGAAACACGGTCATCCATCATCATGGAGGACCAGGCTCAACTTGCGAGCCTTCTGGCGGAATCCGACCCCATCTCCAACCTCAACTCTCAACTGCCCGTGGCGTCGCCGGTAAGCATGGAGGACTTTGTTGAGCAATGCAGTGGATTAATCGAAGGATTTGACCCTCGTTCTCATACGGATCCCCAGAAGCGCTCTATCTCTGTACCAAAAAGCCGACTCTCTGTAACTCCGTTCCAGCTCTGTGAAGCATGGAAAATGCTAAACCAACGTGAAAGGACCGGGGGACTACGCGGCGGTCTGCAAGCCAGCGCCGCAGGTACGGGCAAGAGCTTTATCGTTATATCGGCCGTGCTTCTTCGCGCTTCCATTTTTGCCTCTGCGGCGGAAGTTAAGGCGTTTTGGAGCAACCCCAAAAAAGCACGCAAGACAGGGCCAGCTGCCGCCTCGCACTTACCGGCTTCTGCTAGCGGTGAGGGGCTGAAATGTCCTTCCCAGAAGCAAAACGCAGTGGTCTGCTATTGTGTACCAACCTCAAAAGCTCGCAGCTTCATTGACGCTGGCGTTGGCCCCTCTGGTGCTGCCCTCATTCAAGCCCCATTACCTGTGGTTGGGCAGTGGATTTCGATTTTCGAAAAGGCAGTCCTCGATCCGGCGTACAATCTCTGTATCTTGCATGCCGATGTGCCATCACGGTTGAAGCGAGACTTTGGTCAGGCCACTAAGTCCCTGACTCGTCCAGCAGGAAGAAATCTACTGGGAGCGCCGGAAACATACATCTTCCTCTCGGCCCACGGAAACAAGAAAATGCTTGATACTTTCACGAGTGAGGACACTCCATCAATTGGGGTCATGTTCAGTGACGAAAGTCACATGGCGATGCGTCTGGAGTCCCGATCGATGGCCATTGCCAAGACACAATCGAAGGTCGGCCAAGGGCTAGACCTGTGGCTTGTAAGTGCTACTCCGATCCGCTTACTTGAAGATTTCGAGCTACCCATCAGCCTCATCAGCAACTCTAGCGATCTATCGCGCGCTGCAACAGTTGCAGACATTATCGCCGCACGTAATACGGCCAGGTCCTCGGACCAGGACATGGAGACGTTCCAAGCACACTGGAGAAGAGTCTTTGACGACAATCTGGTATTGAGGAATACGGTCACATCGCAGTTCTTCGGAAAGCCAATTACTGGACTGCAGATTACCAGCCCGAACAGGGTTTGGTTGACAACCCCACAGCAGTATCTTGACAATGTTCAGGAAGTCGCATACGAAGCCAGAGAAGTATTCCGCAGTCAAGCACGCATCGCCAAAGACAACGAAGAAGTTTACCAGCCTCAGTACGCCTTAAATGTTGACGCTGCTCTTCACTTCGTTTCACTTTTCCCTGCCGCTGCTAAACTCATTCGACAGGGAGACCTCGATATTGAGGAAGAGAGTTTGAGGAACAGCATCGACGCGATGACGCAGTCTAACAAGCTCAAGGTCGAGACAATAGCACGATTCCAGCAGCATCTAGAGGAGATTGTCCACGAATCTCCGAAGCTAGAGTTCATCCTAGACGAGATCTGGCGCATGCGTGAACAAGACAACGACAAACGCGCTCCGAACCCTGAGGCGCGGGCCAGCATCCACGAGGAGAATCTTTCTCTCAAGAAAATGGTAATAGTGACGCCAACTCTCGGTACTGCCGTCTTTCTCTATTTGATTCTACTGAAGCGTATGCCCGATCTCGCCCCCGCCTTATTTCACACTCGCGCTCGCCCTGAACACCGCGAAGCTGTTATTAACGCTTTCACTTCACTCACAGCTCGGAAGAATGCTAAGCACTCTTACATTCTCATTACACCCTTCTCCGCTGCAGGAACCGGGCTCAACTTACAGTCGGCCAACTACCAAATCCTTATCAGCCCTCTAAACAGCCGCGACTCAGAGACACAGTGCTTTGCGAGGACAAACCGGACGGGGCAGAGGCTCGCACTCCACCACAATATGCTTATAACCCAGGACAATCCTGCTGATCAAATCAACATTGCAACATACGCCGGTCGAACGATCAGGAACGATCCTTTCGAGATGAGTAGCCGGTTGGTGCTTGCCGAGCCAGATGGGTCCAAAGCTATACAGCGGCTGGAGGACTGGGGCTATGATGTCACTGACCTTGATATTAGCAGTGAGATCCACACCGAACTCGAAGAATACCCAATTCTCGACCCGTCAGAGTTTCGAGTATGCCGCATCGGTGCTCCATCCGTCACCAACGGCACAGTCGATGAGCTGCTCTACTTCAAATCGGACAGCAGCTTCGGGGACACCCTAGCCTGTACCCAGGCCTGGAACGCAAGAAGCGATCCGCGACATAAACATGAGAAGCTTCCGCTTCGCGAGATCCTTGTTAGTTTCTGGGTGCTCTATCTAAAAAGGCCGGCCCGCGACCTGAAGAGAATCATGTATTACGATGTGATACAAGAGAACCTCAGGGATGAGCTTCGGCCTTTTGTTTACAGATTGATGGGCGAAGACTTCAGGAATAGTCTATCTATTCGTCGGGAAAGTGAGTCCCCGCAGGAGGCGCAGGCATTTACTGCCTTGGTGGAAGGGGCGCCTTTCTGCAATGGCGCAAGGAAAATGTTGGAGGAATATCCGGAGTTTGAAGGTATCCAGATAGATTCATTCGAGTTTCTTCCCATGAGGGTAGATAATGTACTCGGTCTGGATGAACCTTTTTTCAGTTTTAGGATTAACCTCCGGTAGTGAGTACTTTCCTAATGGGTAGGAATATCCCTTTCTGTGTTAGATTGAATAATCACGAGTTTACTTAGACCCTGTTCTTCAAGGTTGTGACTGAAAAATGAAACTGTAGTGTTCATTTAGCTTCAACAGGTGAGACCTTGTTTCACTATGCGAGTCCATCATCAAGTTGTATATCCACAGCTAAAGAATAGCTCGTTCAGATTTTTCCCTCGTCAAGATGGCAATGATCTTTCCGAGTGTAAGAAATTCACACCATTGTGCAGGCGAAATGTATTACGTATAGTTAGAACCTGTCTTTCTGTCTTTCTAAGCCGCCTTAGTGCTTTAATCTGTATTATGTCGTCCTGCTATTCGGGAGCAAATTGAGGTAATCCTTTGTTCCTGTATTTCAAGTTTAAAGTTTTCTGAACCTGTGCACTTGTGTGAAGACAGTGTACTTGAATGGGACAGTGTTGAACTTACCACGGAAATGACATTAAGAAATCATGGGGCATTACTAACCTGCTGGGCCGGAACGGATCGGATGGCTGAGACTTGAAGTGACACTCTTGTAAAGGAAAAACAGAAAAGAAAAGAAAAAAAGGGCGTATCACGCTCGCTGTCTCACTGTCGTCAACCTGACCCGGGGTGGAGCATATGGTGACCAGTTAAACAATATTTCTGTACCATGCAATGATGGACGAGTCTACGCACAGGTCATTAATTTCAAATCAAGCCCACAGAGCGCATTTTAAGCGAAGAAACAGAATTATAGTGCGGAAGTCATCATCGTGAGCATCATTTGTGCTGAGTTATAAGTGATAAATCACATGGAGCTGAACCTTGTTTCTTACGGCTACCAAACTCTTAGGATTCTTGTCACTTGCTGATATTCAAGCCCTTTCCGATCTACAGCACTTGGTGACAAGTTGAGTTGTCAGGTTGCCAGGATATCCTTCGTTACCCACATATCAAAGCCATTGCTTGGTTCCGAGGTGAGAGACGAAGGAACCTCCATCTCCATTCGCAAGGCTCGCCTTCTCAAAGACCGAGATGACCTTCTTGACGGATTCCTCTGCGGTGATCGGACCCTTGAAGTGTGGTGCATATTGTTGGAACTTGGCTGAAATTGCCGCAAAACTCTGCTGCTCTTCCCCCGTCACTATTCGTCCGCTCCATGTTAGTTTCGTGTCCCTCCTACGAATTTAATTGGCGATGAGAAAATCAGAATCGAGTATCTTACGTCCGGAAGGGTCAAAATGCCCAGTATCAACCACTCCTGGGCTGATGCTCATGAAAAGGACTCCATTCTTGGCATGCTCAGCATGGAACTTCGCCACAACGACATTCGTGGCGGCCTTTCCAAGGGCGTAAGGTCCAGTTATATCAATCTCGTATTTAGAGATAAGGTCAAGGTCGGCATGCCCCGAAGAGATGAAGACGACCTTCTTCTGCGCGCCTTTCAGGAGTAGTGGCAGGAAGAGGTTGAAGAGATGAATGTTGCCAATGATATTAGTTTTGCAACCTGCGAGGAGCTCTTTTTCCAGGGCGGCAGGCTTCTCTCCCCTTTACATCCGTCAGCATTAAGTGGTACCACCGTATGACAGTGTCGTAACAAGATTCTGACAATCAAAGGATATTAACACTTACAACTGTCCAAAATTAACGAGACCGGACTCCTCGTGAAGGTAAGCTCCGTTGGCAATGAGGTAGTCGAGCTTTCCGCCAGTTATTCTCGCCGTGTCTTCGCTTGCTTCCTTTTTCAATGTTAGTCAGTAATACCCGGGGGGAGGGGGGTTACCAGCAAGACCTGCCTTGAGTATTTCGTAGCTGTCTAAATCCCCGTGAATAATATGAACATTGCTTCTGTTTATCTCCGTTTTCGCTTTAGCTTCAACGCTTTTGACGTTGCGAACTAGTCCGATAACGGTATTGGCTGGGTTGAGCGAGAGCTGTCGTAGAAACTCGAACTATCCCATTGAATAGATTAGAGATGTTTTTGTCACGCAAAGGACTGGGCGACTCCTACCCCAATGCCGGTCGAGGCTCCATTGATCACGTATGATGACATGCTGCTTGATGCTTGGGAAGAGGAATAAATAAGTGAGAAGAAAACCTGTGAAGGACTTCGTGGCTGGTGGAATAGAATATAGGTGAGTCGAGCAGAAAGACGGCGGCACATGCAGTCCGCAATATATATTCAATTCACCCAACGTCCAAACTTCATGCTCGTGCCATCATGCTGATGCATTTGTAATACGCCCCTTCCACATGAATCTATCAATGGTTCTGATCGGGACGGAGCTTAGAAAAGCAGACTGCGCCCCTCTATGGCTGCCAAGCTTGATCAATTCCCTTTTTGCGTTACTACGGGGACGACAAGACTCGCCGCCTGCCGAAATACAGTCAGTGCCGCAATTTTTCCGCATCAGCTGGCATTCTTCAAGCCAGTGTACGCGTTGCGGAGAGGCATTGTCACCAAACCTCACTGCAGTGTAGTGTGATGTGTCTTTGTCGCCTAGTTGCCACCAGTCCAAATGCGGACCTAGCGGAATGTGCTGTGACTTGACCTAAACCGTTTCAGGAAAACAAGAATGCTTGGCATCACGCCTCTAAATGGACGTCATGCTTACATATCAATAAGCAAAGGAATCCCCGACCATATCTCAGCTCAAGTCCGGGTGAACTTTTGCGCCAAGTTTTCGTATTTTCTTGCACCGATCGACGCATCTCAGATCAGATTGGCATATCAGTCAACAAGATGGGCTTGGCTCCAGACTTGACATTTGTGTCGATAACCGGACCCACACTTGACAAAGTCAACGCGAAAGCAATGAGAGCTCACACCACCAGGGCCAATTTCGCACGACGACGACGACGCTTGGTACGGGACTATGCTGATCAAAAAGAGAGTGCCGCCCGCATCAGCACTCTACAAGTCGGGAAAGATGGTTCGAACACAGACCGCGGCCTAGTGGTCCATATTCAGCACCCCATCTTAAGTCATCCGGGATTGGATTACAGATTGAACAGAAAAGATGCATTCTTCATTCATCATTGTGCGTAAGACGTGGATGGTGCCGCTTTTATCGTTGTTTAAGACTGACCTATCGCCATCACATAGTGACAAAAGCAATGGAAAAACTTCATTTAGTTACAGACATTCCGGAATCGGACACTGCCTTCGCGGTGATTCAGTCAGACTGGGCTCGCTTTCTTCCCGATCCTACTATGCTGGATGTCTCCCTGTACTTTGCCAGACATGTCTATGCAGCGCGACGGCAACACCGTTCGGTTCAACTTATTTTGGATACGTACAAAGGCAAAGCTATCCAATCCGTGAGGGAGCGGCTCAACCAAGGGCCCGCAGGTGTCACTGATAGCGTCGTCGCGGCCATATTGATACTTGCCGTTCTCGATGTTTGTCTCTCTAACTCACAGTGCACCTTAGTATCTTTGCATGCATACTTGCTGACAATATGATCTGAATAGCAAGGTTTAGGCAATGTTGAAGCGTGGATTTTCCACATCTCGGGCCTCCTCCGAATCCTCGCTGTTCGTTCTAGAGATTCACACGACGAAACTGATCATTGGATTTCAACTGCAGTCCCACGGTTCGTACACTCCGCCAGGCTTGCTCGTGCGGATATCTAATCATCTTCTACAGCACAGCTATGCAGGGACTACTTCTATTAGCTCGGCATGACGTGACAGTGTTGAACACCGTGGAGAAAACCGGCATGTTCGACACGATGTTCTCCGCCCCCGCCAAGAAAGCAGCCTACCTGATTCTCGAGAATGCAGAACAGGTAAATGCGATGCTGCAGACACATGTTCCAGACAAACAACTCAGAAGTGGTGAACGGTCACGCCTTAGTCGTGTTATCGAGTCCTTGGATACAGCCATCCAGTTGGACCGCACCTCATACCCAAGAGAGGCGTTTCTTACGGCGATAGCTTTATCGATTAAGGTGTTCCTGGAAATCGTGCTGCGGTGCACCACAGACGCAGAGGACGGCCCCGAAAATACGGCTGTTCGGCTGATGGAGGTTTTCCAGAGACCCGAGCAGCAATTACCGTCTTCTTTGGCGCTGTGCTCTTCCCTGGAGTCGCAATTCTGGCAAACGATGATGGGCATAATTGCTGCCCCCGATGATCGGACCAAATCGTTCTTCACATTACGGCTCGACCGAATAATTGTCGCTTTGGCGCTCACATCTTGGCACGATGCTTCGGTCATTTTGCAGAGATACTTTTGGATACCATCCATCTTCTCTGGCCCAGGGCACCATATATTTTCCGAGGTGCTGCATTCGCAAGGTCACAATGATATGTAGTTTGATACAAACATCAACAAACTCAAGCATTCGATGAGAATTGCCGGCCTCATGCCTGCAAAAGCCTGCTTGCTCATGCGTACCAAGCCGTAATGCTGTCTCTTGAAGTATCGGATGGTCGGAAAATGCGCATTGCAGGTTGTAGAGTAGCCGGTATGTTCCTGCATAAGTTAGACCACTGCCTGAATCCGGGGGCTCGGTACCATGCACCATTGGTGGTCAATTAGCTGATCCTTAAGCGGCAGCCATTCACTTGGCACCACAGTCAGCCGACCTTTAGAGCCCGGCGACATCGTGCATATGCTAGTGCATCCCTCTCTTAGGTCTTCATTTTGGCTCCTTTTTCGGGTGAGAAGACGAACAGCGTTGACGGCCCTGCTTTTCTGCCAATCCTCAGACTGGTCACAATGTATAACAAAACTCTATTAATTGTTTCCAGTCGGCCGGGCCCCGGCCCGAGTCGCCGGTCGACTGGCCGGGAGCCGCTAGGCCCGAAACAGTCTCACCTAATTTTAACCGACAAAGCTTAATCTCAGATAATCTTGTGGTCAGACAGGATCCTTCCTCCCCTCAACGAAAACGTGCAATTCCTCCGCGCCGCACACGAGATCGCGTGGAGTCTGTCCGGAACACACACACGCCACCACCACGAGCCGCAAATGGGGCGGCAGGGTCAATCCTTAATGCCCTAGTCAATCGTTTTTATGCAAGCACAACTCGGTCGCTTTGCTTGCCGGCCTCTCATTTGATCGATCGATAGGAGCCCGGTCAGTCAGTCACGCGACGGCCATGACAAACGCATCCTCGCCTCTTCTCCGCCTGGCCTTGTGCCTCGCCGCGCTTGTCGCCCTCGCCTCGGCGGACGGGACGGGCATCTGGGCGACGCCCCACGACAGCTACTCGTCCTCGATCGGCGTCCTGGGGTGCAAGATCAACACGAACCGGGTGGCCTACTGGCCCATGAGCGTCGATTGCAACAACATCTGCGTCAGGCTGAGCTTAGGAGACCGCTCCGTGCATCTTTTGCGCATCGACCAGTCTGGCGGTGCTTATGATGTTAGCTATGACGCGTGGAACTACCTGCAGACGGGCAAGTCCGCCTCCAAGGAGCCAATCGCCGGAGGGGCCGTCGCCATGACCTATGAGGACGCGGACGCGTCCAGCTGCAAGGACCTCATCCACACAGACGGGCTGCCGCTGAGCGCCGCCAACAGCATGAACTACCTCGCGAGCTGCCTGGGGGAGTCGGGCAGCTGGGTCGGGCAGAACCACGTGCTGTTCAACATCGCAGACTCGGTCTGCTCGCTGGGCTATGATGAGAAGTGCAAGCTGGATTGGGGGTCTGGGCAGAACCAGGCCACTTGTGATCACACGCTTGGCTCGCAGGCCGAGCTGACATCGGATCCTGTGTATAATATTCGATACCCGACTGGAGAAAAGGTCCTGGCTTCTACTGGTCAGGCGGTAGATAGCGGCGCTGGGAGTATTCGAGAGGGGCTGGCGGACCTTTCTCTGTGGCGATTTGAGGTGCTTACAGGTTTTGCCGCCTTCTTTGTTGCTGGTATATATTTATAGTATTGCGCTGAATTAATACTCTCGATCTCGATTATGCTCGTCGTCCTGATTACCCGCTTCCAATTGTGAGACCTCCGCGGGACGGGCCCAGGTATTCCCACGGTCTGTCGAACGACCCGAGCGTGTCGATGTTCACTGACGTTGTTCGAGTGACAAGGATCGTCAAACCGCCCTCGCTTTCCCAATCGATCCTCTCTGTTACTTCCTCTTTATACGACTCTTTATGCGACCCCTGTATCTCGGCTCGCTCACTGCGAGGCTCTTCCATCCTCTGGTCCTGGGGAGTCCCATCCCAGGCCCCACATTCCTTGAATTGTCCTTGTATGTTACTGTTGTGCGTAACAACCGAAGGAAGCCCGATATGGTTGTCATTTTGGCGATCCTTCCTGGTTGGACCGGAACCGGCCGCGCTCGGGATTGTCGTGAGTTTCCGTGCTTTTGCCAGCAGTCGTGTCGGGACAAGGAAAGGCGCCAATGGTCTCATTCCCGGAAGACATGCTGTGATAATATACGTTCCAACCTCAACAACGGACCATCCACATAGGTCAACTGTCGCCCCTGCTTGTAGGTTAGCATCACCCGAGTTTTCCGCGGACTGGGTCCAGGGAACACAGACAAGTTCGGTCTGCAAATGCAGCGGTAGTGAAGAAGATTTGAACGCGCACAATAGATGATATAATTCCCAAGCCTGCGACACCAAACACGAGCAACAGCTCGATTCTCTTACTCTCTGGCAACTTCAGGCCCCAAATTGACCTCACTGGTAATGCAAGAACCACCACGTCCATGATGGGACTCGTGATAGCTTGTGCCCGGAAGAAAAGCTGTGCGTCGAAACATTTTCCTCCCTGGATTGTCTTGTCCCACCAGAACGCCAACGGCCTGCATTGGAGACAGGCGGCGAGGGAACTTGCTAGCCAGGTTGCAACGAGGAGGCCCATCGCCGTGTAGCAGATTGTCAGCATCCTGCTCTTCCAGTTGAACACTCGGATATAGAAGAATATGATCGCCAGCTTCGGCAATGTGACGCCCGCGAAATGGAGGAACTCGAAGATCAGGACGAGCTGCGCCCAGCGAACGATCTGCGAGGGGTTCGTGTTTGTGACCCATTCTTCGTGATGTCCTACGCCGGCAATTTTGGTCATTACTGCATATACAATTGTCAGCCCGGAATGTCCCAAATTATAAAATAGACAGAGTTATCCACAGACCGATCGCAACAGCACAAAGACCCACGTTGACCAAGTAAGCAACCACAAGCAAAAGATCATCCAAGCCAGAACGTGATCGCATAAGCCTCTTGGAACAAAATCGGAGCCCCAGGGAGATCGTCGTCAGAACTGTGAAGGGTATCGATATCGCCAGCACCTTGTCGCCCGAGTAGCCGTCCAACTCCTCGAAACTGAGGCTGCGGTCCATTTTTCCCATTTCTGCGGAAGCGTCGAGAGACCACTTATGCTGGTGAGCTCCTTCACTGGGTCCAAGGGCGCGCAATCTGAGACTGAAGAGATGATCATCCCTCGAGCCAGGTCCGAATCCGTGGACATAGGCCAGGAGAAAACGTCAAGTCACGACAAGTAGGCCATCAGGACCGGCTGCATGGGCTGGATACTCTGTTATAAACCATGCAATCACGCACGACATGGTGCTTACAATTTGAGTTCCGCGCGGCCCACGGCTTCCGGCACTCAAGGGGACTAGAAAACATGGCATCTACCATGCTACCGCATGGTTCCGGTGAGCGTTTCACCGCAGGGCCTTATTTTTTATACTTCGCTTAGCGTGTCGTCTGATGTGTGTTCCGGTCAGGGTGCGTGTGTAAGTCATGTTTAGCGGGAGAGAACGGGGTTTCCGGAAACAGCGTCGCTTACATTCGCGCCCATTGAGTGGGCGGCGCTTGCATATTGCCGCGAGTATGACTCGCATAGTGAGTGCTCGAGCAGGTAGGAACAGATTCTCTGAAGCAAAGCCTAAAAGTATAACGTCAGATCTCTGACTCGGGATCGCTCAAGCCTGTGCTGGGCGGGTTTACGGCAGTCTAATTTGGTGGCCGTTCCCGTGTGGGCTGACGCTCCGTGGCTCACGCGAGGTTATTACAGGACTAACTATACGTACTCTCCGAACGAATTGCCTATGCCATCTTCAAAGGAGTGGGGGTTTATCTATTTTCTACCAGAGGTGATGGAAATGCGTCACTAGAAATTCTTACTGATGTTATACAGCCCGGACTCCTTGCATGTGTTCCCTATGTTAATTGATATACCGTGGTAATTACGGATTATTGGTGACTCTCGCTGGGTTTCGGTTGACCGGCAGTATCTGTTTCCCCGATGGTTTGCTCAGTACGCCGACTAAGGTCATGGCAAAGGCTACCCAAGCCGTCCCTTTGTTCATGCCACGAGTCGTGTAAACTACTGGCCGAGGCCTCATGCCACCACATGTAGTATGAGACCCAAGATTCAGTACAGCAGCTAGGCCGTGAAATCATCTCGACGGTGGCAAATGTTTTGTCAGAAACTCGTCGTGTCATACTAGCGCCTCGAACTTATCTGCTCGAGGTCATCAGCAACCAAGTTCGGAACCAAATCTTCGGTATGCAGGCATGAGCCACGGACGCGTGGTGTGCAAGTGCCAGTGTTGCTGTCGACGTCAGCTGATCCGTTAATCCGATGGAACAAGATCGAGATGAGTCCCCTTCCCAGACAAACTTTAAGCGGATTTCATTCCCCAGCAAGAACCGAAATGGAAGGTTCTTAGCTTCGTACCTCGTGAGCGGAATATCATGTGCATGCGTCTCCTGGCTTGACCGTGGACATTGGTTCTCCGTCATAATACAATGGTTTCAACAGGCCTATTCCAGTATCTCGTGGTCCAGAGCCAGCTGCAGCTACACTCAAAGCTCGGAGCCTATCAAGGTGCACAGCACTTTCGGCCGGACCTGAGGATATGGGAGCCGGTCCTCAAACATTTGTGGCCATGTCAAACACTTAGAATCAGGCCTGCTGGAATGAAATAGATTACTGAGAACGCAGAAGTAAAACTCTATCTATTCTGATTGCCGGAGTGCAATATCCAATTGCAGCAGTCGGGGTATGGGGCTGGTCCTAGGAGGTGAACTGCATGGCCTGACGTCTGCTGCAGACCCTTCAGTGGTTGGCCGTATCTATCTCGGCTCCACCGATTGCTGCAGGTGCACTCTCCGAGCAGGCCAGAGGGCTGACCCGTGGTAAATTGCCACCAGGCAGCAGAGCAAACTTCAATCCTTCATTGCTTCGCTCACACGCCTCGAATCGCTGTCTTACACCCAAATACAACAAGCAAAGAAATCTCTGATAACCACACTGCTATTTTCGCAACCTATCTGTCGACTGCCAAAGGACACTTGGCCCCCGACCCTGGCTCACCCTGCAAGGCAGCATACGGTGCGGGCGTCATATCTTCTTCATTAAAGGACTCAGAGTACAGACCTGGAGGCTCCTCTGTGATACGAGTCTATGTTCGCACTCCGAGGTATTTTCCTCCATGCCCTCCACCATTCGCAGGCCAACTTCGCTATGTCTGGTCTCTCAATCGGACCTGGCTTGGAGGGTGCAGACCAAGTCACCAGGTTGAACTCTCCCACAACTATGGCTTCTCAGGAAATTTACCCTGTCGAAAGCTTACAACTCAAAGCCATTCGACCCTAGGGACCAACGCAGACAATGAGGAGGCGGCTTCCAATGCCAGTGATGCGAGTACTGGGCAGGCCGATGGCCACAAGGACTTTGCTTTCCAATATTATCCCATAGATGACGCAGAGAGCTTGGAGAAGTATCGCGTCGGCGGCTATCACCTCATAGCCATCGGAGACACACTTAAAGATGGCCGGTATCAAATTGTGGACAAGCTTAGACACGGCGGGTACTCAACCATCTGGATAGGACGGGATAGAGATGCCGCTGCTCAGTACGTTGCGGTGAAGATCTCCGTTTCCGACAGGACCATCAAGTCACAGGAAAAAAGACATCACCCAAAGGCTTCTTCATTCCGACGACGACAGAGCCTCAATGATCCTCCCGATCCTCGACGAGTTCGTGCTCGACGGACCCAACGGCCAACACTCGTGCATCGTCACCCCACCCGCTCGTATGAGCATCGCGGCCTCGAAGTCCGGAGAACACAACCACAACATCTTCCCGATCCCCACCGCCCGCGCAGTAGCCGCCCAGCTGGCACAGGCCGTGGCCTTCTGCCACGCGCAGGGCGTGGTGCACGGCGACCTCCACACGGGCAACGTCCTGCTCCGCTTTGCCCCCGCGGACGACATACACGCCCTCTCCCAATCAGCCTTCTACGAGCGCTTTGGGGCTCGGTGCCAGGAACCAGTTAAACCTATCGACGGCGAAGGTGTCGGTGGCAGCGGGTCGCTCTTCGGGCCGGGCTTCTTCCCGAGCGACGACAATCTGCGCAAGGGCTGGGTGCATGCCATCGGCAGGCTGCCTGATGAGTGGTGGGAGTTTCTCTTTACTGAGGATGGACTTGTCAGGGACGATCGGCGGGATCACTTTATAAGTTGTAATTCTGGGCTAGAGGGACGGTTTGAGCTGTTGGTACAGGGACCGGGGCGGGAGGAAGACATGCAAGAGTTCCTGGATGATGAGAAATCGGCGCTGTTGAAGATGCTGCGAGCAATGCTGGCGTACAAGCCTGCGGATCGAATCAATGCTCAAGACGTTCTCTGCACGGAGTGGATGCTGAGATGGGGACTGCCCGCGGTGGCTAAGTTGAAGAAGCTGGGGTAAAGTTGATTGAAAGTCATGAAAAGCCCTGGTAATCCAGTCACATAGATGGAAATTTCACAATTTTCTCACCTTAGAAAGGCCGATACTTCTAGCCGCATTAGCTCTGACGGCATCATCTAGGAAATATCCTCATCTAGGTGAATACAAACTATTTTCTTATCACATAGCTGGGGCAGGTTATATTTGACATACGGCTCTCCGGGCTTCCAGGCCATCCTTAACTGCGCCCATATGGAGGGCAAAGCTGTCCCTTAGACAGAATTCTTCGTATGACCTCTCAGCCGCCCATCGTAGATTACATTCAGAATAATTTGCCTTCACCTAGAAAAGCCTTCAGCCACGAATGCCGCGGTATAGCCCTGTGTTCCAATGCTGCGTGCTTCAACACAAAGCCCATAGGTACGTATATAACTATGCGGGAGGTCTTAAAACGACACGACAGATTCGAGCTGACTTCCTACTCTTGACACGGCTGTAGGCTCCAATCAATTCACAATGGGTCCGGATGCTTTATTCCTGACAGGGAGCGAGATCTGATCTTGCCCATGGAGAGGGTGACGCAGCTATTGATCAGAGGCACGGCTACGGGCCCGAGATGGAAACTCGTGTGACATATCGGATGAGCAGTTTTGGTGTGGTGGAAACTTCCTAGCGGTCGGAGTGACTGGGAGTGCTAATAAGCGTCAGGCTAGAGATTGAGTTGTCGAGACTGCGCAAGTAATATGGGCTGGCTTGGCAGTGACTAACTCGGACTGCTTGACCAGCGACGTTGAAGAATCAGGGGCAGGATTATGTCAGCACGCTGTTGGGGTGGGCCGTTCGGGCTATTTTCGTTCGGATCCAGGCCCTGATGCAAGTACGGGGTTGAGCCGCCCCCTGTGGCCCCGGTGGGAACCCTCCTGGGCTGCGACCTCTGACCGCTTTGGCCTGCCGACGACCACCTATGAATTGTGTGCGTTTGAAATGGATTGTCACTTGGTTCGCAGTACGCACACGCCCTGAACGCAAATTTCCCGTTTTCTCATGTTGCACTCCGTTTCCGTTTCCCTCAAGCTGTGAACGTGTCGGCGACAGCGAGGGTCAGGGTGTTCCCTGAAACGGAGGCTTGCGCAAGCGCCGTGAGGTACGTACCGACGGACCGCCGTAGATTGGGGCCGAAACGGGAAATTGGCCACGTCTCATCGTCTGGACGTCTGGACGTTTCTTGCCGCCTCCTGAGCGACCCCCAGGAAATCTCGTCCCACGCCCGCGACCCCGACCCGGTCCTTCATCCTTCAAAGGCCCTTTCCTTATCTAATCACGCTCACATTCGCTCTCTTTGACTTGAATTGCCTGGCCTTGCCTTGCCAGGACTTCACTTCACTTCGACGGCTGCACATGTCGTGCTAGCATACACACTTGGCTGTTCATTACCGTGTCCTTGTCTTCTTACTTGCTGTCGATAGCTTCAAAGTTCATACTACCCACCACCACCGCCATGAGGCTCTTGACACGCCTCGCCCTCGGCCTGCTCGGGCTCGCTGCAGCCGCCGTCGCCGAGGATCCCTCGACAGAGTCCGCCATCGAGCTACAGCCAACCAGCTTCCGGGCTTTCATCAAAGAGAACGATGTGGTCATGGCGGAGTTCTATGCGGTATGTGCTCGCTCCCCGTCTCCCAATTGGCATCACATGCCGCCCAAGAGGAACACCTGCTGACCGAGACTCCCTGATATCTAGCCCTGGTGGTGAGTCCCTCCTCCCGAGAGTGTTGAGCTGAGCTGCCCCGGCGGCACACCCTTTGTCTCAGCCACCCAGGCCGCCCTTCCCGTCGCCTGCTAACCCTTTGCTACAGTCGGCACTGCCAGACTTTTGCTCCCAAGTACGAGGCTGCTGCCAAGACCTTGAGGGAACAGAACATCGACGTCAAGCTCGCCAAGATCGACTGCCAAAGGTTTTCCACCTTTTGCCAGGATTACATGATCAGTGCTTTCCCTACCCTCAAGATCTTCAAGGAGGGCCGTGAGCTGTATCACGAATATGATGGTCCAAGGAGGTCTTCTGCGTAAGAACCATGACACCAGTCCCACTCTGAAAATAGCCATTGAGAACGGCCGGCTAATCGGACCCAGGATCGTCGACTTTGTGAAGAAGCAAGTGCTCGCCACCGTCAACCCCCTTGCCACCAAGGCGCTCCATGATGCCTTCCTCGAGAAGGAGAAGGAGGAGATCGTCTTGATCGGCTACTTCGATGCGGAGGACACGGTCGCCAAGGGCGCGCTCTGGGCTGCCGCCGAGAAGCTCCACGAGGACTTCCCCATCGGCGTCACTTTCAACGCAGACGCCGCCGCCAAAGCAGGTGTCAGCTTCCCGTCTATTGTCATGTACGAGCCCAACGGCGAGGGCAAGGAAGTTTACAAGGGCGACATTGAGGACATCGAGGCCATCAAGACCTTCGCCAAGACCACGTACACCCCTCTGATCGGCGAACTCGGCTACAGCACCTGGCGCAACTACGTCTCGGGCAACAACGGCCCCACGGCCTTTATCTTCTCGCGCACTGACGACGACCGGCGCGCCGTGGTCGACGAGCTGCGGCCCCTGGCCAAGAAGCTTAAGGGCAGACTGACGTTCGCGACGGCCGAGACTCCCGACTTTGCCGGGTTCGCGGGCTACCTCCACCTCGAGAACGGCGCCGAGAAGGACTTCCCCGCCTTAGCCATCTACGACGGCGCCAAGCGCGGAAAGTACCCGTACACTACCCAGGGCAGCACCAAGGACCTCTCCGCCGGCAACATCGGCCGCTTCGCCGACGACTTCCTGGCCGGCCGCCTCAACCCCGTCGTCAAGTCCGAGCCGATCCCCGCAGTGCAGACCGGTCCCGTCACAACCGTCGTGGCCGACAGCTTTCAGAACGTGGTTCTCGATGGCTCCAAGGATGTCCTGCTTTACTACTTCCGCGAGGACTGTCCTTACTGCAAGGCCCTGGCGCCCGTCTACGACGCCCTCGCGACCACGTACGGCAGCGGCTCGTCCGGTTCCAACGTTGTCATTGCCAAGATGGACATCATGAAGAACGATCTGCCCGAGGATGTGCCGTACGTCCCGTGGGTGCGTCTCTACAGGGCTGACGACAAATCGAACCCGATCTCATACGAGGGCCAGCGCACGCACAGCGACCTGGTCAAGTTCGTCAAGGAGCATGCCCGTCATGGTGCCGAGCCTATTGGCCAGGACCAGCAGCAGGTGGTGGACGGTGGGGCGCAGCAGGTCCCCATTGGGACCGCGGATGACATACACGAGAAGCCGTTGCAGGGTGTCACGCCCGTCAAACATATTCACGACGAGCTTTAAATGACTCGTCTCTTGTGTTTTTCCTTGGTCACTATTATATACCTGGCAGTCTTTATGGGAGGCTCTTGAGGTACAACGGCCTTTGTTTTTCCCCCAAGCGGTGTATTATGCGCTTAAACTGGCCATTCTTGTTTTTTGTATCGTTTCATTCTGAGCGGCGTTGAGGAATAGGTTTCGTCTGCATACCAGTTGTCTTTTTCGTATTAGAGTCTCATTAGTGCGCCATGTTACATCTGTCTTCGACGCCATTGACTGTCTACTTGATTCCGTACTGGAGAAAAGGCCACCCTTGGCAGATGTCTTTCGGCGCGGGTGCCGGTGAGCTGGGAGTTGCGCCCATTTTTATCCCTACCCCCAGAGTACTCCTTTCTGACCCTACCAAGCCACCCAGGATGTCAGTCAATTGCAGGCTGTGGCTTTCATTTCCACATGCGCGGCTGCTGATCCTTATGGCCTAGCTCGTCCCCAGGCGCAAGCATCCGGATCAGATCTGCCCCCGGGCCAAGTTCAGCACCAAAGCCCATCCATGACATTAGCCCCCACGGTATCCCAGCCTTTTCCTCCGACATACGGATGCGGTTCCATGATTCCCATCAGGGAGTGCCATCAGGATAGTAGCCCAACGCCTGGGCCCTGGCAATAATCTCCCAATCAGGGGGCCACTCAGGACAAGGAGGCAGGCGCTCTGTCCTCGGCAGCGTGGACCAGTGCTCAGCCGTGCGCCGCAGCACCAGCACCGCGGCCTCATCGAGAGGCCATGCCAACACGTTCTCCCTGCGCATGCCCTCGCGGACTGCATCGCGCAGGCAGCCCGAGAGGAAGCGCACGCTGGGGACAGGGGGCATACCAAGGCGGGCGAGGAAGCCCGGGAGCGAGTCGACGGCCAGGATGCGGCGGGTCTCGGCGGCGAGGTAGGCGGTGGTGGCCGAGGGAGGGAGCCCGCGGCGCTGGAAGAGGGCGTCGCGGCCTGCTCGAGCGTCGTGCCGTTGGTGGCCGGCCGGACGGTGCGCTGGAAGACGTCCATGAACATCAGGGCGCGGTACGAAGCGAGACCGCCCATGAAGGTGTGGTGGAGGCGGTACGCGGAGGCGGCGCCGTCGGGTTCCAGGTGTGACAGCTCCGGGTGCCTGGTCAGCAGGGCGGGCGCGTTGCGCGTGATCGCCTCGGTGACGACGCTCACCATGAGGCTGGTGTCCACCTCCAGTTCTGAGATCAGCAGGGCCACGAGGATGCGGCCCGGGCTGGGCATGTGATGGGCGGGTGGGCTGCCGGCGTGGAAGGACCTGACCATGTTGTTTGCCTTGTCGACGAGCTCGGGCCTGGCGACTGCGACGCAGAGGAGGTGGAATAGGAAGAACATCGACTCTATGCCCTTCTCGGAAGCTTGGAGGTGGCCCGCGGGCTCTGTGTACCCTCGCGCGCCTCCTCCGGACGTGCCTCCGGCTGCCTGCCGTCTCTCCACATTGGTAAAAAGCTTGAGGACGTGGGCGTCCATGAGGGTGGTCAGGACGTCCAGGGCATCGGAAGTCGGGGAATGTCTAAAGCCGCTGTACATCGTCTCGGCCAACCTGTCGAGGCATTGGAGGGCGTCGCCCTCGACTTGTTCCCAGTGTCGTTCAGACAGCGGCAGCGGCAGCCATTCGCCAAACCTGCAGCCATAAGCGGACGTGCGGATTCCGAGATCGCGGAAAGCGGTCTGGGAGATCAGGTCGAACTCCAACTCCAGGTCGAACGGTGCCGGTCTGCTGTTGTCGTCTCCGCCGCCGCCGCCGCCATGGCGGACGCCGATGCCTAGTGGAGAGTGTGTGAGGTGCTCCTTGGTGACGAAGCACTGGAGCTCGCGGTCGCGGATGGCCACGTTGGCCTCGACGACCTCCTCGATCCTATCCCATGCTTGGCCGAAACGCACAATGTCTTGGACCTCGAGATGATCGAGAATTTTGTTCAGTATCTCGACCGGCAGGTCACGAATCGTCGGGGGGTTACGAGTAGTCGGGGGCTCTGTTGGACGCGTAAGATTGTAGGCCGTGGAACAAGGGAATGGTAGGTGTCGAGCTCGACAGCAGAGACGAATCATATTGCACCTGAAGTCCAAGCTTCCATTCTGCAAAATGTGGATACTGCAACGACTGCACTTGTATTCCTCCCATTCGGACTGGATTCTGAGCTCAAACCCATGGGGGGATACTGCAAGCTCGGTGTCTCCGTCGAACATGCTCAACAGATGCATCGCGAAGGTCTTGATGGTGTAAGCCGATTTGTCTTCGTCCCTAGACGCCAGTGACGTAGAACAAAGAAGTCCATCCGGGTCTGGGTGTCTTGCTCGGCCACCAATAAATATGGCGGGAGGAGTGCGAGGGTAGTCGGCGCCGAACCTCAAAGACACGTGCACGAGTCGGGTGCCTGTGTTGAGAACAAGGCACGGCTCATAGAGTGACCATCGGCCGGGGGTCAGTTCGGTGTTGGGATAAGGGTCGTTCACCATTTCGGCGATGTCGCGGGCGAGCCGGCGGCGAGACACCGGATTCTGCTCTGCCCCGAAGGGCTCTCCGATGGGGAGCAAGTCCCCGGAGTGCTCTCCGAAGGGGAGCCAGTGGCTCGACCACATCTTGAAGGCGATGTTTGTGGTCGTTCTGTTCTGGTGGTCAGCAGAACGATGGGAATGATGGAAATTCAAGCGGAGCCCTGCGCACATACCTGTCTGACGTTGACTCAATTCTCTGCTAGGCAAGCGGATGGAGCATCAGATGCGATACGTAGACGGTCTGACGAGCGTTGAGACGGAGGAGGTCAAGTGCGCCTGGAAGAAATTTTGGTAGGTTTGAGACCAATGGCAAGGAAAGGAATGGCGAAAAAGTAGTTGATATCTTTGTTCGGGGTCGGGGTTGTTACTTGGAATTCACTGGGCTGGGATCTGGCACACAGCCCGGTCTTGTAGCCGCCTCGGAGCGGGCTTCCACCTGAAAACAAGGAATCCACCCAGATACATCTTCCTTGATGTAATTCACAGCACTCAAAAGTCTGTCATGATCACAGCAAGGGTCAAACCTACACAAACAGGGACACGGGTAAGCAAAGTGCGTGAGTACCTCGAGATATTCGCGCACCTGGGCAGGGCTACCAGCATATCTGATACGAGCTCGCAGAAATTGAGAGGCCCTGCTGTCTATGAACTACGAAACAGTCTACCTTCACCCGGTCTCCACAGCATGGTCAACAGGACGCGTTGGAGCTGGTGTTGTGTTGTGAGCCAGGTCAGCGCGTATCTACCCAGCAAGGTCCGGTCTCAAGATATGATGCACTGGAAGCAGATATCAAGCTGTCCAAGAACAAGATATTGAATTCATGTATTACTCCGTCACTGTGTCGTGTTCTGTTTATCTATCACTGATGTCAAAAAACAACAACCCATCACTTTTGATCCAATAGCAGGCGGCCTTCCAAAAGCTTACCTGCATACATGAATCTTGTGGAAGGCAGAGTAACACCCAACAATGTCCTCAAAGCCCATGCAGCCACAAATTAACATGAGGGTTACCACTTCGGACTACAACGCAAACCCTCTCCAGATGTCTTCAATCAAGGCTCGAACATCAGACGGCAAGCCATCAGGGTCGATAGTCAGCTAAGAAGATCGATAGCAGGAGGAGATGCAACACCGAAGTCACACAGTGACGACTACAGTTTTCCCCAAGGCTTCCATTAAATCAGATACATAATTCCAAGCCAAAGAATAGATAGTGTACCGCAGAACGCCCCTAGATTTGATTGTTATCATAAAGACTCGAGCATTAATGCCAGTGGCTCAACAAGTGAGAGCAAGCACACAAACCTTAGCATGATTATCCTTGGTTCCAGCTGTATCGCTACAAAGAGCAATGCCCATACATGGTTGAACATCTCGCCGCACCTTGTCCACCGGGTTCAAATTGGTCAAAAGCAACATGTTTTCTAATGCGATATGGTATCTCCACCTCTGCCTCTCCATTGAGTAATCACAATGAAATCAGTAACAAGACTTCCGTGGTTCATTCATCAATCACCGGGTACTCCATGCCTTCCGTGTACAATAGACAATGCATAAAGACAGCCACCAAAGCTCCTACCCCAAAATGCACACAGATGCCGCATCAACACGGTCGTCAAGCCAACAACCCATAGAACCAGAATCTTGGCCCCACCATGGGGGGCGTCAGCCGTGGCCGTCACCATAACCACCACGCCTGTACCTGCCCAACAATGAGCTCCACTCCGGGCTGCTCCATCTAGTCCCGCCGGGGAACTAGTCCGACCAGTCCTTCTCAACACGCCACGCGTCGCTCGGCCTCAGCCCTGCGCCCGAGATCAAATCACAGTCCCGGTGGCCCCATTTCCGGCGGAAAACCTCGCGTCCGGCCTCTGTCAGGACGTCGATTGCCTCCGCCAGCCCAGTGGAAGAATAGTAAAATGGCTCCCCCATGCCGCCGTGCTGGCCCTGCTGCCACGTATTACGGCCTCGCTCGCCGTGTTTGTAGTGAAACATGCGGTCCGAGACATGGCGCAGTGAGTGGTAATACGCCAGATTCGGATCTTCAGAATCCGCCGCTTCAGGAGTCGGCGCTCGCTTTGCTTTGGTATCTGGTTCTGGGTGTGGCGCGGGTGGGTTCGGGTCTGTGAAGTCGGGGACAACTCTTGGGTCACGATATAGCGCGAGGAGGTCGTTCAGCGCGGCGCTGGTATCTGTGACCGTTCCAGCGTGTTTGTCGATCATAGTTAGGTTCGACATAAGGAGTCGGCTGTGCATGTCGCAGTCTGTCAAATAGTACGGGATGAGAGTATCCCATCCTCCAACTTCCTCGTAAGCCTTTGGGTTAACCAGTGCCAGGTGATCGTATGCGAGAATCGCACGGCCCATCGACTGTCGTTCTTGCGCGCATCGTCGAGCCACTGGCATCCAAGCTCGTACACTGTCTTGTATCCAGGTTGGTTGTATGGTGGTGTGACCCCCTCAAATCCTTCTTCGAACGACAAGGTGAGCACATCCTGATGAGACCAGAAGTAGTAGGGCCACTCGTGCGTGTTGGCCATAGATAGGAAGAAGTTCTGGAGCTGAGCGAAGTTAAGGAGGACGGGCGTCTGTACGACATTGACGCCAAGTTTCTTGAGCTGCGCGTGGTTCAGGTAGAAAGGATTCTGAAGAGAGAGCTGGCCACGGGCGTTGGCCATCTGAACGCCGGTATTCTCGATGACGTATATCTGTTCGGGTGGCCATCCTGCTGTGATGTAGGAGACGACTGCTTGCAGGAGGATGGGCCAGGTGCGAGTGAATCCGATAAGCAGGGGAGGTGGAATTGGCAGGTCGTACTCCTCGTGTAGGTTTGGCCGGGGCTTATTCCACCGTGGAATAGGAGGAGGCGTCGACATCGCTAGGAGGGGAAATGGATCGCGAACAGGAGGGGGAGTGTAGGTTGGTGTAGGTTTGTATTTCGGGGTCGGTATAGGTTTCTCTTCCGGCTCCGAAGGAGTGCGCAGCCCTTCGACCCAGGTCTCGACGTCGCCCTTGACTTGTTTTGCGACATTATTGCCAGCGAAGTCGACACGGAGGAAGAAGATGAAAAATATGAAGAGACACGCGACGATGAAAAAGTTGAAGTGCCGACGAGTCGACATGATGGCGGACATGTCTGGTCAACAAGCTAACTTCAGTACGAAGCCGAGAAGTCCAGCTGGCGAGGGACTGATGGGACTACATGCGCAATAGGCCAAGTTGGAAGCGCAAGCATCTATAGGAGGGCTGAGGCTGGAGCTGGTAGGTGATAATAAGACCGCACGTATTCTTGTGGCGATGAGATCACGACACCAGTGTGGCTTGGTCACCTCAATGCCTTGGCTGTTCTGTGGGTGACGTTGAGAGGTTCCAGGCCTAGAGGGGAATCGGTGTCGTGGGATCGTACTATCCCTGCGGAATTCCAGAGAAAGATTACAAACAGCAGCAACAGGTAGGTCGTGACTGAGAGATCCCGTCCCGGACGAGCGTCACCGCGCAAATGGACGTTTGACAAGGACCAGACAGAAACGCTGAGGCAGCAGAGGGCTCTCTGACCGGAGACGCAGAAATGTGCAAAGGATCCGAGGCAACAGATAAATAACCAGTAGAGAAGGAGGAAGAAATTGGTACAAGTTACTTGGTACTGGACTTTCGAAGGAAGGAAGCGAGGTGCGCGCCACAAGTACGAGTGGAGCACAAGTCCGGAAGGAGCTAGGAAGCTATGCAAGACGCTGGACTGGGACCAGAACTGGGGCCGAGCGAGGATGAGGAATGGAGTGAGTAAGAGGGTAGGAAGGAGGAGGAGAAGATGAGCATTTACTTGTCACCAAGAGGGGATTTCAGGGGAAGGGCGGAGGAGGGATGGGAACGATGAAAACGCTCGTCCTACCGTCATCCCAACAAAGTGCCCAGACGGACAACTCGGTGCTGGACAAACCTTGGAACAGATCGCTGAGCAGAATACACCCAGGGACTGGCTACCTGGGCCTCCGGTTTGGAGGGTGCGACCCAGAGGGGACCGTGTGGTTGGGCGAGGAACCCCCAGCACACAGTGTTAGAACAGGGCTAGGGAAGGGGGTTACCGGTAGTAACTGGTGGCAAGACAGGGCAGAGGGGCCATTGCATCTGAAAGATATGTTAGACTACCGTACAAGGAAGCACAGGGCTTGAGGTGCATCTGTGCAATCATGACGCAGGCCGGCGGCTAGTCGGCAGTGCTCGAGCAAGGAGCTGTGGACGGGCTGGGCGGATGGTGTGGACGTGGATCCGTTGTAGTCTAGAACAACTCAATCGAGACATGCTGGTAAGGGTGGCTATGGCTCTGTCAGTGTACGATTTAGGAGAGCAGCTGGACAGCCGGGGAAAACGATGCGTGGTGTGCCGCGTGTCGCCGTATCACAAGGCTGATGACAGATTGGGGCTGAGGCTGGCTGGGTGATGCTTGTCTGCTCGAAGCTTGCCTCCCTGGTGCTGCAGGTGGCAGCTCATCCGATGCTACCCTGCCACCACACCGCAGAGTGGCCTGCAAGAGGCGTAGTGTAGACTTGTTGATGTCGAGCAGATTCTGTGCTGGCAGTTGCTGGTGCTGGTGCTGGTGCTGGTGCTGGTACTGTTGCTGTTGGAAGGTGTATCTCGGCAGCGAAAGAGCCCGTGGCACCCGACGCACGCACTCACTCTTCGTCTTCGTCTCGACATCATGCTCCCGCTGGTGGGTGAGAGGGGAAGGAAGACGAAGGAAGGAGCATTGAAACGCCCGGGCTTCGACAGTGTCTGTGCTGGCCAGCCAGCATCAGACGGATCGGATGGAACGGTCAAGGGCAGCCAGTCGACCGGTGCTTAGCACTTCAGGAACTAAGACGCTATGGGCTGTATGGCTGCACCAAGTGCACTATGGAAGTACGGTACCACAAAGCTGGGAATGGAGAAGAACCCATCCAGGAATCCGGCGCACAGCTGGGGAAGGACATTGAGTGGAGCAGGACGGTAGGACGGTTCGTTGAAGCTCCAGGATACGGCCGATAAGGTGGGTGTAGGGGTGGGTGCCAGACCTGTGGATCCATGTGCAAATCTCGTCTCTTGGTATCGCAGTGCCGAACAGGATTGCATATCCTGCCACACTATGTCGACTGCAGCTTCCCGACCTGTCACCTGTCACCTGCCACAGTCGCAGGTTGCTACAGAAGTGTACTGTACTGTGGCGTCCGTGGCCGTTCAGCGTGGACAAGGAGCGTCTTGACAGCAGGACTGCCTTGCATACTTAGACTGCATGGTCAGACATCAAGTCTTTGTCCGTTTGTCTGTGGGCACAAGAGTAGGACGAAGCAGGAGGCATGGGGCAGGGGGCACGGGGCATGACCATGCTCGAGAGAGCGAGCGCTAGGCGTAGCAAGGAGGCAAGCTAAGGAGTGAAGAGTGAGGTTGAGGTGAGGTTGAGCACGGACCACCTAGGCCAAAATGCTCCGGTCGTGACACCCACTTGCGTCATCATGGCATTTCCACAATCGCAGCTGCCAAAATGCATGTCCAATCAGCCAGTCGGTCAATTTGGTCGTTGAGCGACGCGTCGATCGAACGGTTGATGGGGCCAGCCATCCTTCTGTGGCTCGTCTCTGGGAGAACGACAAACCGATAAGCTTACTCCGTCTAAACCCCATCAAGGGATTTACTACTATGTGTAGTACGCATGATGCAGGTATGACTGACTGATGGTGCTGTGTGTGTGTGTCGTCGGCACATGTGCACACCAATAACCCACGATCTGCCGGGCGGGTGCAGGGGCGGGATGTTCCTCTGCAGATCTCCGTGCGGCGCTCAGATCCAGGCCGCAGTGCCGCAGTGCCGACTTTTGCCTGCGGCCGGCCGTGACATGGTACGCAGCCTATCCATGAAACGTGGTTCCATTTGGGGACCCCTGCCCGAACCAACCTTGGGTTCCTGTGGCCAGGTCTCACAAGCACTCAATCCGAGCAAGCCAGCCAGCAAGCAAAAAGCCTAGCTACTCGAATGTCATCAGCACCATCGCACGTACTGCTTCCACCGCATTCGTAGCCGGCCCCTGCAACGGCCAGCTAGCCTCAATGAAGCATGCTATCCACAGCTGCTGCATCGCCCCGGTCGTGGTCGCCCTCGCTCTCCCTGTCGCTCTTGCTGCTGGCAGCTCTGCAGCTGGTCACGTCGCCAGTCACCAACGCCCTGCTCCATGAGCAGGTCGCCTTCGACAACTCAGATGTCTGCTGGTGGAGCTTGATCCCTCCGGACCTCGTCTGTCCCGTCCTCAGGCAGCAGAACCTCACCGACATTGTCAATAGCCTCGCCGGGCCCCCGCGATGGACTGGTGGTGACGAGTGTGTCGGCAAATACTGCCTCTACAACAGCGCGCGGTTCGCCGGCGGCAGAGGCCTCGCTGCCATCACCACCGCCGAGAACATCGCCAAGGTCAAGGAGGTCGGGGACCTGCTGTACCAATACGAGGTCTCGTTTAACAACGATGACGAGAACCTGCCTTTCCATGTAGCGGAGGTCGAGGGCAAGGGGAACGGCGTTGTCGCCAACCACCGTCTCGCCCGCGGCGACCCCATCATGGCTCACACCCCTGTCCTTCTCATCCATCAGGCCTTCAAGGAGGAGCCCGACCAGGACAAGCAACACCAACTGCTAGACCTGGCTCTGAAATCACTGCCTGATCACAGCGCGGACCTGTTCATGGGCCAGATGGCCCACAACCCCGACGAGCATCCCGTCGCAGCCCGTCTCACAACCAATGCCTTCCGACTGGACCTGGGAGGGGACGACGGCCAGCACTACGGTGCTTTCCCCGAGGTGGGCAAGACAAATCACGACTGTCGGCCTAATGCTGCATACTATGTCGACCAGTCAACGCTGATGCATATCACCACCGCGGTCCGCCCCATTAAGGCAGGCGAGGAGATCTCCATCACGTATCTGGACCCTCTTTCCCCGCGAGCCGACAGGCAGGAGCGTGCCCAGTCCCACTGGGGCTTCGGATGCACCTGTTCTCACTGCAGTGCCGCCGCTGACGATGTTGCCGAGTCGGATAAGCGCCTAAAGGAGCTCAAGTGGATCGAGGGGCAACTCCAGGACCTGAACAACACCTCCAACGATGTCTCCGTGGGGCTCATCACCTACCTGCTGAAGCTGTACGAGGATGAGCGACTCCACTGCCGCATCGCCAATGCGTACATCCTTGCGGCCCTGAATTTTAACGTGCTGGGGTTTGACCAACGCGCTGCCAAGTATGCCTCCTTGGCCATCGATGCCTTGAAAATTGAGAAGGGCGAGGGTTCATCGCATGTCGAGTCCATGGAGGAGCTGAAGAGGGACCCAAAGGGACATCCGACTTTCAAAGGCAGAGGTAAGAAGGGTGGGAAATGACCGATCACAGCCACGAGTAGCCTGCCGGACTCAATTCCGAGCGGGAGCAGCAGTCAACACTGAATAAAGACTTGTTCGAAGCTTGTATACTCCGGCTTCATTCCATGAATACATCATCTTGTAGTACATACGGATTACTGTCCCTTTCTATGTCTGCCCGACTACTGCCAGCGCTCAAGATAAGACAGTCAAAGCCTCTCCGTGGCACACAGGGACCCGCGTACACCATCAGGAACACATCCGAGAACCCATTACCACGCCCACGACCTCCTCCTCCCCCTCCTTTCCCTGCGTCGCCGCAAACACGCACCACCTTTCACGCCTGCGGGTCCGTCCGCTTGCTCGGCGCCTTGGACTCCATCTTCTCCTCCGAGGCGGCCAGGTTATCAGGCCGGTTGGGCGCGTCCCCGGGCAGGTCCGCCTTGCTCTCGTCCGCCCCGCCCGCCCCCGACCCGCGCTGCTCCCTGCCCTGCGCGAACTCGCCGCCCGCCTGCGCCGCGTGGTCGTTGTGTTTCGCGCCCGCCTGGCCCTTGGATATGGTGTACGTTGCGGCGCCTGTGAGGAGGGATGCTGCGCCTATGAGCCTGTTTTGGTGGGAGGTGCCAGGATGCACTTGGGACGTGCCCGCGGTGTTGCTCATGTGAAGTACGGGATAGGGGGGCTTACAGTGGCAGGTTGCCGCTCTTGCTCGGTGTGTCCATCTGGCGGCTCTCCTTGGGCGATTGCTGCTCTGATGCGTACCCGCGCTGCTGCTGCTGCTGTTGCCGGGCTGCGCGGCTTAGTTGGCCTGGCTGGACGGCTCTGGGGCGGCAGCATGCCGCTTGGCAGGTTGATGGGAATGCTGAGGCACGCATGTTTCCTTTTTTGTTCTCTTCGATCGTGTGAAAATTGTCGTGGCTGTTCAGTCCCGTCAGATCGGCTTTGCAGTTGGTATGGTGGTCTGTTTGTTGGCTTTGGTATGGTAATTGATTGTCAGTCATTGTTGTAAATTGGCCAGGCATCTTGTTAGAAATGTGCTTGCTTTTCTCCAGAACTTTGTTGATCAAGTTAATGACAGACTTTCTACGCAAGTTAAGCGTCATATCACGGTACCCTGTAGAAAATTTTCGATTCAGATTGCAGGTCGGCTGTTTTTAAAAGTCGGTTCGTGTGGAGAGATGGATCTGGTGCAGGATGACAGTCCGATAACGTTTGTTGCGCACCCCGGATTCCCACTACACACCTCCCAACACTAACTTTATCTTAGCATCTACTATTAAGGTAAGTACCTACTTACTATTAATTTGCTTAATACTTACTTAAACAACTACTATCTTTACGATAGCATAATAATAGCTATGCCATTGCTACTAAAGCTGTAAACCCTTAAAACCTTAATAAATGCATAAGCTGCATTCCTTATTAAAGCTAACGGCTTTTAAGTTATTTAATAAGGTAAGTATTATTAAAATAAGCTATAACTTAATTTATTGCTGCTTAAAGGCGCCTTATTAATTAACTTTTTAAACCCCTTTGCATTACTAATAATATTAATCTTAATGCTTATAAAATTACTTATATAAAAGGCTATTAAAATTAATGCAAAGAATAAAGTCTTTATTATCCTTATATAAGCACTTAATAATACCTTTTAATAATTTAACTTAAGTATTTATTTTAAAGTTATTTATAAGTTTTATATAAACTTTAGCATATATATTTAGCATACATTTAATAAAAAAGCAACTTTAACCCTTAAAAATCTCTTTACTTATAATACATTACAAAAACCTACCTTTATTCCCTTCTTAATAAAGAAATTTATAGCTAATGCTATAATATATGCAATTATATTAATTATTACATTAATTATAAGCTATGCTTCTCCTCTTTAATGCAAAGAAAGCTAAAAGCAAGGCAAGAAAATTATAATCTTAAATATACATTATACTTAAAATATTTAATTAAAAAATGCTTAAATCTTTTTATATTTAAATAAAAACTCCCTAGCTTAAAGGTATAACTTATTTATTATTAAGCAAGTAATTTATAAAAACCTTAAAATCTTTCTTTTAAACCTTTTAAATATTAATAAAGTTTGATTTAATTAAACTTTATAGCTTAAGAATAAGCTTATTTATAAGGCGCTTCTTACTTATAATAATAAATTATAATTCTTCTTTAAATATAATAAGGTAAAGGCTAGTAAAATTTAATATACTTATTATATAGCTAATATATTTATTTAAATTACTAATCTTAATGGTAAATTTATTAATATAAATAAGGTAATGCTAAATAAAGTTTATATATAAACTTAATAATAGCTAATAGCTTACTATTATTTATGCTATTATAATAATTATATAAGCATTAATACTTAAATTATTTTATTTATAAAGCTAATAATATAAAGGTTTATTCTCTTTAAATAAAGCCTTCTTTCCCGCTTACTTTAAAAGAAATTCTATTTATCTTAATATACTAATTATTAAAAATTTTATAAAATAAGCCATTATATCTACTAAGTCCACTACTATAATTGCAATAGTAGCAAATATAGCCATAAGGGATATACTTCCTTAATATAATGCATAAACTACTAAGGCCCTTATATATTAAACATATTAAAGTGCCTAGCTTACCCTATTAAGCGTAAAGGGGTTATGATTTAGCTTACTAAGGAGCAATAAAAACAAATCTGCGAAGAAGGCTTTTAAACCTTTAACGCCCTTTACTTAAAATAAAACTTAGCTAGGAAGGCAAAGAAGCAAAATAAAAGCACCCTTGCCTTAATTTCCTTCCCCTTAGCTAAAAAGCGCTTTATTACCATTTCTTATTAATTAATGCAATTTTTAAAAAAGCAATTAATTAATAAGCAAGCTAATTTTATAATAAATATTAACTCTTAAGTAATATGCTTATTAACCTTTATTTATGCATTTATATATAAATAAACGCCCTTAATATCCATATAAGCAAAGCACTTAATGCCTTATTAATGAAATTATCTTTTAATTAAATGTTAATAAAGATATATAAGGTAAAGCAATATATAATGCTGTTTTTAAGCTAATATAGGCTAATTGCTTAAATATAATCTTATTATAAGAGCCTTAAACCTATATTTTTAATTTTAAGCAATATATTATTAAAATATACTTTAGCTTTAACTTCTTTCTTTTATATAAGCGTTAAATATTTAATAATAACCGCTTATAAATTACAATATATATTTACAAAAGCTATAAGCTAATAGCAAATTAGCTCTTAATAACCCCTACTTATAATATATTATAAGTAAAAATTAATAAGCAAACTTATATAAATGCATATAACATTCCTATTGCTATAGCTAATACCTTAAAGGTTTAGCAAATTCTTAATACTTAAGCCCTATTAAAAAACTATATTTTAATAAAGAACTTTAACTTTATCTTTTAATAATAATAAAGCAATAAGCCAGCCTTTAATATTAAAGCCTTCCTTACTAACTAATTAAATAAGCATAACATAATAATGCTTAATGCTTATAAAGTTCTTATTAATGGGTTTAGTAATATATTAAACTTAATTCTTATTAATATTACCCTTAACTTTTGCAATATTAAGAAGCACTTAAATATAGGATTAAATTACTTTACTATAATTATAACTCTTTCACTATTCTTTACTAAGGCTACCCCCCTTAGCTATATTAAGCATAATAAGAAAAAGCTAAAGCGCTTAGTTAATCTTATTAAAACCACTATTCCAAGCCTCCCCTTATTAAAAACAATAATCACCTTACTAAATACCTATGCCTTTAAACTAATTAAGATTATTTAAAATGCAATTAAGGCAACAAAATACCATACCTAATAAAATTAATATATTGCATAATAAATAAAAGAATATATTATAAAATACAAGCATATGCTAAATAAATATTACCTTTAAAATAATTAACTTTACTTATCTTATTATATAGCAAGACTTAAATTTTAAGCCAAAATCCATAAAACTAAATAATATTAAAACTGCTTAATAATTAATAAATACTAATCCTATAAGGATATATATTAAATTATTAACTAATATAAAGTTTAACTATTTATTACGCCGCTACCCTTAGCCTTAAAAGGGCAAGTTTTTATTACTTAGGAAGATAAGGCTATAGCGCTTAAGCAAGCAATCCTATAACGCTTTAACTTTAATAATAATATCCTAAACCCCTAAATACCGTTAATATCGCAGCAAGCCATTTCTTAAAATCCCACGGTACTCCTAAATAAGGCTATTAACGTTATTACCCATATAAGCAACACCACCCTAAGCATTAACAGTATTATAATTAAAATTCTATGCATTATATAAGCAGCTATAAGCAAGCTTATTTAAGCTTATTATAAGCTATACCTTATATTAAAATACTTCCCTTAGGTATTTTAATTAATAAAGATTATTATAATTCTTAAGATAAGTAATTAAGATTTTATATAAATAAGGGGCTAGAAACTTATAGCTCTTATTTTAATACTTAGCAAGAAACTTAAGCAACTATTTACTTAACAAATCTCCCACCTTATGCTTACCTACAAGGTTTTATTTTTAAACTAAGTTAAAGCATTATCCAAAAGATTTATTATTAACTTAGCTTGCTTACTTATATATAATATCTTAATAATACTAGCTATTAGCAAATTAATTACTATAATTATATTTAATGTATTTAAGGCTTTTAATGCAATCCTTTATAATAAACTTACTTTTATAATGCAAAATTAAGGATAGCTCTTTATTTTAATTAAGCTTATCATTTCCTTCCTTATAAAATATATAGCTTAAGTTTGCCTATAGCAAGCAATAACAAAGTTTTTTAAGCTATTATATAGCCTTTCTCAAGGTTCTTCCCTATTATCCATCCTTTTTTTCTTATATACTAAGCTAATTTATCACCTTAATAAGCCAAAGAAAAGATTTAAATATATTAATAATCATACCTTAATTACTATTAATAACTCCCTTATAAACATAACTAATAAAGCTATAAATAAGCTTAATAAGCTCCTATAATAAGGTTAAAATAATATTATTTAATTTTTTAAAAAAAGATAAAGATAATTTATTTTATATATAATAAAGTAAATCACTTACTATTTATTTATTACAATATAATAAAGAAAAAACCCTTAAAAACCCTTCATTAATTAAGCATTTAATTTAATCATAAGCTAAAATTTTAATTATATATAAATAAATAAATAAGCAAAGCTTAATAAATAAAGGGCTATATATGCTTACTTTATATAATATTTTAAAGATCGCTATTACGCTTTATAAAATAAGCAATATGCACTTATATTAAGCTAATTGCTCTTTATAAAACCAAAATCTAATTTCATAAGCATAATAAACTTATAATAGCTCCCTCTTATAAAAAGATTATTATAAGCAATAAAAAGATAATTAATAAAATTAATTCCTCCCTTTAACTAGCTCTCCTTACCACGCTTTTAATATTTAAAACCTTGCTAATTAATGCGCTTTATAAAAAAGTTAATATCCTATATATAAATATTTTATTTATAATTATAAAAAATTATTATGCATTCCACTTAGCTATATTAAACCCTAACTACCTTTTAATTATGCGCTATAACGCCTATATAAAACGCTGCAAGGCTTTCATTAACCTTAAATACCTTATTAAGCTCTTATCATCCTTTAAATACCCTAAGTTATAACTTTATTACTATACTAAGGACTTACTTTTATTAATTATTTTGCTTAAAAAAAAAGCCGCAACCTATAAATATTTATAATAGCTTAAGTTAATCTCATTATTTAATATAATAATATACTTAAATAAATTTAAGTAAAAAGATAAAGTAATAAAATAAGGGTTTGCCTTATATTAAGGCAATTACCTTATTTATACTTTAAAAGGCTGCATAAGTAAAGCTAAGATCTTTAATGCCAAAGCAATTAAAGCCTTGCAAGGCCTATTTATTATGCTTTGCATTACTAACTTTAATAAGCATCCATCTTTAATTAAAATACATATCTATATTAATAATACCTTTATTATCCAATCCCTGCAAGGCATTTTAACTACTTCCTCTTAAAGGAAATTTCGCAAGTTTAAGGAGCTGGCTAATATCTATAAAAATGTTTTAACTCATTAAAGCCCTAACTATATAAGCATTAAAGGCAATAAAAAAGCTAATAAATTTATTAATAAGGGCTATTACCTTCCCTTATCATTAGCTGCAAAAACTACTCTAGCAGTTATTTATAAAATAATTTATTAATAAGCTAATGAAAACTTTTAAAAATAATAGCAAGCTAACGCTTTAAAAAAATATAAAGCCTTTAACCTTATAACTAAGGTATAATACCCACTTAAACTTAACATCTTATAGTAAGTATTGCAATAATTACTTACTATATGCTTTAGCTATAGCGACTTTAAATTATATTATAAGAAATTCTATCATAATAACGCAAATACCCGCTATTGCTATAACCATTAAAAAACCCTTAAATATATTTTTTAATGCACCTATATCCTTAAATACCTTTAAAAAAAGTTAATCCCTTTTCCTAAAGTTACTATTAATTATATAATAAGCATGGAATTTAAGCATTTTATTAACCTAGCAAAGCGCTCCTATTTCTTTAATAAGCACCCCCTTAAAAAGACCTAATCCCTTTATATTTTTCCCTTTTATATATATTTCTTTATTTTATTTCCCTTATATTATTAAATTTTCCTTTATTCTCGCTTATTTAAGGCTTAAAATCAAGGTTTTAGCGGCTCTTTCTTTTAATAAACTATATATTAAACTTTTGCAATTCATTTCACGCTTAGCGTAATTATACTTAATTACTTTTATAGCATTCTTAATATTAATAAAGGGCCTAGAAATAAATATAAAAGTATCATAAGCCTATAACTTATTATATAAAGAAGATAGGGGTTTTTAGGTGTTAATATGCAAAGTTTATTATTTTTGCAGGATTTATTAACTAAGCAAGTACTCCTTAGCCCGCTATTTAAGCTATTATAGCATTGCTATGATTTTAGGAAACCACTATACCCACTCTTTGCATATAATTATGCTTATTAGCCCGCTATTATTTATAATTACGCCCTATACCCTATAAAAGGTAGCCACTAAATAGCACCTACTGGCAGCTATATCTATGCATGCTTAAACGTACGTACTGCCGTCGCCATAGGCCTGCGGCCCATAGCGTAAATCAGACTCTCTCTCTCCCCCCCCGGATTCCCACTTCTCACTTGTGGAGATTTTGTATATATTCAACGAATTGTCTTTCTACAGCCGGGGTTACACAGAATTGGCAAGACACCACTCGCTACATAAGTTGCGAAGTGCCAAATTGCTCTAAATCGACCAATGTTTGGAACATGTTGCTGCATGGCTGCATCCATCGCTTGAAATGGTCCGCCTACCAATGAGGTCTTCTTATTTGCACTGTTTGGCCTTCCAAGTAATCCTATGTGATCTCCTACCCATTGCTGATGTGAAACCGTGTGGTACGAGTTTTAAGAAAAATTACCTTGGTCACACCCTTCTCTGTTCACACGTAGAAAGCATGAGATTCGGCCCCGCATCCGAAACATCCAGAATTTGTGATTCATAGTCTAGAAAGTCCTTAAACAGTGGAGAAAGTTTTTCTCCATTTCTGCAGCATTCCTATATATCACTCCCGTGTCCGGTAGCTTCCGAAGAGCCGGTATGGTTGCAAGTAGGCCTAAGTATCATGAGGCATCACCCTCGCAGTTGTAAGTGATAACACAGACGAAATGCCCGGTGAGCACCAGCAGGCCGCAGCATGTGAATATCTCTGATCTGTTATGACTTTCCCGTCGCCACGAGGCATCCAGTGGTTGATTTACATCTGCAGCGTTGGCTGTCTGGCGGTGTAATATTTAAGATGTGGATATTAATCAACATTGAACTAATCAAGACCTTGCGTTCTCTAGGCCTCTTGTTGCTTCCTTTCTTTTCGCCTTATATGTGGCCGTGATTTCATTTCAATGTATATGTTTGAGAATGCGGAGATTCGCACCTGCAAAAACAGGGTACACCGGTACATCAACTTATACCATAGCCATAGCTATCAGAGCATATCACCCTTGTTTAATTCGTTTACTTATACCTAATACCTATATACCTAAGTTTAATTAGGTATATTAATTAGGTATACGCTAGGTATATAGGTGTAGGTATGGGTGTAGGTATATAGGTAGAGGCATGGGTGTAGGTAGTAGATACATGGGTGTAGGTGTGTTAGGTGTAGGTGTGTTAGGTGTAGGTGTTGGGTATGGGTGTTGAGTGTGGGTGAGGTGGTGATGTGCCGGTGTACCCTCCGTTTTTGCAGGTGCGAATCTCCATATTCATGTTTGAAGCCCCCTCTTAGCATCTTGGAGTACTGTCAGATACACCAAAGCTATCTTATCCTCTCCACTCACTGCGAAGCAATGTCAATCTCGTGCATCGGGCTTCTCTCACCCTTTTTACTCAACGAGAAATAAAGTGTTGGTGTGATAGCTGAGCAACAACGGGGCCATCTTCAGCTCGGTTCCACCTGAGGTGGGGGAACGAGCGCTGAGGCCGTATAGTCTGTTGTCGGTTTGCTTTTTCTTGTGACTGAAATTGCTGATCATGTTACAATAGTAGTTGCGCGGATTCGCTTAAATCATGGCTCCAAAATAATTCATCGAAGTTCAAGGTCGACAACGGTAGAAGCCGGCCAACCACCGAGGACTAAAATGCATTACCACATTCAACCAACAACACACCACCACTATTCTGAGTGAATGGGTAAGAAAAACTCGAGATGAAGACAGGATTTTCAATCCTCAATACTATGCCATGAATAAATACTAACACGCGCTTATGAAATGTACATATACGCTGGTAAAAGCCGGGAATTGTTGGTATTTCGGTAAAGATTTGGAAGTGCGGACGGCTTTCTCCGTCGCCCTCCAGGGCTTCACCATGATCACACGGATAGATCAGCGCCACCCTATACGCGCTCACTGAAGGTTCTCCACAGTTTTCATGCAGCACGAATTTTCGGGACCTCTCCGCTACTGCCAGCTTGATATCATTTCAGATTCTGCCTTCAAGAAACGCAGTAATGCTTGCCTTCTACCCTCTGCGTCACTGGATGTGATTTTCTATCGTAACTCAAACTTTGATACTCGACCTCCTCCTCGATTGAATCCGTCTTATCAACGTCACAATGGCTCAAGCAACCAAGCATGTAGCCCAAGAGAAGAGGCAAGGCATTTCCAAGCATAGAAGCTTCAAGTTCCGCCTCAGAACTTTCTTCCAGCGTGTCAAGGCGCGCAGAGACTGTTCTGAAACGGTACCGGCGTTGTCAGTCGAGCCAGATCGGCCACCTACACCACCTACCGAAACATTATCTCAAAGCCTTGTCTCAGAGACTAATCTGGTTGAGAAACTGGAGCCAGGCTCCAACATGGGAGGCCCCACCCTAGATCAAGAAAACCTCGCAGGCAAAGCAAGTCCGGCAACAGATGGCGACGTTGGTATACACGACCAAGATGGCGGTCATGAAGAGGACGGCTCCCATAGTGAGAGAGACCGGTCTCCGCCGACTGCCCCGACCCGCAACCCGTGGGCTGAAGCGTGGAAATCCACCGCGCTGACCGAGAAAGCAAGAGATTGTAAGAAATAAAAGGCGCTACCAGTGTGCAGCTTAGAGAGTTTATATATTCTGACATGCCCCCTTAAGCTATACACTGGGTTTATGGGTATTAGGTTAGAATTATTAATTACTCAGGGACTTAAACGCACAACCTCATGTAATCTTGGTATTGGAGTAAAGACCCTGGGTTGCCAAGCCAGGTAGAAACCTCCGTATTATTAATTAATTAAAGTTTGTTGCTCTTCCCAATAAGCCATCCGGGCTCATAACCTGTAAGAAATAAAAAGCGCTACCAGTGTGCAGCTTAGAGAGTTTATATATTCTGACAGAGATCAGTTGAGGTCATGAAACATACCACGCTCCGAGACTTCAGATGAACAGCTTAAGGTGTCCAATGCGAACACAATCATCAAGGGAAGGGACGATTTGTCCGAAGACGAGAAGAATCGGGAGATACTCGCAAACAAGTCCGACTACGTGAATGAAGTGATCGACGGGACGAGGAAAAAGCTGGAAGAATATCAGAACCGATGGGGACCAGAATCCGAAGTCATCGCCGTCGGTCAAGGAAAGAGGGTGTTGGTCTCTATTTTGACCATAAAACAGCTCGTCGACGTCGGATTGAAGTTTGACCCCTCTGGATATGGATCCTGTGTATGGGCAGTGCTGTCTTTCGGGTTGACAGTAGCAATGACCGGTTTCAAAATGACTAGTTGACAATTCAGGCTTCGTTTGACTGACTCATTCAGTTGGTTGAGAACGACAGAAACCGAATGGATCGGGCGTTCGAGGCAAGTGCAGACTGTGCCGAGCTCCTCGCCAGATATACCAAGATCGAGAGTTACCTTCGCCAGACCCTTTCAAAGGAGGCCAAGCTCGACACGGAAAAGCTAGAAAATTCCATCGTGGAGGTCTATGTAGCCATTTTGAACTACTCAGCGGCGGTCAAGGAAGCGTTGGATCGGTCGTATTTTAGTGAGTTTTTGCATGGAAAAAGTGAGCCTAGCTAGAATTATCTCGCTGACCTAATTGCGCCAACAGCTCAAATCAAGGGAAGTTTCAGAGCACTTACGGAGGAGCCATTCGAAAGCCTCAAGAAAACTGTTGAGAAGAAGGACAACTTATTGGAGAAATGGGAAGATCGTGTCAATCGCGAATGTGAGATAAACCACTTTGCACGGGACGACTTCATTGGCGCATTTTTTCACTAATCTTCGACACCGCAGATGAGGCAAAGTTCCGGGAGGACACGAAAAGAGAAGACGCCGCTAAGATTATCAACGACTTGGGTCGATTTCAAGCCGCAACAAAACATCGCCTTCAAGTCTTAGTAGAAGGCAGAGTTCTCGATTGGCTCAGCCCCAAGATAAGCTCAAGCACAGAAAGACATGAAGACCTGCGACATGCCATTGAGAAGATAAGGAAAGAAGATGATCACTGGTTTCTCCGGAAGCAAGAATACGTTGATTGGAAGAAGTATCCGCAGAGTGTCCTCTGGCTCCATGCACCATGTCAGTGTCTACGTTCATCTTTCAAGCCACGTCTTCCAGCTCTCCATGCTAACGTGAAGCTGGGCGCAGCTGGCTACGGAAAGTCATCGCTTTGGTATGTCTGCCCCTCCGTGATAGACTGATAATTAGTGTACAAATATGGCCCCCCCGCCGCTAATTCGAATCAAAGCTCCACCATCATCGAAAATCTCGCAACGACTCGTCGCTCAGATATTCCTTGTCAGAAAGTCATGGTGTATTGGTATTCTCAGTCCAACGGCTTGAATAGCCAAGGTCTGAAGCATGTCCTTCGGTCTATCCTGCGAGGACTGCTAGCCAGCAGTCCATCTCGCGGACGTCAACGGGTGGTTGATGACCATTTGTAACCAAAATCCGCCTCCGAACAAGCAAGTCCTTCTCGAAAAGGTGAAAGACGTGATCGGGAGGATTCAGCAGGACGTCTTCATCGTGCTGGACGGCCGCTATGGAATTCCTCTGCAGTCCAAGGACGTCGAGCGCAAGGATGTCCTCCAACTCGTTCATGATCTTGTCAAGGATGAAACCCTTGCAAACCTCCATGTACTCCTTATGAGCACATTCGAAACTGACATTAAAGAATGTCTGATGGATGATGCCGACTTAAACCCCGTCGGAGCGTGCGATGGTGAGTATGAAGCACGCCTTTCAACGCGCAGGCATCTTCTCAGGCCAAGGTTACGAGTATCTTGACGACGTCGACTTCCTGCACGCAAGGAGGCGCCTCTTGCGCCGTGATGCCAGGAGGTACGAGGAAGAATATGTTGCTAGCATGGGTCGAATGAACTTGGATAATAGCCGGCAAATGAGGCACTTGAGAGCAAGAGTGTTATACCGTCACTTCATTCACCGCACCAAAGAAGTGGATATGGACTTGAACGGCAAGATTTTTGTCGAAATGGCGCGCCAACAGCAGATGCTAGAGAAGCGCCTAAGTCAGCATGGCCAGAGTGATAGTATGTCGGAGGTTCCAGGCAAGGGCAAGGGAAAAGGCAAGGGCAGCATTCCGTCATCAGACGAAGGCGGGCTGGACAACAACAATTACGACGACAAACGCAACGACACGGAAATCCACCTAGTGCTGGACAAGTTTCTGCTCATCTTGAAGGACATTGTGGAGTTTGGCAAACAATGTGACTGGCTCCACGGGACCACAGCCGGACATGGCACGGACAACAATATCAAGGCCCTAACCTTCGAAGTCTTCGCAGCCGTGGTGCGACTTGCTGTTTCCCTCAACAAGTGGGAGACTGACACCAGGGAGTGCAATATGAATACCGCCCATATCGATGCCTTGCTCGCGCAGACGGTTCGCCTCCTCGCGACTGTGCGCCTTCCACGCATCGTCAATCTCGCGACAGCGGCGAGCCATCCGCTGCCGCACCTCGGTCACGGATACGGAAATAGCGCCGAGCCTAATATCATCGCCAGCTCCGAGGCTGGAGCATCTGGCAGCAACGACGGCTACCACAAGCCACTGCTACCCCAAGACGCTGCGATGATGACTCTCAAGGAGCTACCGCTCTTAGTCCGGGAAGAGGTGGCACCCATGTTGGACGAGTTACGAGCCGGTATGTGTGAGCAGATGAGAGAAATTGTCCAAGATGCCATCCAGAGCAAACTGGAGCGACAACAGAGGGCCCAGGAAGAGATGGCCGAAGTGAGATCTATTTCTTCGCAGAGGAGAGGATGGTACCGCGGGTGGATTGAGTCGTCATGGCAGGCCAAATGATCCGCGGAACAGAGAGGCAATGAGTCGGGTGCCAGGGAAAGATTTCCCTGTGGAGGGGTGGATAATAAATCAACTTGTGACCCTTTTGACCCAGCGTTCGGTTGATTGACACTGCCTCCAGAAAACGGCATATTTGAGCAGGTTTTCTGCTGATCGTTCGAAAATTTTGCTCTTGCGGACATGCTAGCTTTCACTAAGGAGGACGTTCGTTCAAACCGCTATAAATTCTATTCCTCACGAAGACGGCTCAATTAGTGCCTGAAGACTATTAGCAGCCTGATCACTTCTTCCACTTTGCGATGCCCAGCCATGATTTCCAATATCCCTGAAAGATTCCCAAAAAGATAGAAATGTGGAGTATATTCAATTTGAATAAAAAGGGAAAGACTTTCCAGGAGGAGCTGAATCGGTAGTGCAGTATACCCAGGACTCGGAGCTACCAGGGAACCCATCCCTGCCAATTGGTCCCCATCCTTGCGCTTGGCACAATCACCACCTTCAATACATATTAGGACTCCAAGATACAGTAGCTCTTGTCTGGTATATGTCATTGATCGACTTTGCTCTTCAATGCAGTTGTTCCATGACAAAGGAGGTTTTGAGCTCATGGGCTTGCTCTTCACACGCATCGGAAAGCAAACCAGCACCCGATTCCCCACTGTTACGCCATGGGCCAGGGATTTGAATGATCAATGGGATGAGTCTGTTGATTTACCTAGATGTCTAAATACGAGCCACTGACTGGACAGTGCCTAGGCTCGGGAAGCTCCGCTCAAGACTTGGAGCGCGACGGGCGACATGAAATCCTTCCCATCCCGCTACGTCCTCCAAAAGATGACACATGTTTCCAACGGAGCATGTACTATTTTCTCAGCAGTGCTTATGGATGTAAATGCAGAGTTTTGACTGAGGCTCTCTTCGACGACCAGCACCTCGTGAAATCAAGGATCTCTCCTCCGAAGCGTCGAGGTTATACGGACCTGCCCCGGAAGATTGTAGGGGCAACAATCAATACATTTTTCCCCTCATCCTGCTATCTTGGTCTACTCGGTTTCGGCAGTATCACGAAGCCTATGTAGGAATCGGAGGGTGGCATGAAGAAAAAGTATTTCGCGTCAATAGGGATTGGGTGGGCCGTAAAGGCCCGCAGTTGATAACAGTTGCCCAGGCTCTTGGGGTGAAGTCTTGGTCATGCCGAGAGCCTTGTCGCCATGGCACGCCCCTTCGAATATTCTAATTCGACAGGAGTAGCTTAGCCGACTCAGGTCGATCTCAATTCTATGCGCCGTTGACAAGAGCCGCTAGCCGGTCCCCCAAGTCAAACGAGTCGGAGACTAGGTGGGAAGTGCCAGCTCGGCACCAATCCACCGGATAAGTCCATGATCAGGTCGCAACGACCAAGCAATACCAAGCACGACCAAGCAAACCCAAGCAAACCCAAGCTTCTGACTCCCCGAATGTACTGATCCATTCGTCATTACCATCCTCTAAGCTTTCCATAATCCAACCTGCTTTTGGTTTAGAGAATCCTTCTGGCGGCTCCACAGAATTGGACTGAAGAAGTCAAGAGCAAGCGTAAAGGCCTTGATTTGGTTAATGTCCGCATGCCCAGCTGCAGCATATTCCAAGAGGCTGGAAGCCGCTTTGCCTTCTCACGGGATAGGCGTGAACCAAGATTTGGTTTGCTTGATGAATTGGCCGCTGACCCGTATAAGCTTCACGCTCTTCACAAAGAATCTGTCTCATATTAGGCGCTCACTCATTCCAACTAAATTATGATCAAGTAATACCACGTGCATCGCTTGATTGTGTATTCTTCCTATGCAATACGTTTAGAAGCACTTCTATTCTTCCGGGCGAATTACCCGAGAAGACCGCCACAAGACAAGGAACCGCATTCGTTTGTAGAAATAGTCTGTATATCCTGGCTCAAAAAATCTTTAGTCTTCAATGTTTGGAGTGCCATCTGACAATTCTGGTGGTTTCGAAAGTCTTGGGTGTTTTGGCTCTGAGAGATCCAAAGGCTCAACGTCTATTTGCTCTTCGGTGAATGGGACGTTTTGATCGCATCCCTCCCACTGGCCTATACCAAGCTCTTCGAAGGCCAGTCTTTGCAATTGAAGACAGCTATTGCTGTTCCACTCAGCGAGCGGATACCGAATGTTGCTGGCCCGCCTTTGGATGAGGCGACATAGAGACTCGAGGGATAAGGAGAGGATGATCAGGAGCAGGCCGACTGCAAACACAAGTGATATCCAAAGAACGCTAAAAGAGACGAAAGCCGTGCTCTTGATTTTCTGTCATAAGTCAATTAGCCTTCCCGATCTACGTAATAATGCAACTAGAATGAGATGTTAGTACCTGGTTCTGGCATATTTCCAGCTCTGAGGTTGAACTCGGACGAAGAATGGCCTCTTCATTCAGGTTGGGAAGATAGCCTGTCGCGGTGAGTACTGGAAAGTACTGAAGAGATGCCGATGCAATGTTAAACCAATGTTCGACATCGTTTTCCCATTGATCCACTGGCAGGTCACCTTGGTATCCTGCTTGGAGCCTATTTCTTGATTGCAGAGAGTGGCTGCCTAACCCGAAGACAATGTCTCGAGGTTGAGAGAAGGCGTAGAAATAATGCTGCAGCCACTGGATTGCGTTATGTTCTTCGTGGTAGGTCAAGACTTTGTGTGCCTCATCTCCGGCTCCAAATATGCCCATAGGTGCACTGCAAGACTTTTCTTTGGGCAAATTTGGGTTGCAAATTCGATATTGGACCAGGCATGCCAATGGAGGCGCCGGGTCATCTGCTGCATACATGGTCGCTGATGGCATGCCGGCTCCAATCGTCATATCCCAGGCCGGCCTGGTAGCGTGATACCACGGATCGAATGTTTCTCTTTCGAAAACGATCGCGTTCGTACCCAGGAATACAAGATGTGTATCTGCAATCATGGATCCCAGCTCGTTGATTGGGCGAAACCCGTAGCCGCCTATGCCGAAAGAGCCGTTTCTTAGGACCGCTATCTCCACGCTTGACAAGTCAGATATTGGTAACTGGTCATAGATGTGGGTGGATATATCTTACCCAAGGCTGTAGTCAGGTTGAGGAGCCAGTGGTCGTTGAACATCATTCTCTGCTAAGATTGATCGCATGTAGTCATCATGCGCGTCGTTCGAGGCCATGTGAGTGGTTTGAACTCCACCATCAGAACCCAATGAATAATTGTACAATTTAAATGACTGGGTGTTTGAGATGTTCATCGTCGAGGTATGGCCGCGAGTTTCCAAAACGCTGCATTGCCAAACATATCGAAGAGCAAATCTTTGAGAATTGGGGGTATTCATTCCGAGATCTTTATGGCTGTCGATAACTCCCGAGTCCATAGTGATGCTCGTAGTATTCGGTTTGCACAAATTGCCAAAGGGGCATTCCGTGTGGCGAGTTTTGCTTGTTTTCAAACGAGTGTTGATCAGAACGCCACACTCGCTTAGTGTGTTAGACATCTCATAGCATTGCGCGGCATAATTTAAAGCCATATTCATCCTGTCCGCCAGAACAGGTGCAGCACTGTCGTCCTTTTTGGCTCTGCTCAACTGGCCGCATTGATGGCCACGTATCAGGACTTCATGGTCGTCCCGAGCGATTCTGGACGAGAATCCAGTGCCAATGGCGAGACCAACCGAAACCAGAAGAGTGAATCCTAGTAAAGGCAGTTGCTTATGGATGTTGTGTATGCGGCGCCAGGTCCATGCCAGTCGGATAAGCATTAAGGCGGCTGAACCTGGGTCACGATAATTGCGAAGAATCGCTTGTCTTTGATGATGGACGACATCGTGCCGTCGTGGGCTCGAAAAGAATGCGTGAAGGGCAAAGCAAGTAATGTTCCAGACATGTACTGAAACCAGCGTGACGAAAAGAGCAGTGAATGCGATCAGCAAGTTAGCCTCACGCTGGTCGAGGGTCAGAGTAGAACCCTGGATCTTGCCGTAACTCCAATTGATCCATAATCCCGTATAGACTGTGAATGATTCTGCAAGGCTTGCTGACATTGTGTTTCAGACAGTGCTGTGCCTATCTCGAGGTAGGTTGAGTCTGGAGTGAAATTGTCCTGGATCATGTATAATGAAGATGCTCACAGGTCTGATGTCGGTCGTCATACACATTAAATAGAGTTTCATTTAGCATTCATTTCAGAAAACAATATGAGAAGAGCCACCATGAAGCTTAAAGAGCAATGTTAGTCTCACAAATCTGAGTTGCGCCTGAGCTTCGTATGAGTGTAACAAGTACACAGCCGATGAGGATCTGAATCAGCCCCGTATAGGATTGCACAATAACGATGTATAATTGGGCCTCTAATTTTGGAGGTACTGTCATACAACAAGAGATTACTCAGGCAAGGCATTCAACCCCCGAAACAAACGAGACATGCAGAAGCAGGCAGCATTTCAGTACGAGCAGGCACCCACAGCCTGAGACATCCAAGAGTCACAGCAAATGAAGGGCGAAATCATATTTCGGCCAAAGATTCGAGGGCTAAAGTTACCGCCCCAATATGCAACACGCTTAAATTAGCAAGTTCAGAGACAGCAGGGCAGCAAATGTAGACACCCAGGCACCCAGCTTCATCAGCGAGTCCGGAACATTCAGTCGCATGTGAATGACATTGGATGCTGGATGCTAGGTTGAGGCTGATCATTACTCAATGGCTCCATATAAATGATGTGGCGAATGAATGGGGTGCTCTTAAATCCCTAAGTGGGACCCTCTTTACACTACAGGGTTTCCGTTAAAAGATTACCCATGCCAGTACAACTCCCCATAAAGAATGTAACCAAATCTAACCAATCATAACTTCTAATTTATACTTTTTTAATTAAACCTACACCGTTACAGCGCATACGGGATGTAATGCTACAAAAAAGCTACCTTTTTTCCATATAATTTTGCCTTGAAAAGCTGGTATTGTTATTGTGGCACGCACAGACAAAACAATAAAGTCAGGGGATCCTTCGCTAACGCCATAGAAGTCACGGATTAGGCTTCTTTGTCAGGAAACCCTGTACACTCAATACAGGTTAATAATTTCTTAACTAAATGCTATATTATATCATTAACTTAGGCGCTATCTATGAGCTATGCAGGATCAACTCTCATAATGAGACCATCCTTGACGACCCCTCTATCACTGGCTTCTACCTGTTTGGAAAGCAAGGCAATATCTTCTTGCTGCCGTCCATTTGTCCTCATTTTCCAATTTCATGGTTTCATCATCACTCGACCCTCAAAGTGATGCAGACAGGAAGGGAAGCATCCGGTCACAGTTTTCCACCATGCCTAAGGGATTCCGGAGCTAAACGCGTGATGTCGCGTCTGGGCTCGTTTTCGGAGACCTCTTCTTCCACAGGGGCCATGGTGCCGCCCGATTCATTTTGGAGTCCCTCGTTTTCCTCAGCGGCTTCAAAGTATGTCCTTTCATGATCAGCTTGAGTTTCGGCGAGTCTCGCTTCCCGGGAAGCTTGAGCTTCGGCGTGTTCCTCCCTTTGGCCAGCAGCTTGAACGGCGTGTCTCCTTTCACGATCAGCTATAGCTTTGGTGAGTCTCTCCAAGTCGGCAGCTCGAACTTCGGCGAATCTTCTCTCAAAATCACCTTGATCTTCGGCCATTTCCCTTGAACGCGCGGCTCGCGCTTCGGCCAGTGTCCTTTCGCGAGAAGCTTGATCTTGAGCCTCGGCTAGTCTCCTTTCACAAGCAGTCCTTTCGCGAGGTTTCATGGGGATGCCGTCCAGATCTTCCGAACCAGACATGTCGGATAGATTTGTCACGTCGGAGTCTTCAGAGGGATCCGTCGGGCTAGGCACCTGGGGCTCGTCATCCTCGTTAGGCTCAGCAGATACATTTTGCAAGGTGCCCCAGTAAAAATCCTCGAATGGCGTATGGAGGACTGTCCACTCCTTCACATTCTCACTGAAGTTGTCGGCGAAGTGTTTCGCACGCTCCTTTTCTCTCGTCAAGTCGAAGCGCAGCATAATATCGTAAACATCAGGAACCGGCTTGGTGGGTACCCTGACCATACGGAACGGAGTGTCCCCAATATCCCACATACCCTTGCCCGGGAACCCTAACGCAGAGTGAAACCAGTACGAGCATTTCTTGTCGACCCTTCCGGCCTCGGGCCCCCCAGTACTCCCAAGGAAGAGAATCAGCCCACATATGGCGTTCCCACGCTCACCACGCATACCGCAGAGGACCCGTTCGCCAGGATTCTCGAGGTCGATCGTGTCAGGCGGTGAGTGAAATTTGTCGATCTGCACCCGGACTTGCGCGTGCCAGCGCATGAAGAACCGTCTGATTTCCGTGTCGTTGTAGGCCTCGACGATATCCTGTCCCTTCCCCTGCAGGGAGCGGTTCGTGTTCGGCGCGTTGTGTTCGCGCACGGTGATGTCGCTGTCGCGGAAGAAGCTCGCGACGTCGACCAGGAGGTCGCCGCGGATGATGGCGACGCCAGGCGCGTGCGGGAGCCAGAGCTTGTCTTGGGTGTATAGGCCGGGGTTTTCCTGCTCGGCGCGATCTTCGAGAGCCCTCGCCTCCTCTGCGGCCTTTTCTCTTGCCGCTTCTGCTTCGCGGTACGCTGCCTGTACCATGAGAGGCGTCGTCCCGGCTATGCACCCTCGACATCTGAACGGACATCGCCTCCCGTTCATCCAATCCACTTGGCACTCTCTCCAAGGGCAACTTGCGACAAACTGTTGCAAATTCACGATTTTGCCCCATTTGACTCTGCTGTACCCCCAAGAATCGAGTTGTTCTAGTTCATCCCAAGAGCGGGGAGGTCTCAACGCCCGTTGATTCGCTGAGCTCGCCATGGCCTGGTAATGGCCGTTTTTGTTTTTGTTAAGAGGGTGGGAAAGAATGTAATGTCGAGCTGGTTCGAGTTTTTGGTGGTAATTTGGCTGGTATCGTGCGTGTTTGACGAGTCAAGGATTTGGTTTCTGGGCGCAAGACTCCAGCATCACAGACGAATGCGGAATAAAGCCCAATAACTGACAGTTCAACGCTAGTCGTCTCGGAACGGTCAAGATGCTAGCACTTTAAAACGTTCTTATATATCATATGTATATATTCATTCTGTTTCGTATCAGGCTTGTAGACGTGGTAGTGGTGGTAGTCTATCACAATACCCAGACTAAGTCGCTAGTGCAGCTTTAGACTGTAGTAGTATTATAGGATTTCGTCCAATTTCACTTCCAATGACAGATTGAAGTGCATCGTCCAGTACAACAATTGAATGAATTGGCGACTGCCTAAATGATATTGAACATATGTGACTGCTCTGCGTTGTTGCTAGTTAGGCATGGTTATGCTGTGATCTGAGATCAAACTTGTCGCCGTTGCACATCCTGAAATCAATCTCTGAACACAGAGAACTATCCACAAACTTGACTTCCTGCCTTTTCTGCCTAAGTAGCAGAAGAAATTGTCGACAACTACGGTTGCTTTTGCCTCTGGAACGATTTGGAACAAAACCTGCTTCACTTCTGCCCCAAGTGCAAGGAAAGGGGCGCAACTCACAAAACGCCGTGACGGAACGCCCTTGCCTATCATGGCTCCACCTACGCCAGAGACTAACACACTCATGGGAAACGATGGAAACCCCATCAATCACACAAACAATGGACCTCGTGGTAGAAGCACGCTTCCGCCATGCAGATGTACCACACACGGGATTTTTTCATGCGTCCCCTGCGCCCGGGCCGAAGAAGCCCAGAATGCGCGCACCGTCCGTCCTGCCGATCTGATGAGGCCGTCGAGTTCTCAAGAAGTTCCTGTCGACGAGCAAGAGCAAACCGGAAGAGCCCCGGTGCTTTACAGAAGGGCCACAGTCTGGGGACGAATCACCCCGGACGACACCCACGGCCATGGATGCGCGCTGGTGTGGGCTGGCCTGCTCCCCATCATCGGCGAGTTCTTCTACGAGTGTCAGGTCACAGCCATCCCCGAGAATGGCAGTCACACCGATGGCGAGACTCAGCTCGGCAGGTGGTATGCGACGAGGGAATCAGTGACGAGATTCCAGACGGAGATGGTGAGCAACAAGAGGTACGAGGTCAGGGTCTCGAGGTTCGGCCAAAAAAAGGGCCTGAGCGCCCACATGACCTCGGGCCGGTTTGACTTCATCCCACTCAGCGAGAGCATGGCAGTCGCTATCAGGCACCTTCTGCTGTATCTGGGCTCGGGGAGGGACAAACGCTCCTCGTACCGCATCTACCACGACTACCTCAGTCGTGCCAGTGAAGGCGGTATCCGCAAATATTCAACTCTGTTCGGAATGGCCCGATTCCCCTGGTCGCCCGAGCCGCACACGGCTACGACAGCGAGGATGATCAACCTGGCGTTTGACGACGCATATCCGGCGCCCGACTTGGACTGGGGCTCCGCCAGCTGGCGTCATTTCTGTGACAGCCCGTTGAAGGACACTTGGGAGGAGGTCAGGATGCGACACTTCCAGTACGAAACATACAAGGCAGAAGAGCGGAGGCGACGCAGGCCACGAGATCTGCCGCCTTCAGACACGCCGCCCGGGAGCCCTCCTGCACCATCTCCACGACCATCGATACCACCGGCATCAATACCATCAGCCGATGCTGGATCTCAGTTGGTGACTCCTGCAACCGCAACCTTACCCTCAAGTGCGGCACACCAAGGCCCTTCCCCTGCCAATCGGGACCAGGCCAACGGCAGCTCTCCTGCAGACGGCCTCTCTCGCGGTAGCGGTGGGCTCTCCGGCGGCCCTTTTGCGGGACCTGGGCGCCTCTCATCTGGTGTCAGTCCACCCGGAATGCTTCTCCCTTCTCACGGAGGCGACGGCTTCCTTATTGGGGGCCAGACAACGTCTGAGGGACAGTATACAATTGAGCAGGCAGGTTCTTCTACAGCAGTGGTCAGGACCCCGATAGGCACGGGCCAAGGTGGCCGGGGAACATCGATGTATTATACCCCGCCAGCGGTGTATGGCCAAGACGAACAGTCGAGAGCGCCCGGAGGATGGGGGTGGACTGGGCACTGAAACGACAAACGCTGGCATGCACATGGGTCCTTGCCTGAATGGCAAGGGTGTCGAGGAAGCAATGGTCGCATTGGAAAGTGGGAGGTCAGGTAACAATTGTAATTGAATCACAGGCTGCGATGACGAAAACTCGCTTTTTGAGGTTTGGCGCGACTTTTCCGGCTTGAGGATATCAGACGGATACTAGGCGAGATTCTGTTTGCGGTTAGTTCAGAGAAGGAGGAGCCTTACGGATAAGCCTTACGGATACTGACAAACTTCGAATGTCATGTCCGTCACGGTCAACAGTTTACGAAGCATATTTTCATTGGTATGTGATCACCAAGATCATACAATAGCTTCAGAGTTTTCAATCTAACCCAATATCATGGTCTAAACCAGACGGTTCCAATTGATCAAAGAGTTTTGAACTCTGGAAAGAACTTCCAATAACCAAGGATTTACACAAATTTGTGTTAGACCATTTCGAGGTTCAGTATTGGCTACGGCAAAGGTCCGTGGTCACCTGGAAAGGATGTTTTCCATTAATTTGAGTTGGCCGTGAGGCTCTAGGGTGCACTCTTATTATGCCCACTATCATCCGACTATACCAGAAGTCACACACACACGCCTTCCAAAACTTGCCAAAACCTCACTTGCCAGCACCCCGCTCAATCCCTCAAGCCCATCCGTAACCAGCAGCCATGTTACCCATGGTACCTCAGTACATCTCAACGTCGCCCTCAAATGGGAGTGCCGTGCCCATACGCTGTGACTGGCTACGCAGCGCAGAGTGATTCGCGCTAACCAGCGGCCGGGCCCACGTCTCCCCTCCCTGTGACGCCTTCTCCCCGCCCGCATCACCAACCCTGACGTTCGCAGCGCCCAGTAGTGTCGGCGGGCAGTCCACATAGATAGTCTCGTAATCACCAGGCCGCGTGACAAACGTCTCGTGGAAGATGCCGACGTGCGAGTTCCCCTCCTTCTTGGCAAAACGCAAATACCAATCCCACCCCTCGCGGTGGACCGCGTCGTGCGCGAACCGGTTGAGGCCGGCGACGTCGCGGAAGTAGGCGATGATCATGAGCGTGTTGTTGGACTGCCTCTCGGCGGCGCGCCAGCTGGTGATGTGCAGCATGCCGAACTCGTCGCGCCGGTCGCCCAGGGCCTTGATCATGGCCGTGAAGGAGTCGCCGATCTCCTGGGCGCCGGGGCTGAGGAGCCCGAGAGGGTGGTTGAAGCGCACGCCGAGGTGGAAGACGACCAGGGGCTCGGCGGCGGGCCGGGTGCCGAAGGCTCCGGTCGTGCGGGAGGGGAGCTGGGCTGTCACCCGGCCGGGGACGACGTCGAGGGTGAAGGAGTTGTCTTTTGGTGATCTGGCCTGGATGATTGTGTTGATGATGGAAATGCCGAGCAGGAGGGCGAGTGGGATGAGGGCGTAGCGGGCCGGGAGGACCGAGATCACTATGGTCTGGAGGAGAGCGCCCAAGGCCAAAATTGTGGAGAGCTTGAATGAGTCCTTGAAGAAGGCCTGCGAGGCTGGTCAGTATCTACGCATGAGGGCAAGAAGGATATGGACCTTGGCTTACTTCCAGGACAGGAGGGGGTCTGTCTGCTACGGGAGAGTTGGTCGTTGAAAAGACGGGCTGGAAATCTCCTGCTGTCATTGTGCCGGAGGTTGATAGTGGTGATGGTGAGAGTGTCTTCTAAGTTCTGACGACGAATGCGAGGCTCGAGAAAAGCAGTGATGGCAGCAGACAGTTGGGGTTTTATGGTTGTTGCAGTTTCAAGTCACTTTGCCCAGGGACATGATGCTCTGTGAAGAGGGCATGAAGACCTCGGTCGGGTGAATCCCAAAAGGCCCTGAGGGATGGTTCACGTTGGGGTGATTAGGTCACCGACTATAGGATGTCTGGCGTTGGTCCGTTCACCCCATCAGCTTCCTAGTAGGCTACATAATAACTTACCATGTGTGCATTGACCTTATGGAAGTGCAGAGGATGCAGATGGAGAAACCTGGACGCCTCATGTTGAGGTCATGGGCCCGCGGTCGCGCACCAAAAATGTGGCTGCGAAATGATGGCATGACGGAGACGAGCTTGACCGGAAACGGTCAGCACGCGTTGGGGCGGGAGGAAGAGGGGCGGCAAAGGGCCGCCGGCTCTGATTTGAGCCGTTCCGCCCCTGCCTGGAATGGACAAAGACAGGGGGGATTACGGTTCCCGAGGTATCCATGAAGCTAACGAATACGGACGGAGGGCGGGATGAGTGTTTCGTGCATAAGCGATCCCAATCGTGGCCCGAGTCCGAGTGCGACGGCGGCTGCGAACTCAACGTCGAGGCTGATGCCGCGTCACTCGCTTTGTCCCTTTTCGACTTTCAGAGTAAGCTGATGTGACTTTGTGTCAACAAAGTCGAAGATATCTGGATGCCATCGATTCCAACATTCGTTCCTCCGCGATCTTGTGGGCAAGCAATCAACTTGAGCAGCGCTGCTTCAGATAGAGTTGGCTTAGTCCAAGCTTAGCCCCTGGCCAGCCAAGCGGCACCAGAAGAAGACCGAGTTGAGAAGCTCCCTCGTCAAGCTTTACCGGGCCTCTGGGTTCGGCGGACCTTCAGCTTCCACGGCAGGGGGCTCCACCGACCCGTGCATAACCTAAAGGAGATTAGACCCTTCATCCTCTCCTGACAAGACTTGAGTTAATTATCATGTTCGCCCAATAACTCATTGGACCCTGGATTTCCTGGGCGTCAGAATTGTGCCCGCATACACTTTTGATGCCTGCTTTATGCGTTCTGGCAGACATGCTTTTCCGCGTGCTAATGGTACTGCACAGCCAACATCCGTTCTCCCCGGGTAGATAATATATGCAAAGTCGGTGCAAGATGAGGCGAGGTGGTTGTCACCTGAATCAGGCCATACATCAAGCTCTGGATATCGGCGACTAGTAAACCTTAACATCAGCCGTATCATAGAAACATTTTGCCGGGACGAGTTGCATTTTACGAATACGCGGATAGGAATCTTGTCGACCTGGTCCCCTACTTGATTTGAGTTGCGCAGAACTCCTATTTGACCGCATTAGCGAACCATGTGTGTTTAGTAGAAGCCTTATTGATGCCTCAGTACTATACCTTCCGTTTTGTAATACGGCCACGATTGCTCCTTCCATGCCCTGTATAAAAAGGGGTCCCGCTTCACTTCCACCAGACACCAGAATTGAGCAACGTCCTCCATTCGCTCTCCGATCTTCTACGTTCACTGCCACCTCTGGAATATTGCTATTTGCAGGACACTTTCATTCATTTATTCTGGCATACTTTCCCTTCGCACGTCTCAATACCATGGCCAAACTGGCATGGGCGCTACTCCTCTCCGCTGCCCTACTCGGGAGTGGCAACGCGCAGGGGATCGAGCGGACTTACATCGTCCAGATGGAGTCCGCACCGGTCACTGGCCAATCTTCAATCGCTCGTCGCTCCTTGCATGAGAATTCACTCCGATCAGTAACCTCTCGTGACACCATGCTCTACTCATACAGCTCAGCCATGAACGGATATGCTGCAAAGCTCACCGATGCCCAGGCCCGGGACCTGATGGCCCAGCCCGGCGTCAAGTCCGTCAGCCGCCAGAAGATTTACCAGCTTCACACCACCCATACGCCCGAGTTCCTAGGGATTGACAAGGCCGAGCTCCTGGGCCAGCAGGGAACGGTCTTCTCGGGCGCAGTTGATCCCGGCAACACCACGGACGCCGAGTCCGACCTGATCATCGGTGTCTTCGACACCGGAGTGTGGCCCGAAAGCGCCAGCTATGACGACTCGGGGCTCCCGCCCATCCCGAGCCGGTGGAAGGGGTCCTGCGTGGCAGGAGAGGAGTTCACGGCGGCGAACTGCAACAACAAGCTGATCGGGGCCAAGTGGTATAGCAAGGCAGCAGAGGCCGAGTGGATCACCGATCACAACGGGACGGCATACAACTTCACCGGCGCGTACGTGTCTGCGAGAGATCCAGACGGTCATGGTACTCACACTTCGTCCACGGCCGCAGGCGCAGCGGTCCAGAACGCGAGTATCTTTGGACAGGCTTCAGGCACGGCTCGTGGCATGGCGCCCAAGGCCCGCGTGGCTATGTACAAGGTGTGCTGGCCCAACGCGGGCTGTGCTGACGCGGACATCCTCGCTGCGTTCGACGAGGCCATCCAGGACGGCATCAACGTGGCTTCCCTGTCCCTAGGGGGTAGCCCGACTCTGGGAACAGACCCCTTGTACGTCGGTGCCTTCTCTGCCATGGCCAAGGGCATTTTCGTCTCCATGGCCGGTGGGAACTCAGGTCCCGGTGTCGGGACGATTTCCAACAATGTGCCGTGGGTCCTGACCGTCGGCGCGAGCACGCAGGACCGTGGCTTTCCCGCCACAGTTGTCCTCGGAAACGGGCAGAACTTCACGGGGAAGTCCCTCTCCGTCAACGAAGACGACACACTGCCCGCGTTCCAGGACCTTCCTCTGATCCTGGCCAGCAACGCAGCCAACGGAAACATCACTAACAACACCGATGCGTCCTTGTGTCTTGCTGGTTCGCTGTCGCCGACCAAGGTTGCGGGCAAGATTGTCGTCTGTGTCAGAGGCGGTAACGCGAGGGTTGCCAAGGGCCAGACCGTCAAGGATGCCGGCGGCGCGGGCATGGTACTTGTCAACACTGCGGCGGCCGGTGAGGATGTCCTGGCCGATCCGCATGTCCTCCCTGCCGTGCATCTTGGGGCGACAGACGGCGCGGCCGTGCTCAGTTACGCAAAGTCTACAGACGCCACGGCCGGTCTGGACATCCAGGGTACTACTGTCCTTGGTGTCGAGGCCCCGCAGATGGCGGCCTTCAGCTCGAGGGGCCCCAACTACCCTGCTCCAGACCTGCTCAAGCCGGATATCACCGGCCCTGGGGTTGAAATCCTGGCCGCGTGGCCCGATAACGTCGGCACCACTGGGCTTCCCGAGGACACACGTCGGGTGAAATTCAACGTCATCTCGGGCACTTCCATGTCTTGCCCACACCTCAGCGGCATCGCTGCCTTCATCATGGCCCGGCGCCCCGAGTGGAGCGCCGCCGCCATCCGCTCAGCCCTCATGACCACGGCCTACACGAATACCAAGGGCGGCGCGTCAGCGTTCCGAGATGAAGCCACCCAGCAAGCAGCGACCCCCTTCGACTATGGAAACGGCCACGTGGATGTGACCGCCGCCCTGGACCCAGGACTCATCTACGACATCAAGACCGACGACTACCTCGACTTCCTGTGCGCTCTTAACTCGACGACCGAGTACCTCCAGGGGATCAGCGGCACCAACAGCACCTGCTCCACCGACAAGACCTACAGCCAGTACGACCTCAACTACCCGTCTTTCGCAGCGGGCTACGACACAAAGACTGAAACCGGGCCCAAGACGGTCAACTTCACGCGCACGGTCACCAACGTCGGCGAGGCCGGCACATACCACGTCAACGTGTCCGTCAGCGACCCGAGCCTGGTCCAGGTCACCGTCGACCCTCAGGAGCTGGACTTTGCCGCTGCTCAGGAGCAGAAGAGCTTCGTTGTTTCTGTCACTCTGGCGGCGGCCGGCGCGGAGGCTGATTCGGGGAAGAACGCCTGGGGCAGGCTGGTGTGGTCGGATGGGTCGCACACTGTTGGGAGCTCCTTGGGATTCGTGTGGGGAGACTTGGCCGCCCTGTCTTTGAACGCGTCGTCCACTCCTTCTAGTAACAGTAGGTTTTAGATCACCTCGTATTGCGGGCTGCTCTTCCTTCCTTTTTTTTAGTTGTTCACTTCGAAACCTAGGACTTCAACAATTGGAAATACTTCTTTCATGGTGCTCACTGTTTATCCTGTCAGAAGAAGGAACCATTAGCATGCCTTCTGAATTCCACATGCACTTGCACTGGTTTCTGTAGTCAAAGGACACGGTCTTCCATTCTGCTAAACGACGAAAGAAATCATTAAATTGATCACTAAATGAAAATAAACCCGAAAGAAAAGACCATGAGGAAATCGTCAAGGAACAGGTCCAGATGCGCGAGGCATTTGCTCCTGATATGTACCAAGTCCCACCCGAAGCTTCCTGTAAACTGCGAGTCCGTTTTCAGATCTTATCGAGCTTTCCCATCTTCGTGCAACTTCAAAATCGGCTTGTTATCAACCATCTTTTCCCAGAGCGAACTACCTTGCTCCCGCAGCTGCTCGTCCTGGCGGCGCAGGAACTCCTCAGCCGTCCTGACCCTACCCGGGAAGATCCTGTCCAGCTGTGCATAGTCCCTCCGGACGACTCCCCTGTTGTACCCCGAGGCCCTCCAGATGCTCCACCAGCCCGTGAAGTTCTGCTGGACGGTCAACGTGGCAGGGTCGTCAAGGTCGGCGTGGACCCCCAGCGCCGCGTCTTTGATCTGGGAGAGCGAGCCTTCCCGCCAGTAGGTAGCCCAGTCGGTATCGATGAAGCGTGCCTTGTGGCCCGTGACTCTCCCGAAGGCCTTGGCCAGGTCGGCGTAGTGGACGTGCTCAATTGACACCTCCAGGTCCAGCCCGTCGGCCTCGCCCGGGTTCTCGATCAGCCACTTCACGTAGTAGCCGCAGTCATCCAAGGCGATGTGTGGTATGCCTCCATCGGCGGTCAGTGGCACCCTCCAGGTTAGGACTTCATCGCCATTCTCGTCCTTCTCAACTTTCGGGACCATCGGACCCGAGCTAGAGATGGCCATGTCCAGGTACGGGCCAGTGGTAAACAAGGACACCTTCATGTCATATCCAGCGAGACTCCCACTCTTGTTCCGCTTGTGCTGGTCAAGGATCCACTCCCCAACCCTCCCCTTCCCGTCATAGTGCGCCGCATAAAACTGAGGATCATACCCGCCCTTCTTGTACCCATAATCCAAGTTCCCATACACGAAGCTCTGGAGGCCGCACTCGACCGCGACCTCGTACGTCCGCATCGCCCAGAACACCTCCGCCTTCTCGCCCACGATGAAGCCGTCGATGTTGACGAAGGCGCCCCAGCAGCCCCTGAACCCCCGGCGCAGGCCGGCGTCCGACTCCAGGGTGCCCTCCTGGAGCTCGATCCTGTCCGGGGCCAGCGCGAGGAGTTCCTGGGCCCGGGGGCCGGAGGCGTCGCGCGTGAGGATGCGCAGGCTGTATTGGGGGTCGGCGGCGAGGTCCCGCACCACGGGGATGCCTTGGGCGCCTGTGCCGCCGATGATGAAGATCTTCTTGGTAGATGCCATCCTAAATAATGAAAGTAAGGTTTATTCTCGAAATTGATCTGCAAAGTTGAGTTGTAGAATTAATGTGTTCGTCAGACTGCACAAGTTGCTGCATTCGCTTGGGGGATAATTAACCAGCTCACAAGTAAGTAGACCGCGGTGCACTTACAGGAGGAATTCGCGGTTATACATCAAGTTTCATCCATTTTTGATTACTCTGGCTGTGATTACCGAGGTGTACCCATCATTCTAATCATTCCTCGGATTGCCTCGACTTCATGTGTAGCAGCCAAGCTTGACCAAGCATTGTACCCGTATCCAGTGCCTCTGATTAGTAAACAACGACAGTAGCCCACTGCTTAGATGATATCATTCGTAACTGAAGTCGATGCACTAGTGGCATATCTGTACACTAATTTTTTTTAAATCAATGCATTAAGTAGCATGGGTTCAGGATTCTAGTAGGAAGTCGTATCAAAAGTGAAGCATTTGTCGACGTGTGGTTCGGGAGGCCCTTGTGGCAAAGCTGTCTGTGGTGTACCACGTTCAGCGTGACCTGCATTTACATCCTGAATATTCTCATTAGCCAGAGATGGAGCAAGTTGAAGGTTTGCGTGGGACGTGATTAAGACGCAGGGGCCCATTTCAGTGGAAACCCAGACCAAACGGTTGTTCTTTTAGCGTTGAGCTTGAATGCGGCTGACCCCTATTTATCGGTCATCGAATGGTTGATCGACGTCTTTAATGGGCTGCAGTAGACAGATGTGAATTCAACGACAAATTGTTCGACAAGATGACCTCTATGTCCAACTCAACGGGTTCATGAACGGGAAAGCCAATCAAACTTGTCTTGAAATTGCTTATTTTCAGGATTCTCGGCATTTAGAGACCTAAAGTGCCAAAAAGGTTTTGGAAAAGAAGGAACGCAATTTTAAAGTCACGCAAAGCCTTGTTCGATCCTAAGGGCGGAACAGGCGAGCACATGCGCTGACCAGTGGCTTCATGTCAGACCACAATGAGCCGGACCCACCCGAATAGGATCGCCCAAAAGCGTGTCATAAAACTCATTCAATCCACCGAGGAAGAAGACCGCATTGCATTTCCACCGCCATCGTTTCAGGGAAAGCTTCAAAAACCTTGGTTTCAATCAATGGTAGCCTTTTAAGACCAGAACGATGGCGACCAAAATCCACAACCCCCAGCTCGAGCACGCGGTGCTCCTCCTCCAGAAATATGTGCCCGACACGATTAGGGATAACTGGCGCGTTCTAGGCACCACGGCGATCATGGTCGGCCTCGTATTGTGCCCCGTCGTCGCCTGGGCCAGAGAGTCCTACCAATCATACATGGACGTCGGACCGGGAGGAATGCCGTACAACGTCTTTGGGTGGATGCTCCAAGGCGCAACACAGATCGTCGCACGACACGACACCCGCGACCACGAACCCTTCTCCGATCCCAACTTCCGCGCGTCCCTGGGACGGCACGGAACAAAGAGCTTCTTGTCGGGACACCTCCCGGACCGCAAGGGGGATCGCCCCGTCGTTCCCGGGTTTGTGGCGCCGCAGCGGCAGATGAGCGACCGCGGGCCCCGGAACGCCGAGATGAAAGGCCGCCTGGTCGCCTACCAGGAGGATATCGCCCAGGCCAACCCGGAGCTGGTCTTCGTCGATGTGTCTCGACTCGAGGGCGTTGGAAACCCGAGCGAGCATGCCGCGCTGTGGTTCGCCGTGAACCGCGAGCGGGTCTTTCCTCACTACCTCAGAAAGACAAAGGGGGAGTTCGCGCATGTGCACCCTGAGGCTACGATGCACGTCACGCTGAGTCTGGCCGATGCTGAGGAGGTTGTCAAGAAAGGCTGGGGCGAGAGGCATCCGCTGAGTGGGGTGAGGGGATTTTGGCCGATCACGTATGTCATGATCTATGCGCCGAGGGATGACGCTGAGCTGGAGGTCTGCAAAAATGTCGTTGACGCCAGTGTGCGTTTCGTATGTTGCGGTGGTCCTGAGGTGCGAAAGGTCTGAGTAACCGAATTAGGAGCGTATGCATCTATGGATGCATGTTACGAGCTTCGCCCCAGAACATGGATCAGTACAGCTGCGTCTTGAGTTCATCAACCTTTCCCGTGTTGAAGGGATCAGACTCTATGCCTATAACTTAAAGTTTGCTGAGAACACGATTTAATACCATAGTTCCGAGATTAGGCTGGCTCACAATATCTAGGGCCAAAGGCTGAGGTCACACATACATGTAGGACCACCAGTGTGGTGGAATTACCAATTTAAATCGAGTATCATTGTTTTGGCGCATACATACCAAATTACCTAGTGTCTGGCCGAAAGACATAAATAACACAATAACCTACCCGTGCCTGACTGTAATAGGCACATACCTACACCTTGTCCTCACCTACCGAATCCGGGATCAAGGTTCCCGTTGTTTTTGAAATCATGAAGTGCTCTTTACCAGAGAGGTTCTAACATATTATCTGCTTTGCACTTGGCTCGTGTTGTTTCCTCCCTCGGGTCTATCCAAACCTTAGGCCAAACATCCCTCTTACCGTCCTTCTTAAATGGCTTGGGGTTGAATGTTCCACTGAGTCGGCTCTGGTCCATATGCTCTACCCACTGTCTGAAAAACTGTAAAGAACGGCCTGAGGCGCAGGCGTCTGAATAGTTGGGGTAGAATCTCAGGTTGCGTCGACAATGCTTGATCAACCAGGTTTTGCAGCGGCAGTCCACATAGCATGTCCTCCTGTTCCGCAAGTGAGCGGTCAGCAGCGTTCCGAATTGAGGGTGGCTTCTGTAGCCTCGCCAGGTACGACCGACCAGCACTGGAGGGGTGTCAAGGATGGGGTAGTATTGGTGGTTCTGGATCTGATTGAGCCGAAACTCGGGGTTGAAAAAGGTGAAGAACGGAGCGGGCACACCTTCTCCAGTGATATCTGTGGTGATCCTGAATCGACGGTAGTTGAAGAGCAATGAATCACCAGCGTTACTCGGCCATTGTTGCTCCTCGCTCTGGCTATAATCGTAACCAAAGGCCATGTACTGCGCCTGCGTTAGAACGAATAGACCACAATCAGTGGTACCTTGCTCCTGCTGTTTTGAACGGGAATCCCGGAACTTCCATTCCTCGGGAACAAATTGGGGGGCATCCAGATCTCTAGGATTGTCCAAGAATTTCGACATCCATTGCATTATGCGCCCTACGAGACCGTGCGTGTAATCATCATCTGCCGGCTTATTATCACTATCGAGAAACTCCAAAGTCTTGGTGACTGGGCAGATGACAAGCAAGGAAACATGGTTCGGGCCATCTGGCCTCTTGGGGGGCATGTATACGGGAACAAAGATATACCTCATCATCCAAAACTGCTCGGCTGAGGGATTAGCATACGGCACACCATCGTTATCAACGTCCGCGACATAGAAAAGTGGACGTCCTCCCTTGAGAGGCCCGTCTGGTGCCTGGATCCCACATATTAGCTCATCTATCGATAGTTTGGACAGGAAAGGCCCCGCTGAGATCATTGCTTAATCTACAGATTGAGCGATTCTCATCGAGGCCCGTGCAGAATTACTTACACCAACTCCTGTATAGTTCCGGCTTGGATCCATGCGCTGGTGCCATTCATTAGCATAGTTGCACACCATCCTCAGATGGCCATCGATAGTAGCGCCGTTCAAACCTTGGGATATGCTTTGGTGGATAGTGGCGTCCACGGCGAGTATATCCAGGTCCGACCCGGCGCTTGTCTCTGGAATGGATGCGCCGATCGGCTGGTCAAGGGATTTTGCCCTTGCGATCCTGCGACTGCGCTTATACAGCTTCCTCGCGGCGTCGAATGCGTCCTTGGCCGGTCTGCTAAACATTCTGGTCCCGCCCCATTTCGCAATTCTCCGAGACGCCGCCATGGGGCGCTTGAAGTTTGCTGGGATATGACTTGGTTGATTGGGGTTATTCATTATGAGTGTGAGTAGTATTGAACAAGGTGATGATTGTGTATGAAAAAAATGATTGAATTGGTTCTATGGATCTGGAAAACTCCATGACAATGTCCAGTTGTTTAATAAGTGTCAACGAAACAAAGACGGAGTTCTGTAGGGTTCTTGACAAGAGAAAGTCTGGGTATTTTGGGAACAAACGCCATGTGCAGAACTTTGTGCTCAAATTCTTCAAACCCCTTTCATTGATCAACAACCAAAGCCAAAGATTCATTGTCAGGATAGACAAGGGTTACAAATTTGACAATGAGAAAGTGGATGGAATGCCGTGTCTCGCTGCCCCATGTTAAGCCATGTGATGGATTGAGCGGTGATGATGGTGGGACGTGTATCTTCTTTGAGCTAGAAGGGAATGATCCTCAAGCCAGAACATCGACCAATGACAGTCAGCATGAAACTGAAAGCTGGATAAAGTGTGTGTGGACATAATCAAAAATAATTAGTCTGGCTATGATTACAAGATCCCTAAGAACAGTAGTACACCTGCGAGCTTGATGATGTTCAGCTCATCAATGAGTTCCATCGCAAAGAACGAAAGAAGCCAGCCAAATGTATCAACAACGCAAAGTTCCAACCCCAGCTACGATTTGATACTATGTACTAATTGAAGCGTTTGCCACCGTTGAGACTTTGACTTGTTATTGGTTGGCATTTTCCAGATGAGCGATCCATCAGTCTGAGGGCAGGATGCTGTCTCCTGATCCATACTTACCTGTAATCCATGCTGCCTATTCGCAGTGTGGACTGAAGAACTCGCCGGGATCACAGGGAGCAGCCATCGGTCACCTTGCATGAAAGTGAAGATGGGCAACTCTTGTCATCCAAAACCTCCCTCTGAAAATGCACAAGCTGATATACTTTGCGAGCTTGACTTTCCGACTTTGATCATTGCCTTCACATGGTACGACACGGAGCGCTGCGGCCAGTAGTACCCTTACATGCGTCGGGCCTGCTCTGGAACAATTGGCCTGATTTTAGAATTACCAACTGCATCAAGAAACCGACAAGATTGTCTGATATCACCAAAGTATTTCTGAAAACAATGGTCTTGACCTGCACATGTCTGAAGCTACTGGCTAACACTACGCAGCGTAGCACGGAGCTCAACGCCAGAGCTGAGTTGCTTTGCTGTCCAAAGCCAATTCCTTGACTGACCAACGGCCTGTTTTCCATTTCGTTGTATTTGAGGTATCATTGTTTCCAATTGGTTGAATTGTCGACCTTTGCTTGGCATCGTTCCCTCCCTTCTTCAGGACGAAGGCCTTCAACCTGACCAGCAGAGACCCACTAAACGCTTTGACACTCCTTCTGTGGCGAGGCCATTTACTTGCTCTTCTCCGAAACACATTAGGTACTGGGGAACTGCCCTCTACATACGACCGCTAAAGCTATACGAAAACCCCAATCAGCGAAGACAAGCCTCTTGTTTTCCAACGACGTCGCCCGAGATGAAGCACCCGGCATTTCTGCAAATTGCGATCCTGGCCCTCCTAGGACTGGCCTCAGCCATGTCTCTCATTTTCTTCGGCGCCGGTGATAACTGCTGGATCGGTGTCACAGACGTAAGCTCTGCGCCCTCACGGAACCTTTTGATTTGGATGCGCATTCTCACGCCCTGCTGTAGCACATCGGCTGTTATGACATCGGCGAGAATCACTGCTGCCACTCGGCCGACCCGTTCTGCGTCACAGCTCTCCTGGCGGACAGCGACATGATAACCCACACCACCTACTTCACCAACGGGAGCAACTGCGTTGTCCACACCGACCTGAGTTTCTGCGACCGGTGCATCACGTCCGACGCGTGCTGCTTGTACCTTCCGGTGGCCCAGGACAATAGCAAATGCTCGGCGTACTGGTGAGTCGACAGATGCCTTCTTCTGCAATCACTATATGGATTCCGCTAACATGGGATTTCTAAAGGCACTACGGTGAGCCGAGCCCGGACCCGAACCACCCAGATGTGCAAGTCATGACAGAGAAGCCGTGCATTCAGCCGAATTTCCTGGTTTACAATGATGGCCTCACGCCTCGGAGGATACTTATACCGAACGGAAAGTTGGACGACGTGATGGACAAATATTCTAGGCGGGACTTTGGTGCTCTGAGCCGCTATGAGACACTTGGAGGTGATGGGGGCTAAGGAGTGACGCCGTCCAGGCTGAGGACCGCGCGTTCAGACAAGATTGAGCAATTGGGCATGAGTGAAAATGACTGCGGCAGCCGATCGCTTTTGGTACCCTCAATATAATTAAAGTATCTGAGTTGCTTGAGCGACGTCATGTCCAACGGATTCATATATGGCTAGAGCCGCCCAAAGGCCAGACGCAGATGCGACACAAATATTTCTAACGGCCTACCGACCGAAGCTTGCCCGTAAAGGCGTTGAAAGGCCCGCATGTGGCTGTAATGAACTGATAAGTCAGGCCAGAGCTCGAGTCACCCAATAAAGGGGACAGCCGAGTCTTGTAATTCAGCAGTCATGCCTGTGTCTGTACATGTAGGTGGGCATTCACTTGGATGCATCTTGGCCCCGCCTGTGGACTTGACCTCTAGCGTATGCATCAAGGTTCTAGCTAGAAGCTAGTTGCTGCGTGAGTCTGACATTGAACTCACAGCGCGCAAGCCGCTCCCCGTAGAGCCCGGGAATCGGCACGTGGGCACGTGGGAGTCAGCGTCAGCTCGGGTAAGATAAGGCGCAATTTGTTTGACAGGCATATGTAATCCGAGAACCTGGTAAGCCAAAAGGACGAACTGGGGGGAAGCAGTGAAGGGGCAGCGCGACTCGACGCTAGCCGCGATTCACGACGTCAAGTGAAGGGACCCATGGAATTAAAGCCTATTTTTGCTTGGCACATGCAGCAAACGACGCTGTTGATAGGCCAATGCCTGCACCATCTGCTCAACTGTTGCATCCCGGGCTCAGAACCATCTCATTTCCGGAAACCCGGTAAGAATAAACATGGACTGGGGTATGGTAGTATTTAAATACTCCAGATCGCTAAGCACAAACAAGCTTTTCTGGGCTCTCCCCTCCACGGCGCCGTTTGTCCAAGCACCGCTCATACAACGTGCCCGGTCAAGTTCATATCTATAACAAGATGAAGAACATTTGCTTCCTGTCCGTTGCGACCCTGGCGGCTCTCAGCCATGCCACCCCCGTCAGCAACTCGCCCGAAGCCGGCTCCACGACGTCGGACAAGTATCCTCCTTCGGCCAGTACGTGTTCGTCTGATTTCATCCGATCGTCGTCCGATGTGTCCGTCTGAGGGCACGGGCTGTCAATCATCGCTAACACTTTATTCTCACAGCATCCGTAAACACTGCGCTCTTCCCTGGAGAGCCCGTCGTCGGATATCCCGGCACGACGATTACTGGTGTCGAGCCCGCTGCTGCGGAGACGGCGCCATCTTACCCGTACAACGACGGGCCGGCCAACCAGTTTCCCCTCGTTGCCCCCGTGCCGCACGGCGAGTCGGACGACTCGACGTTCGACATCAAGAAGTACTGGGGCAATTTGTCTCCGTGGTACTCGGTCTCATCTGCAGACTACGGTCTCCCAGATGCCAGCCCGCTCATTCCCGATGGATGTGACATAGTCCAGGTCCATCTGCTGTACCGGCATGGTGCCCGTTATCCCACCAGTGGCGCTGCCCCCGCACAGTTTGCACAGAAGATCCACAACGCCACCAAGACCGGCTTCAGCGCCTCGGGAGACTTGAGTTTCCTGGCTGATTGGACGTACAAGCTGGGTGCTGAGCTGTTGACCCCATTCGGTCGGAGCCAGAACTTCCTGCTTGGTATCGAGTACCGCCAGCTCTATGGTTCGCTGCTCAACAACTTTACGGAGCAGGGGACCATTCCCGTCTTCCGGACTCAATCCCAGGACCGGATGGTCAAGACGGCCAACAACTTTGCCGCCGGGTTCTTCGGTGTGCCCGAGTATCTAGACCAAGTCAGCATCGAGATTCTGGTTGAGGCTTCCGGCCTGAACAACTCCGGCGCTCCCTACGAGACTTGCACAAACGCCGACGTCTCCAGCAGAGGATCGATCGGCAGCACCGTGGCGGCTAAGTTTGCGAACAATGCATTCAATGCTACGCTTGGTCGCCTCAACTCCCTCGTTACAGGCATCACCTTTACACCCAGCGATGTCATTACGATGCTGCAGCTCTGCTCGTACGAGACGAATGCCCTGGGTTACTCGGCCTTCTGCGACCTCTTCACTCAGGAGGACTACCTGAACTACGAGTACTACTACGACCTCTCATTCTACTACTCAAACGGCCCCGGCTCCCCGGTCTCCGCCGCCCAGGGCAAGGGCTACCTGCAGGAATTCGTCGCACGCTTCACGGGCAGCTACCCAACTGCCGAGTCCGCCCTCGACGAGAACTATGACAACAACCCGACCTACTTCCCGCTCAACCAGAGCATCTACGCCGACGCCACGCACGAGGTCGTCGTCCTCGACACGCTGACCGCGTTCAACCTCACCGCCTTGTTCCAGGGCGAGCCCCTGTCGGCGACGGGGAACAGCCGGCAGAACAACTTCGTAGCCAGCAAGGTCGTTCCGTTTGCCACGCACTTTACCGTGCAGGTGCTCGAGTGCCCGGCTTACCAACCTACAAAGCAGATCCGTTTCATTGTGTGAGTAGCTCCCGAAATACGTGTGCCAACTGTCTTGAGATCATGATGACCACCGTGATTGGATTCACTAACACGTGAGCACAGGAATGACGCCGTTGTCCCCGTCAACGGCTCGTATCCCGGCTGCGAGTATGACGCGGACGGTCTCTGCTCCTTTGACAACGTCGTGTCTGTTCTGCAGAAGCGCATTGATGAGATTGACTACGACTACGACTGCTTTGGTAATTACACAGCAGAGGCGGGTCATGATTACAACGGACGCGCTCCTAGATAGGAAAAGTTATAGGGTGGCTGGATGTCTAGGTTGGATTCCGGAATGACGGGGACCAGTGAACCTGGGTTAAGTAATCAGAATCTATTTCTTCAAAAGCACGCAACAAGAGCAGGTGAACAGGTTTCTTATATGAAGTGAAAACGTGAGCACCGGCTTCAACATGGCATGGCCGTACCTGAAGTCCAGCTTCGGCAACTGATTGACGAGGACACATGGTTCCGATTCTATCTAGATCTGCTCCATGACCACAATCAGCCATGATGGATTTTAATGAGAACGGATATTCGCACCTGCAAAAACGGATGGTACACCCAGTACATTGCCAGCACTAAACCAACTCCCACGCCCAATTCGCATCAGGTAACCTTTCTCAGCCGCCGCATGAAGCGGCGTCCTGCCCTTTTTGTCTTGCTGTTGAGCAGGCGCTGATGCTTCAAGCAGGTGCCAGGCTGTTATGGTACAGCCGTGCTCGACGGCACAGCGTAACGGCGCCCAGCCCGATCTTTCATCTGGGAGGCTGAGGTTCGCACGCCTATCTATCAACGGGCGGACCAATTTCTCGCAACCATTCGTTGCTGCCCAATGCAACAGCGACCACCGCTCTGAACTTGGTAGTTCAAGGTCCATGGAGGCCTTGTTCTGGATCAGCATCTCGCAGATTCGAACGTGGTCTCGATCTGCTGCCCATCTCAGCGCCGTCCACCCGTTGGCGTCGGCTCCGTTGACCCGTGCTCCCTCGGCAACGAGCTTCTCAACCATGGCTCTTGACCCGTGAGCTGCAGCGCGACGCAACACTGTCCAGCCCCCGTCGTCTGAAACCTCGATTTCTGGTCTCTGAATGGGTCCACATTTCAGTAGCACCTCCACCGACCGGAGATCCTCGTTCGCAACGGCGATATGTAGCGGCGTCCGACTCTCAGAGTCCTGTGCACCAGCGTCGGCTTTGAGATTAAAGAGAAGGATCTCGAGGAATTCGTGTTGGCGCCAGCGCACCGCCCAGTGAACGACGGACTCTCGGCTCCGGGTAAGTGCATCTTTGTCGACACGGCGCCCATGGCGGATGGCTTTTAGAACGAGGCCTGACAGCCCGAAATATGCTGCCACGTGCATCCCCGTCACGTGGGCCTCAACTCGAAAGACGAAATTTGCCATGATTTTGAAAGTCTGCGGCCGGCGTGTAGGTGTGAGAAAGGCACCTGGGCGAAGGTGAAGGGTTTCGAGGATCTGCAAGACCAAGTTGAGAAATTGCGCGGGGAGCTGAGAAATCTCACCGCCCAAGAGGAGCGAAGCCCGCGCTCTGACCGCTGTCTTGATGAGTTCACCTCGGCATTCACAAGCAGGGTGGACGAATCAAATGCCCTCATCACCGAATTTGGCAAGATGAAAATCAATGAGCTTCTCAAACAACAACAAGCCCCTGATACGAGATGGCTTCACTCGAACGAAGATGCTTATAGATACGACAGCCGCCACCGTGAAGCGACAGATCCTCGGACGAAAGAGGTCCTCGACCTGCCCCATAGGGTACGCAAGGTCCTCTACATGGTTACTGACCTTAAGAGGAAAGCATCCCGGAGGCCAAGTGGCCAGGTTAAAGATGACAGGAGAGAGGACACACGCTCACAGGATGAAGGACAACCTTGTTATCGAATAACCTACTACACCGTAGGCAAGGTTCCGCGACACGGAAGGGAGGGTGGGTAAATATAATTAAGTTTACACTGTGTTCCTAGTGTTTTTTTTTTGTCTTATGGTATAATACCCTCGTTTATATCAGGATCGTAGAAATCTTAATTTTTTGTAAAAAGGGTATACATGCGAGGTAGCCCTAAATTTGCGTTGTCCAGCTGGAGGGGTCTGGAGAGACTTCCAAAGCGCAGAATACACCTTCGGGCACTCTTTTACTGAACCTTATGTACGCTGCATAAACGACGGCTAATAGATTGATGACTTTCTATTTAATTCTTGTTTTGCGGAAATTACTGCAACTGTCACACTAAGACAGTCAAGGTGTCCCGCCAAGGCACAGGCTATTGAAATTCAATTCAAGTATACTGATAGCTGGAACTTTTCCATTATATTTCACTATTAAATCAGAGCATGGAATGGAGTGAGTTGCCACTCTGTCTATCTCAGCTTGACCCGAACCAAGCCGGCCTTTCGATTTCACGCGAGACTCAATTTGATCGTAATATTCAGGGTAGATACAAACCTCGGATGCCACCCATGTTCTGCCAAAATAGACCGCGACAGAAAGTTCCCATAATTCAAAGGTAGTCAGGCCACTTCAAGAAAGGCTGGAAGCAAGAGCGAGGAGACTTCTACGCCAAAGCTCATGGCGGCTTTTCTATCGAAGGATGGACTTTCCGTTTCTCATTATACCCACAATATTAAGCGCAAAAGCGTGATGGAACCTGGCTTGCCTTTCTCTTATTCTACCATCTCAACAGTCAAGTCGGCGGGCCACCTTGGCTTGTCGACACCATTCGTCCTCGTGCCGACGCTGTAGCCGGGATTGACCTCACCTTGCGGGAACTGCAAGATTGGTGCGACAAGCTTGACGTCCTTTTGAAGGTACCTGCAGTAATACGTCGTGAAGTGATGGGGTTTGAACAGCTTGCTTGCGCTGTGCTTCATGATGGTTTGCATCATGGCTGCCAGCATAGTTTGCATGGGTTGGTCGTGCCGGAAGACAAGCGAGCCGTTGCTCTTCCACAGGTCCTGCCATACCGGGTCGGGGTACATGCCGACGCTATTGACGAGCCATGTCGAGTAGTAGTTGAGCGCAATCTGTTTTTATATGAGGAGAATGTTTGTCAGGAGATGCATATGGCGAAGTTTGTGTGCGTGTCAGCTGGAAGTAAGAGGGCTGGTTTTGACTCACATCTACGCTGTAGGATCCTCCATTCTCAGCTCGGCGTATCAAAGATGTCAGCACGCCGGCAACACCAACTCCTCCTGTGCTGATAGAGGTTGTGTTTTCAGCTTTTGAACAGAGGCAGAGGATGCATGCTCGTGCAATATGTGAAGGTCGTCGGCTCACCAGTAGTCCGAGTTCGGAAACACTGGGGTGACTGGCTCGTCATTGCCCATTGCACGACCGAACTCGTACGAGACTCCGCAATTCTAAGAAGGGCATTTTCAACAGGGACTCGAGCGTATTCATGAGATCGGGTCAGAGAAACTTACAGCATCACTGATCTGTTGCCAGCCACTCCTGTTCTTCCAGGGATCGTTCCAGCCGTAGCAGTTCTCGCGCACGTATATGATGCCACGGCCGCGGTCTTGAACCATCTCCACGATGTCCTTCTCGCCGAAGCCGTACTTGTCAAGCACACCGGGCCGGTAACCCTGGACAAAGACATCGGCTTCAAGGATGAGCTCTCGCAAGGTAGCTCGGTCTCCTTCCTCGCGCACGTCCAGCAGCGCGTTCTATTTGCCATGGTTCAAGTCAAAATGCAAGGCTGACATGTCGGGCAGGTGAGGCGCGACAATACGCATGACACTAGCGCCAAGCTCGGCCAGGCCGCGGGTGACGGCCGGCGCGGCGATGACTCGGCTGAGGTCAACGACCTTGAGCCCCGCGAGCGGCCGCTCGGCAGACGTCTGAGGCACATCGGGCCACCAGCATGGCTTCTGCTGGGGATTGGGGTGCTTGCAGATTTCGAAGAGGCCCACGTGGGCATTAGCCTTTCCGTGCTCGCTCTCGCGGAATTGCTCCCGGGTGTAGCAAATAGTGCCGGCCTGCTTGTAGATGTCGGCCGCGCGATGCTGCAACTTGTCGGCCGTCAGCTTGCCCACCGCCTCACCGATGGCGGCGGAAGCCTCTGGCATAGACTCAAATTCCATGTCATGGGGCATGTCAATGCTGTCAAGCGTGCGATCAGGGTTCATTGAGCCTAGTTACCCATCAAAGTAAGGAGAATCAGGAGAAGACCCTCGCAGCTTATCAGTGGTGGGTGCGACCTACCGTGAAGACGGAAGAACCTCCCGTCAAGAGTCTTATATATGTTGGTAGCAGCCATTCTATATATGCTTGACTTGGAGCGGTGAATATCCCAGTCGGGAAAATATCTCGAGAGCTTTGCCCGACCCTTGGGACTCGTCAGGTTGGACATAGCAGAGAGATTCTCTCCTGCGGGATCAATCGTCCAGAGCAACGACGACATGATGAAGAGCTGAGCATGGTCACTGCCGCCCATGTGTGAGCCTCAGTCTCTTTTCCGATTACTGGTAGCTAGATGCATTTGGACAAACATTGCAGAAAGAACTCACGTCTCGATAGTCATTGACACGGGCTCAAGGCCGTATTTTCTCTTGAGCAGCACATTGACGAGGGTAGCCTCGTAAGCCTTGAGGGCAGATACGCTCTCGGCAAAGCGCCAATTGATAGGGATGCTGGGTAAGTCGCTCCCAGTGAAGGAGATCTTGCTGGCAGCTTCGGCAGCACCGGTGGGGAGATCAGGGGCGATCAAGGGATTTTCCAAAATGCCCTTGTTGAGGAGCTGCTTCTTCTGTTCGGGGACCGAGTAACCCATGACGAATGTCAACTTTTGTGTGTACGTTCAAATGAGAGCCTGTACTACGTTTGGCCGTCAGGCTGAGGACGGTGGAGTTGCGTTGGGTAGAGCACGTGTGATCTCACAACAAATCCGCGGCCCCTATCCAACGGCTTAAATCGGCGATTATTCCCCGCCGAGCCGTCGAGGGCGCGGGTCTACATTTGAGTACATTTTCCCACCTCCAGCGTGCCAGTGTGGATCCAAGCTGGATGCCAACCAAGGAGCGAGCGGATTGACCGAATGCATTGCACAGTAGACTGGCGTACCAAATCATCAACAGATCTTGCATATCTCCTCCTACGGGGGTTACTATTGCGGGAATGCCGCGCACCCACGACTGACGGGGTTCGGAATCCTGAATGTGCCGGAGATAGTAGGAACCTGATTGCCGACGATGTTCGACGTCTCATGGCCGACGAGGTCCGACATCTGGTTGCTGGCCATGTTGGCTATTTCTCACATAGCTGAGAGCCGCCATCCCGTCGATCTCAAAAGCGTACATCTCTTCCTTCCGGCGGAATACTGGGTCGCGGAACGTTCCCCTGTGCATCGGCAGGTCCACGATTCTGACACGGAGGTCCGTCCCAACCTCGGAAGCTGCTGCATCTACAGGCACGAAGTCCTTGTGAATGACATCAAAGAATCCAAAGTAAGGAGTTGGATCGCCGGGAATACCAAGTCGGGGAATCTCTTCATCAAAAGACAGGTAGACTCCCCGCGAGGTGATGCCGTCGCCAAAGCAGCTGACAACACCAAAATCACACAAGCGGATGAATGTTTGACAGCTGCCGATTCCGTTAGCATCCGATAATGTTGATTTTAGTAGAGCATGGAGATTCAACCCTGTAAAAATAGAGGGTATACCATTACACCACCAGCATCAAACCGCATGAGAATTCATACACCCAACACTCATACCTAATACCCATATCTAATAGCTACACGTAATTCATATAACTAATTTATATAAATTAGGTATTGGGCTAAGTATTAGGTATATGGGTATTTAGGTATATAAGTATTAGGTGTATGGGTGTATGGGTGTATGGGTGTATGGGTGTATGGGTGTATGGGTGTATGGGTGTATGGGTGTTGGTGTTGGTGTTGGTGTGCAAATTAGGCTAGGTGATGTGCTCTGGTTAGCTGTAGCCATGGCGTTGAGTTGATGTACCGGTGTACCCTCCGTTTCTGTAGGTGCGAATCTCCGTATTTTTTTAATAGGGGTTGGGAGCACGTACATGAAGTCTCGACACCCATCTAGGGCAGGACCACGCGGATTGGGCTGAACAAAGAGAAAGTCTGTCAGATCAGCGAGATGATGGACTTGTAGATTCTGGTCGACATCAAAGCAGGCTGCCATTTGGGAATTGAGAGAATGGCGCCCCCTGAAAATATCGATGATTTCCCTGAGTGTGATATATTTGTTGATGACAGGGAAGGACAAAGCACAGGTTGCCAAGCGTGAGGACCCCTTGTATGATCGAGGCTTGATTTTCAGTTCACCGTTGTCGTCCTCACCAGTCCAGTCCATGGACACGCGACAGCCCTTCGACTGCTGGTTGTTGGTGGTCAGTAGCTCCAGAGAATTGATGCAGTTGAAATTGAACACGACATGTGGCTTTTCGGCTTCTTCCTGGCGTAGATATTCGATGCTGATGTATTGAACAGTAGCATCAAGGGCGTTGTTGAGTTCAACGTCGCTGCGATCATCCACATCGTCCAACAAGAACTCCCTCCCGGTGTTAGCATTCACTGTCGCTAGAACAAGTCTTCCGTGTTTCTTTCGCGTCAAACAACCGAAAGAATTGGTAGAGTAGTAGATAAGGCCTCCAAAGCTTGTTTGAATAATGACAACGGTCCAGATCTTTGGAATATTCATCGCGTTCAAGAGAGGGAGAGAGACAACTAGCGGAAGACCCAAAACATCTATACCCACAGGGCTTATTGACAGTGAATATCGATATGCAATGAGTGAGGGTCCCTGACACATTCCGCAACATTTTCATTGATGTTTGGGCCAGGCCGAGTGATGAGGTGACCACCTAGGTCTAACTTCGTCACGCGAATTCCGCCAAACAATATTGGAATCAGTCAGATCACTCTTCCAGCCACTTTGCTGGTCCCAATTGATAGTATCTGAATGCATTTGCTACGTGCAATAATCAACACCTGCTGAGATGACCAAATTCAGAGGCTGATGGAATACATATGATCGAGAATGGCTGGTTGAAATTTCCCTTATTGATTCCAGACCATGTCATCTTGCATCATTGGCAGCTCGGTGAATAATTCAAGGTTGGAGCGACGTTTCATGTGGCCCTCATAATGGGACTCACAACGCAAGCAGAAGATAGCCAAATAAATATTTTTGAACCTGGTCAGCATCCGGCTCGATGATTGTTAGAACAATCTGGCGTGAGATACACAGATCCTTCACCACCCGAAGCCAAATTTCAGAGGCAGGTCAATGGGACCGCTTACAGGCCCAGAGGAGCTGTGGCGTTGGACTAGAGATAGTACCAGAGTAATCTTCTACATGCAGACATGTGGTACTGCACCAGATTCAACTTGCGTCATTATTCCAGAGCCTCCCTTGAAGGGGACCGGGGCAAGTGAAACTCGCTTCGTTCCCCAATTGACACTCTGATCCGTGGGAAGGTGAGATTCCATTGCCTGCGGCACAGCACCGGCTCATCTGATTTCGAAGTGGAGAGGGTCAGAGGCAGGCTGACTGGTCTTTTTCAATGAAAGGCTGACTATCAACGTAGTGAATGGCGTCGAGGCCCACGGCTTATTGTAGTGTGGGGTTCGGGTGCACAAGCTATATTTCAGTTGTCCTGAGATGGTGTCACAGTTTCAGGAGCTTGGTTTTCCTAACATACAACTCCTCGTCCATCAAACTTCCCTCCACGCGTGTCGTTCTTCTCAGAGCCCATTCCGACGTCTTGGCATCCTGCCACGAATGACCTTAGACTCCCCACCTCCATCACGCGGTGACATCAACACGTCTCGTTGCGTGACATCCACATCCAAGATATTTAACCCCGAGAGCGACGCCGACGTGCAAGAGACCATGGACGCTGAATCAGTGACCGAAGACCACAGATCCGTCCAGCGCCATGCTGCTTTGGCATGGTCGGAAGAAGAGATCGAGAACACGTGGAAGCACACGCCCAAATTCAAACCAAACGGCTTCTCTGTGACCGGATTCCCCTATCCCCCTGATGCGCCACTAGCATACATCAAATTCGGGGACCCTGTCGAGTGGAAGCTAGCAGAGGTCCGGAACCAGATATTCGTCCACGACGCCTTGCAGCAGCTGCCGCCCGAGGAGAAGCAGGGCATCCACGTGCCGGAGGTGTACCGCACGATGAGGATCGGGTACCTCCTCTTCATCATAATGGAGTTCGTGCCCGGGAGGACACTCGCCCAGATCACAGAGGACTGGGAGAACTGGGTGATGGCCCGGGAGGAGGTGACCAACAAGATCGCCCAGGGGATGAGACTGCTGCTATCGCTTCCTGTCCCGTGCGATGCGAAGCCGGGCCCAGTCGGTGGCGGCATCATCCGCCACCCCATGTTCAAGGACTGCGAGGCCGCGACAGAATACGACTCTGTCGACATGCTCGAGAGACATTTGAACAAGGTCGGTGCTCCCCATCTGTTACTGAAGGCAGCTTGCGCTGACGTGCCCAGGTCGCAGCATTGCGTGTCAAGGACGGGGACCCGCCAACGGTCACTTTGGAGAGGGAGCTACACTTCTACTTCGGCGATTTGTACCACGAGAACTTCATATTCAAAGACTCCGGCGATCTCTATTTCATAGACTTTGAACAGGCCGGATTCCTCCCGCTCAGCTTCATGGCTTACGCTTTGGTTGCCAGATGGCCTATTGGCTTTTGGATCAAGGAAAGCCTGTGTCTACCGGAGGATAATATTAAGGCAATGCACAGGGCCGCTTACTGGTTCTTGATCGGTGTACACGATATCGGTAAGTGAATGGTCTTTTTGCAGGAGGAGGAGTGCAGAGCACGAGGGTTTACTGACGAGCTTGGAGGGCTTCCTCTCGACGAGTCCGACGGTGCGATTGCACGCAGGGGTCGACGATCCAGGGCCAATGATCCTTAGATGCACATGATAACATTGAAAACAACCGTCAGGTTACCGAGATGCCTGTTTTTGAGGGAGGATTTAAATTGCTGCACTAGGTTGGTGGAGCGCCGTGTGTTTTTGGTTATCGACCCTGAACTCGCGGGCAGGTTTTCCAGACATTAGTCCCAGACTCATTCGATACAAATCGTTGTGCTGAGTCACTCACCGTTGGTGGCCGCAACAGACTCAGATATGAGAGGTCTTCTTGGTTCCTGTCAAGCAGTTACCCAGCCACTCAGCGATCACTTCACCATGGCAATGAGTACCTCATTTTGCTCAAATTTCCCACCCATGCAAAGGAAAATCATGGTCTAAATATATTTACGTGTATATAGTATGATAATGCATCCTTATAGATGCTAGACGTTCCCCTCTATCCACCGCCACATCCTCAGTACATCGTCCCGGCCCAAAGGCCGAACACCCCTCATAGTCTCCGAGACTCTCTCCGTCCTCCGAGTGGCGAACCGCGCCGCCGACCCCTCTCCGACCCCCAAACTACCGCGCCTGCCACAGTAAGCCGCCTTCCAGAGATGCAGCAGCGCCCGCGCGGGGTGGTCCCGTGTCTCCAGCGCCCGCTCCAGCCTGTCAATCCACTCCGGGGCTTGGACAACACTCACCTCCACACGGCCGTTCTGATCCCCGTCGGCGCTGGCGCCGCCGCCGCAGATCCACCCCAGCATGTCCCGCCACTCGGGCTCCTGGTGTGGGTTCACCACATGGTACACCGGTGTCTTGTGCAGGTGCTGCGAGCGGGACTGGGAGTAGCGTTGGCCGGGGGCGCGGGGAGGTTCCGGCGGGTCCGGCGGCGAGGTCGCGATCTCCAGCACGGAGCGGGCGGCGGTGTCGACGGGCAGCCAGCTGAGTGTCTCGCTGGGCAGGTCGGGCAAGCAGCCTGATACGCGCGCGGACGACAGCATAATGGGGTATGCCTCGGTGGCATTCCACACGCCCGTCCTGGAATTGCCGCAGAGTTGGCCGACACGGATGATGATTATCGGCGTCCTCTCCTCTGCAATCCCAGGCGAGCGGAGGCCTGACGTGCTCGATGATATTGGCGTCGCGAAGCTGCCGCTCACTCTGGCCGAGGCAAGGATATTCTCGGCCACCCATTTCGATCGCGAATAACCCAAGGGCGAGGCATCATCTGGGTCGGAACTGAGCTTTTCACTGATGGGGCGGTCACCCTTGGCCGCGGAGATTACGGACGCCGTCGAGGAGATGAAGACAAATCGGGCCGCAGAGCTGCGCGAGGCGTTGCGCAGCTCCAGGAGGTTAATCAGGCCGCTGAGCTGGTCCTGGAAGGATCTGAGCTTGAGGCTAAAGTTTACGGGCCACGCCGAGTGAATCATCAGCGTTGCCTCGCCAGCTAACTTTTCCCACTCGGAGCCTGCGAGGCCGAGTTTGTCGTCTTGGAGACTGCACGGCAGGGAGACCAGCTTAGAGTCCTTGCCGATCTCGCTAGAAGGCATTGCGAGATCGCGTGACCTGAGCGATGTTAATATTCTCTCGCTTGCTTGCTCTGGACTTTCTGCTCGCACAAGGCAGTAGACCCGCGCCACGTTCGAGTCCTGGAGCAGGATCTCCAAGATATGCGCCCCCAATGCCCCGGTCGCCCCGGTCAAAACGACCACGCGGTCCTCCTGGTGGTTGAAAGAGCCTGCGGGTGCGAGTATCTCCCGTCGATATTGTTCCACTAGGTCCAGCATGAGCTGCTCATCTGGGTCCTCTTCGTTCAGCCCGTCTGGGACCGCCGCACCGGACACTCGGCACCGCAGAATATACTTTGATAAGCGTTCTATCGAGCCTTGGTCATAAATTACGTTAAGCGGTAATGTTATGTCGGTGTCGGCAAAGAACGCCTTTGAGATGGTCTTCCTAAGCTGTGAACAGGCGAGCGAGTCCACGCCCTGCGTGAAGAGGTCAGTCTGGGGGTCGATATGTCTGCCCGTAACATCATCGAAGAGGCGGCCCAACTCAACCATAACTTTGCTGTCGGGTATCCTTTTCCTGTTGCCATTGAGCTCTGGATTATGGTCATCGGCCTGCTCGATTTCCTCTGCAAACATCTTCTCGGCCTGTCCCCTGAGAATAGTGCCTTTGCTGCTCTTCGGGAGCTGCGGTATTTCGCCGCGTTCCCTTTTGACGACGACCATGCTTCTTCTGGCCAGTCGCGCATGGCTCTGTGTTTCCTCGTTCATCTTCTCAACAGTGGGCCACAACTCTTCAATGATTTGGTCGTCACTAGCGGAAGTGGTCCCCGGCTTAGGAAAGAGTAAAACCCCAGGCATTTCTCGGCCAGTTCCAAAAATCATGGCGTCGCTCAAAACCCTCTTTCCCTTTTCTGACGCTAGTAGCTCGCCTTCCACTGGAGATGGGTCAAATTTCTTCCCATTCAGAAGCGTTATCTGCGCGTCTGCCCGGCTGTGATAGCGCCACGCGTTTGTGATCGAGGGATGCTGCTCGAACAAATCCGACGTGGCAAAAGAACCATCGGGGCGATTAGTCTTTCCACGGTGCGGCCATTTGGGTTTAACGATGAGCTCAAAAAGAGACGGCTCGCCATCCTCTCTTGCTTGGGGTTCAAAATCGTAATAATCCGGCTGCAGAGACGAATGAGCACGGAGGAAGGACCACTCGCGGTCAGTGCTGTAGTCCCGGTGCGAAGAAAGCAGAAAGCCACACTCTGCGCTGCCGAAGCGAGAGACAAGTTTCACATTTTTGGAAGCGAGGTGCTCGCCAACAGACGCTGGCAGAGCGGCTCCGCCGACACCCACAAGGTCCATTTCTTGCAGAAGCTGGAGGCCCGAGTCATCTTCAGGGTCAGCTGGGTCGCCGCCTAGCATCTGAAGGATGTATGGAACGCTGGTGAAATATTTGACAGGGCATGCATTTGCAAGGTATCGATTCGCAAGGCCGACAGCCCGTTGAACATTGGCAGCTGTGATGGGCTGAGTACCAGGGAAAAGATGGATGGTGGCGCCACTGGCCCATGCTCGGAAGCAGTCAGCGATACCACCGTGATATAAGGGTGTCGTGGAAAATGTGGCGGCACTGCCGCCGCCAGGAAGCCGAGGGAGGACCCCAACTGCGGCAAAATGGGACTGTGGTATGGGCTTGGGGAGACCAGAAGAGGTGCCTGACGTGTGAAAGAGATAGGCTATCTCGTCCGACTTGGCACGCGAGGGAATTTTGGCCGGGCTCTGCTCAGGCTTGAGGTTGTAGAGTACGTTGCTGATATTGATGGCCAGACTGCCATCTTTCAGGTTCTTGACCCTGTCATAGTTCCTAGCGTCGGCGAAAATCACTGAGACATTACACGTTGAACACAAGTGCTTGATCGCGGTACGTTCTAGCTGGGGACTGCAATGATGACTGGTCAGGTTTGGTGCTGTGACACGGGAGGATTGGAGGTCACGTACGCCAGGAGCATTACAGATATCCCCAACCGCATGAGACCCAGCCAGGTCAGGATGAACTCGGGGGTGCTCGAGCAGAGCAGACCAGCCGTACCAGAGGCATTTCGATCGGACACCTGGAGTCTCCGGCGCAGACGTGCTGCTGTGGCCAGGGAGTATGTCCTGAGTTCGCGATAGGTGAAATCTAAGGTGGGAGTGTAAGCAAGGGAGCTCTTAGATAACGGCGGAAGATCATGGTCGTCCAGAGTATAAAATGCGACGCACCCGACTTCATCTCCCTGCCATCATCGGCAAAGCATCCGCCTGGGAAGTTGACGGCAGGCCTCTGTCTCAGGTCTTCTGCCTGCTCGTCTATAAGATGGTTGACGGTGTGGAAGGGGTGGGGGTGGTCTGCGTTCCATGTTGCCGCCTCGCCCAGGGTGCAGGTGAAGTAGTTGAGGCGTGTGTCGGCCGGCGCCATGGTGGCCGGTGTTGAGTCCTGACTCCAAGCATGGACATTAAACCGCACCTTCTTGGACATTGGTAAGTTCGTGCCTCTTCTGAGAGAAACGTTGGGTGGGTGTGAGTGTCGTGGTGTCGTTGGGGTAGCGATACAGCAAGGATCACGGCGATGTGTTACTGGATATCATAGGGATTCTTGGTATGCCACCACACTGCCATCCACGCGTGTCTGCCCTTCCTTCCACGCGTACTTGGCCTTCTGTTCACGATGAAAGCAGCATCGAGGTGGAGGCAACGTCAACAGAAGGTGACGTTGGGAGGCAGCAAATCCCGGATGTCCCCAGCTCAACCTGCATTGTGAGGTCCAAGGCCGATGGGCTTCTAGACCTCGGGACTTTGAGACGGTGTCGGGGCTATCTTAGCTTAGTGACACGATACGGTGGCGACAGGCAAGGGCGACCACAGTCCATGAGCTCCAGCTGTCCAGTAAGAACAATAGGAGCGAGCTTCCGTGGTTGGCGGCAATCGAGCTGTTGCTTCTTTCCCCTTCTCCACGGGCCGAGCCAGAACTAAAATGCAGTCGATGAGGTCATCCAGCCGCCGCTGCTGTTTCTAGATCTAGACGCTGGGAAAGGAAGCCACTGCGCTCCACACCAGTCGATGATTCGCATACCCGCAATTGACTACAGATACGTTTTCCCTCTTTCCTCCCTTCTCGAACTAGAAGCAGGAACCCGTTCTGCGCCCGCCCTTTACCGTAGGCACCACCTGGCAGGTGAAAATGTAGATCCTGCGCAAAGGAGCATGTTTTCCCATCTCTCCCTTGGGGTCAACAGTGCTCTCGCTCGCTTGCTGGCTCAATCATTCCCTCCCTCCCCCTCCAATGACTGCAACCTCACACACGTCACCGCACGCGTCACATCTCCCACCCAACTCGCGCCTCTCCCGCCCGCACTAATAAAAGGCGACTGAACCCCACCATCCACAATGGCCCCAACACCTCGATCCATCACCGACGCCCTCCCCCTCCCAAACTCCCCCACGAGCCCTCGCATGCCCCAGCTCGGCTTCGGGACCTACCTCTCCCCGCCGGACCTGACCCTCAAGTCCTGCCTCACGGCCCTTCAGGCAGGCTACCGCCACATTGACACGGCGCAGTACTACCAGAACGAGGCAGAGGTAGGCGAGGCAATCCGGCAGTCGGGCCTGGCGCGCGGGGACGTCTTCGTCACCACCAAGGTCCTAACCCCGGGGGACGGGCCCCAAGCCACCTACACAGCGTGCCTCGAGAGCGTCGAGAAGATCGGCGGCAGCGGCGGCTACGTCGACTGCTTCCTGATCCACTCGCCGAACGTCGGCGAGGCCAAGAGGAAGGATATGTGGCTCGCGCTCGAGAAGCTGCACCGCGAGGGCAGGGCGAGGGCCATCGGCACGAGTAACTTTGGGAGGGGCCAGATCGAGGGGCTCAGGGGCGTAGGGGAGGTCTGGCCGCCGCATGTGAACCAGATCGAGGTGAGTTGACCGTCCTGATGCTGCAGCTGCGGCACACAAGCACCTTGCCTTCGCTCAGGCGCGGCACGAGCTAACGCAGTCTCCCACACCAGCTGCACCCTTGGCACCAGCAGCGCGAGATCGTACAGTACTGCAGTGACAACGGCATCGTCTTGCAGGCCTACTGCCCCATCGTCAGGAACCAGAAAGCAGACGACCGGACCCTCGTGGGAATCGCGGAGAAGCACGGCGTCACGCCCAACCAGGTCCTCATCCGGTGGAGCCTGCAGAAGGGCTGGGTCTCGCTGCCCAAGAGCGACAACCCCGACCGGATACGCTTGAACTGCGACGTCTTTGGCTTCGACCTGAGCGCGGACGACGGGAGGCTGCTAGACGGGCTGGACCAGGGCGCCGCGGGTGGGCTTGTGCAGACTGTCAATAATGATTGATGGGTCTGGTATAAAAGCATGTCCAAATATTCACTGAGTGCAAGTGGCACTTACACTGTATATAGAGAAGGGTGGCTGCCCTATGGCAGACATGTACAAAAAACTCATTCGGGCCTAGTGCCCATACCCATTATCAAAATGCATTCGCTGTCACATCAAGTAGGACACATGTGAAAGGGGCAAGCAAGTCGTGGCAATGAATTTGGACAGAGGACCCTTAACGGCATGAGCACTTGTGTCGGAGCTAAGTTCAGAGAAACAGACACAGGAGCCGGGCACTTCCAGCCTGAAGGTCGCAGCTGTGAGGCGAAAAAGAGGTTCCTCCCCGTGTTTGCTCCTGTTCAAGCTGGGGACGAGCAGGAGAATACTTAACTTATCGTGTTTTGTTACAGTGGGCGTGGAGACGACGAGCCCCTTCATCATCGGACGGGACTGACATGTTGCTCACAAGACGAGGACAATAATTCATCAAGGCCAGGGGGCACCGGGTGTACGGCACCGCAGGACCCAGCAGGATTATGAAAAAAAAAAACAGCCGTGATCTAGCCAAGTTTATATTCTCCTGGTATCATTGCCAAACATCCCGTTTTCAAGAGACCCACACCCCTCTGTCCCACAAAATCTCCAGCCATTGCGCCACAGCCCGAGGAACTCACCACGTCGACATCCTACCTCTACCCTGGAAGGTAGAGCCCACCCAAGAAGAACGCCCTTTCCCAGCCCCATAGCCACCTCAGTCCTCCTCCGCCGCCTCGCCAGGCCACAGGGTCCAGACGATAATGACAAACACCTTCATAGCACTGGCCGTCCACATGGCGCCAGCGATGCCGAACCGCGAGTGCGCGAAAAGTCCGCCGAGGATGGCGCCCAGGAGACACATGGACGGCGCGCCTACCCGGCGGTTGCGCTCGGCGTTGTCAGCGCGGAACAGGTCCTGGTCGCTGAAGAGGTCGCAGTAGATGCTGGTGAGCACGACGCTCGTCAGGGCGTTGTACTTGATGGCGCGGCTGGTGACGGCCTGCCCGCACGCCTGGAACGCCACGAGCGCGATGGGAACCAGGACGTCCCACGTGATGGCGTCCTTGCTGTTGGGCGGGCCTCTGCCGCCCGCGCCCGGGCCGAAGGTGACGATGGAGGCGGCGGCGATGCAGAGGGCCGCCTGCAGGGAGAAGGAGGCGATGAGGGTTGCGCGCTTCTTGGGGCCGAAGTGCCTGTGGAAGCGGCTGAAGAAGAAGGAGCCGATGCAGAAGAAGCCCAGGGAGGTGCCGGATTTGATCCAGCGGGTGCCCTCGGTTGGTGCTGCCAGGCCGAGGCCGATGTAGACGGTGTTTCCTGTGGTTGCGGGTCAATGATGATGTTCCCATGCCGGTGAAGTTTGACTGGGGGCTTTGAGGTTCTGTTCCTGTTGATAACCTACCTGTCTGCATGGAGACGAAGGATCCCCAGTCCGAGATGGCAGAGCTGTCCAGCAGGCCCGTGATGATGTAGCAGAAGATGAGCACGACGTCGGCCCAGTCGCGCTTGACGTCGGCGGCGGCGGCCTTGCGCAGCCGCGAGGTGAGCGACTTTGAGTTCCCTCTAGGCGTGCTGACTCCGTTGAGCAGAGGTTGCTCCTCGTCTGAAGCATTGTGGCCGGCCCGGCCGGTGTCCCTCTGGCGGGCGGTGCCGCCGGGCCCAGCAGTGCCGTATCCGTTGACGGTGCTCATCTTGTCGGCTGAGTTGTGGTTTCTTTCCGAGGTTCTTGCGAGCGAGGACTTGGCGATGGCTGACTTTGTTGGGATGGATGCTCAGCAGCTTTTCACGTGTATGACTGAGGTCCTCGGGCAAGGCACGGCGTGTGGACAGGGGCCGTCGTTGATCGAGCCCCGGACGGTCAGACAGTATTAGTATGAAGGGGCGCTGACTCGCTGGGGCTTGTGTGAGAATTGAAGGGTTGAGCGCCGAGGACTGGCGTCACTGCGGGGCCCTGCGCCAGCTTCCCCGGGAAAACAGACAGGCATGGTAGCACGAGCGCCAGGGACGGAGGCTAGCAGCAAGTAGCGAGTAGCAACCAGCAAGGCCGGCCGTCGTTAGGCCGGGGCATAGGATGGAGCTTTTTCTCAAAACATCAACGATGCTAATAATATAGCGCGGGCCAGAGTTATCAGATCAGATCTGGACGGAGATATTGACTGCGATTCGGCCGTCGCTCGGAGGACCCAAGGACTTGGCTCACCAAGGCAGGAGCAGCTGCTAGCTGCTACTGCAACTGCAACAATGGCTCACGAAGGCTGAATGGGCGGCCGAGACGTTGCTTCATCCATCCATTTGTTGTGTTTGCAGCCCAGCCCCAAGCTCGATTGGCGCCACACGGCACCCGGCACTGCTAATTGGGGTCGTCGTGGCTGAGCCTGAATGCCCCCTCCAGACCAGCCTACCCGGTCTGCCGGTTCTTGAGCGACAATCATGTCTTGGCCGACCGTCACGTCTTGGCCATGCGCGGACGTGCAGGTGTGGGTGCTCAGGTGCGTGGGCGTTGTGGAAGCTCCAACACATGGTGCTCAACCCAAGCTGCCCGCGGACCACAACCGCCGTCGTCTGGTAGATCAGATGGCCTATAGTCTATCTCTCACACCGATGCGATCTAACAACAAGGGCTCCTCGTTTCCCCTTCCCCCGCGCCAGCACCCACACCCTCACCGAGCATCCTTTTTCCGTTCTGGCGCGTTGCCCTGTCGCTTCTGGAAATAGCAGCACGCCAGCTCGACAAGGCCTTTCGGACGAGCTAGGAGCTCTCCCTCCAACCGCCCTCCAACCGGACGTCCTCGCTGGAGTTCGGTCTTGTCTCGGCAACTCGAGGTTGCACGCCACACTCGTCGGCGTCGTGCTGCTTGCATGGTCATTATGGCCGGCCAACCGACATGAACCATTGTGTGGAATAAAACTCTGCCGGGGAACAGGTCCAGGGGTGGAAACGACGTTGCAGAGGGAGGAAAAGGCAATGGCTGGTCGGAGGTGCGAGCGAGGTGGGTTTGGTGTGCACAGAGCCCGGAGTACACTAGAAAGAGCTACGTTATTTAGATTTGTTAGACTGCAGATGGCACTGACGGCTCAACGTCTTGTCTCGGAGAAGCTGTGCCTGGGCACAAGCGAAAGCTTAGCTGTCAGTCTCCCGTCTTTCCCGTGCCTGTTCCGCTGCGACTGCTGCAAGTGGTGCAAGTGCTTTGCTGGCTGGTGCAGGCTGGCATTGGCATGGCATGATCAGGCAGGCAAATACCACTGTACATGTAATGGGTCGAAACGGGAGGGGTAAACAAATGCTTGGAGCTTGAGCTGTTGTATGGGGCGGACCCTGTCACAAGCAGTTTGGGTGGCCCGGTTGGAGCTCTCCCTGCAAGGTACTCCAGTCCGTCGCAGTAGCTGGCACGGAATGGTGACGCTATTAGTCTACACCCCAGACCAGAAAGTCCATGCCCGGTCCAAAAAGGCACATGCGCCGGTCCTGACAGTCCAACCGTTTTTCTCTATTTCTGGGGAGTAGTCTATTTGTTTTGGCATCTTCGCCTGCTCTTCCTACTTCTTCTGTTCCATCACTCACCCCCATACCTCTTAGCCAGGTACACACACGCCCACACGTTCTCTCTCTTCTACACCCCCACCACACATTGACTCGCAGGCGATCAAGACCAACACCAAGATGCTCCTCCCACAGCTTCTCGTGACGGCCTCGCTCGCCACCCTGTCGCAGGCCGTCCCTCATCGCGACTCCCCCCAGCAGCGTCTCCAGGCCGGCCTCGAGCTGCCCGACAAGTTCCTGACCAGCAAGAAGACCTCCAAGCAGAACCCATATACCCCAGACTTCCGCGACCCATATGACAACAAGGTCGACCCCGTCAAGGACGACCTCGACCCGCTGCCCTGGCGCAATGGCCTGGGCGCCTCCGTCCTGGGGCCCTGGAACCCGGAGCGCTCTCGTCAGAGTCCGGACCTGGTCAGGCCGCCCAGCACCGACCACGGAAACATGGCCAACATGCGTTGGAGTTTCGCTGACTCCCACGTGAGGATCGAGGTATGTCTGCTCTTTCTCGACTCCCCGTTCCCTTTCCCTTTTCCATCTCTCCACGAGCACAGCAGCTAACAAGTTCTTGTCCCACCAACCAGGAAGGAGGATGGACCCGCCAGACCACCGTCCGCGAGCTGCCCACCTCCAGCGAGCTGGCCTCCGTCAACATGCGCCTGGGCGAGGGCGTCATCCGCGAGCTGCACTGGCACAAGGAGGCCGAGTGGGCCTACATCCTCGACGGCTCCGTGCGTGTTACCGCTCTCGACTACGAGGGCGGCAACTTCATCGAGGACCTCGAGAAGGGAGACCTGTGGTACTTCCCCAGCGGCGTGCCCCACAGCTTGCAGGGCCTCAGCCCCAACGGCACAGAGTTCCTGCTTGTCTTTGACGACGGTCGCTTCTCTGAGGAGAGCACTTTCATCCTGACTGACTGGCTCGGTGAGTCCTGCTTGTTACTTCTCCTCCTTACCCGCCCATCCACTGACTCCAGACGCCTGCAGCCCACACGCCTAAGTCTGTCATTGCCGAGAACTTCCACCTCGCCCCGGAGGTTTTCGCGCACCTGCCAGAGGGCGAGAAGTACATCTTCCAGGGCTCCAACCCGGGCTCCATCGACGAGGAGCGTCCCACGGGCAAGAACATCAAGAAGTCCAAGTACAACTTCGCCCACAAGATGCTCGCCCAGGAGCCCATCGTCACCTCGGGCGGCGAGGTGCGCATCACCGACTCCAAGAACTTCCCCATCTCCACCACCGTGGCCGCCGCCCACGCCATCATCCAGCCGGGCGCCCTGCGCGAGATGCACTGGCACCCTAACGCCGACGAGTGGAACTTCTTCATCCGCGGCCGCGCGCGCATCACCATCTTCGCCGCCGAGGGCACCGCCCGCACCTTCGACTACGTCCCCGGCGACGTCGGCATCGTCCCGCGCAACATGGGCCACTTTGTCGAGAACATCGGCGATGAGCCCGTCGAGATGCTCGAGGTCTTCCGCGCCGACGAGTTCCGCGACTTCTCCCTCTTCCAGTGGCTCGGCGAGACCCCGCAGCGCATGGTCGCCGACCACCTCTTCCAGGGCGACCCGGAGAACGCCGAGAAGTTCCTCGCCAAGATAAAGAGCGCCGCCAAGGACCCCGTCACCAAGTACTCGGACGACGAGAGCTCGGCCGCCGACGACGAGGAGAAGGAGCTGTAGGGGGTATTGGGCTGGCTGTTCTGAAGTAAAAGCTTGCGGGCATCAGTTTTCATCTGTAACCTGTCACGGGCTTGGATATAGTTTTAGGCATATATCTGGGCGTTCATACGATTTGTAAAAGTTGTACACTCAGCAAAGAATGTAAAATGAGAACGATTTAACCCGATTGCCAATCTGAGTCTTCTAATGTGTCGTATTTCCATCATCATTTGGTGGTGATCCTCGAGATTTTAAGATTGACTGGGAATACTGAGGAAGTATCCTATGAAGATGCTAGGACCGAGCAAAAAGGGATGTATCTACGAAATGTTCTCTATTATGTATGGAGCATGGCTGATTAGATGTCGTCTGTTGTGCTCACTATCTCAGATGGTGACAAAGCATCTTTGGCATGCAAGTCGTGTACATGCAGAATCTGCCCAAAGGCATTTGGGCTTTCGTACGTATCACACAGACGGCCTGCTCAACAGCCTCAATTCTGACGTCTTGACATTTCCGGGACTGCAGTCTCATCGAATTTTTCCTCGTACTTAGTCGGGCCTTAAGAGGTCCGGGCTATCTCCCTACCTGGCAAAATCCTCGGGCGACCGGGTCCCTCAGTTCGAACCATGTTGTGTCGTCTCGGCGCCTCAGAAGGCGTTCTTCAAGTCAATCGAGGCGATGAGGCATGAGAGAATCGTATTCAAAGGCCGACTGAAAGCTGATACGAACAGTGATGACAGAAAGAGCCAAGGGAGTCGTTCAGAAGCCAGTTAACAAGCGTATGTCAACACCTACCGAGTAGAGCCCCGTGCAATTCACTCTCGACATTCACCCGTCGCCTCAACCTCATAAGCTTTGGCATCCCAATAATCACAACGACAAGGCGAGCTGGCACAACGGCAAAGCGAGCGACTTCGTTCAGACACAGTGCCCACCGCAACGCCAATAAACACGCAGGTAGGTGGGGTAATAAAGTCACTGCAAAGAAATATCCCGAAGCTCCTGCAAAAGGAAGTACCGAAAGGAGGGACGCGCTGTAGCACCCTATAGGGGTGGCAGGGCGTGAGGAGGGTGTTGGCGACGACCTCTCTTTTTGCACTGGCCAATGCCGCTCTTTAAAAGGCAACCGTGACAATTTGAATTTACATACGCCTCCGTCTCAATGAGCATTTATCTCTTATGCGGGAGACTCGATTCCATGAGTTCTGGCAATGTGGAGTTTATTATTGGCAGTCTCCATCAAAGTGTCTTGAAATACAAAAGCCCTTTCATTTGACCGTGCCCGACTCGAGGCTATGTTCATCACGAATTATGTTGCTTCTCATTACAAGAATCTCCGAGTATTGTTTAAAGATTTCGTATAGTCCTATTCTGAGGACTCACTGGGATTCAGAACACTCCCGAAATCACGGCTGTGAAGCAATAACTAGCGCGAGGGCGACACTCAGGCCACCCAGAGATCACAACCACGATGCACAGAACTACATAGTAATATTGCCATTCTCGCTTCCTCAAACCTTAATTACCATCGGGTTGAACAGACAAAATAGCGGTTTTGGGCATCAATGACCCATACAGAACTAGAAGTTCAAGTCATCTTCCCATCTCCCCTGAAAATGTGAGTTACAAGCACGCAGCCTCCTTCTCCCCTGAAATTCCCTCGCGGCACGCCACGAGCAATAATTATGTCACACTCAGAAGACAACGACCAACCACTCAACTTCGGCTCCGACCTCAGTATTAAGGCATGCATTCAAAACTGCCTGGGTGGGGAATTCTGTGACTGTGATCACCACCGAGAAAACTTCGACGACCCGGGGGGTCAGCCGGCATCCGCTCCCTATCAACAACCCACCGCCCGCGAGCCCCTCCTTTCCGTCGCCTCGTCCGCACAGGGGCCAAGCCAGCCGCGGCAGATCGTTCAGCAGTACCAGCCAGTGCGACCGATGAACTATGGCTCAAACTCGTACGCGGGACAAGGCAATCCTCGAAACCATGCCGGCCACGGTGGGAGCTATGCTGGTCATCCTGCGAGTGAGGGCGGCTACCTTACAACCTACGGCGGCGTGTTCATAGCTCCGCAACACCCTCCCGGATTCACCACGCAGGGCTCATCGTACCAAGAGGGCAGAGACGTCACCCCCCTCCAGGAGTCTCGGGGCTGGTTTCGGGATCATGCAGGGCGTCTCTACAACGGCCTGGGTGAACATATCAACGAACGGGGTGAGGTTATTCAGCCCGCTGCCTCCAGCGTGCCGCAATCGTCTCCGAGATCTGGCTTGTCTGGTGATGAATCTGGCAGAACCGCGCCGTCGCATCGTTCAGACTCGAGCGCTCATGGCTCCCGAGCTGGTTCTCATCATGGCCATCATCATGGGAACAAACAGAAGAATCACTAGCATGGAGCATTCTGATTTGTGAGGTGGAGAATGAGGGCAGGAGTTGATATCGCAGGCGATGACTTTTGATTTGACTTTCAGCGGACATCTGGAGTAAAGTTTTGGTGTTCGTACTATGGCTTCCAAGTTTAGATCTAGATATAATTGTATTCAAAATATAGATTTCAAGCGATTTCTTTTACATGAGATCCTCTTCATCTGAAATGCACTCCGACGGCGGCGCTTGTCATCGCCCTCCATGCATAGATGCGTTTTACGCGAGCACCTGAGCGGTCCCGACCAACTAAGGCAATATGATGCATGATAAAATCTTCGCAAATATCGATAGAACCCTGCGCTCTTGGCTGTAGTGCGTGGCATCAAGAATACCTAGGTATGCGAGCCTTGAAGAGACGAAGGGGTGTTGCCTCTCCGCCGCCACGGTCTCAAACTTCCCACTCACATGACTATTCCTCCGTAACCTGAAAGGGTAGCAGACACCGAACTCATACCGAAAGGGCTCATTTTGACAAGATTGAGAAGACTGGGAACATTTGAACACTACTGGCCATTTCTTGTGGAAACGATCCCACCGACGGTACACAAATGATGCTCCAGCCCGGCAATAATGAAGAGCCCTATGTCATAATTCGGTCAGAGTTCATTGTCCCAGAATAATCATGAGCAGGTAAAAGCCAGCCCGGAGATGCGTGTACAAGCTTTCGTATGGCCAACACATTTAGAAAATAGATCTTAACGAATTACAACCAACGGAACCGCAATATGGAATTATTTCAGAAGGTCGCGATTAATTGGGTGACTCTACCTCTCCAGTCACAAAGACATCCAGAAGTACCCAACGAGTTGCGGTCAAAGTGAGCATCGTTCCTGCTTCATCACTGGACCGCACTCGGCCAACATCGAAGACCAGTGACCAACTCCAACCCTTTGTCCATACCTGCGTGCGTGAGCAAGACGAGTGACACGTTTCCGTTGCTGAGACTCGACATCGCCGTCAACTATAAATACCTGCGTCTTGTGGACCTCCTTGCAGCTCTTGACTTCCACAGCAACAAGTCCAAGCAAGAGAAACACATTGATCCATCCACCAGAACGACACAGCCTCCTCCCTACGCAAGATACCGCAACGAGCCTATACTATCTACAATACCCCTTCACTTATACCTTCACGGAACAACCTCTCAAATAACACACACAAAATGTCAAGCCAGCAGAACGGCACTGACGGCGTCAACGGAACTGGCGGCTCCCAGGGGTCTTCCGGTGCGTCGGTGAGTCAAGGCACTGCGGGCTTCTTGGTCGACATTGCGCGTCAGCAGCAGAGGGACCGAGCCGCTGAGCAGGAACGCCAGGCTTCCTCCGGCTCCCAGGGACAGGGCCAGAACGCCGGTGGCCAGAACGGCACCGGCCCGAACGGCGTCAACGGTCACAATTAGGACGGTTTCTAGCAAGGCCCGAGGGGATCCACAAGAGCCGAGGAGGCAGCAACGGCAGCGCTGGCATAGAAGGAAGCACGCCCCCCAGGCTCCGACAAGAAGATGGAGGCACAGTCAGGAATTCCGTTATGCTATGAGCAGTTGAAATTCTCCGATTATTGATTATGCGCACAATCAGACGCCTGGAGCGGGCGCATTGGACCTCGCGGTCGGAATTATGGTTTGGGTAGCTTGTGAGGCAGCATAGGGCAATGGAGACTACCCGAACCGAACAGCAAGATCGCGCTTTGAATGTCTCGTAAGGTTTTCAGTGTTGATGCTAGACCGTGTTGACAATTACTTAGATGTGATACTTGGATGTCTTGTGTCATTGTAAAATGAGAGCTGTTAAAGCCTCAAGAATGACATTGTCCAAAGACAGACATATGTGTAGCATCTTGGTCTGCAATATTCCAAGAGCTGATGACTCAGGCACTTGGAAGTTCCATCGACTTTGGTGACTGGTCGCTCGACACTATGTCTCTGCACTAGCTCTGAGGCACTCCAGACTTCGAGGAGGGAGGACACTCCGTGCCGGAAGATTGAGAAATAGCTATACTGCAATCTTCCAAAACCTATCCACGAAACCAAGGACAGTGAGAATGAAAGACACATCTCAAAGAGGGAAACACCCCCTCGGAATCCACAAATCCTGACCTCGCAACCAGAAAACAGGACGTGCCACATTCACATCTACCCAAAACCCGAAGGAAGTCCCATCAGACACGACAAGCCCATCCATCGACCACCCGCCCGTGGCCATCCACACCCCTGCGGAAGCGACCGCCCATGTGCGCGTCAAAGGCCACGCCCAGCGACCCAGTCCAGTCGGCCCACGGCGGCCCGCGCAGAAAGCCGCAAGCGAGGGCTACACAACAGAGAAGAGGGCCCCTCGGACTCGGTGCCACAGGCCAATCAAGGACATGATACACACGGCATGAGGGGGCGTGGGCAAAAGCAGCTGGGGTGCATGCGTCGGGAGGAGGAGGAGTAGGACAGAGTCAGGCATATGATGCGATCAATGCATACACACAAAGCACAGACACATACATAGCCGACAAGCGCCAGGCAGCGCGGCAAAGGGCAGGTCGCACACACGGACACACATACACACAGACACGGGAATAGACATGCAGTGCAAAGTGAGCATCTTGTCCAGATGCGCCATCGTCAGGGGGGTTTGATTCGCCGCAGACCGGGAGGCGAAAGGGAATCAATGAATCCTTCGCCGGCCTGTGCTGCACCCACCCTTCCTACCCACGTGCCGAATATGCACGTCAAGCCTGTATTCTCTCTGGCTAGGAGGATTGAGGAGTGGGCTTGTTATCTGTCTGCCTGGAGCCGGGGGCCCTGACCTGCCATGTACGGCAGGTTAATATGCGGTTGGAGAGGGTTCGCTAGGCCGCTGCCAATGCAGGAATCGAGGAAGGATCGGGACGGAGAAGGGGGGGGGTTTGATGGATGGGGATGCGCCGGCCGACGGCTGTTGCGATTGGCGGCGATATCTCGGCAGCGCCCGCAACTCAGCCTGCTCGCAACGGCGCTGGACGGGCTTTCCTGCAGCGCGCAGCAGGGCCGTCTGTGGCTGCAGAAAGAGAACTGCAGAAGACGGCTTCAGGTAGAAGGAGCACGCACACACGTTGCAGCGTGGCTTGACCGGCACGAGGTGGGAGGGCAAAAAGGGCAGATGGGGATATTTGCCAATGTGACGCTTGTCACGGACGGGTCGCATCCGAGGGAGCTGAGTTTGGGGGCCAAATTGGAGAGTCGGCCGTTCTGGACGCAGGGTGAGAGATTGGGATAGTGAAACTCTATGACCCGTATGAGAAGATATATCGCACTGTAAACAGTGCGAGCAATTTGGGGGATTCGGGGTATGTATTGCTTAAATAGGTTTAAGTTTACTTTTAAAGCTAAAAATTGCCTATTTAGGGCCCTTAAGGGCTAAACGCCCCTGCCCGCACCATATAAACCCTCTTTTTTCAATGGCAAAACCCTAAGCCTAAATCATAATAACATTATTGCAAACATATATACTTCTTATCCTTAATTTGCTTTTATTAATAAATTAAGAAAAGGGTTAATATTGGTTTAAGTTGTGAGTTATTGCGTTTGCTATGCCAAAATAAAATAAATAAAAACTTATATTGTTATGTTAGCCTTTATAAATATTTATTTTAAATTAGGTTTTTAATAATAATAAATAAACGTTAATAACTATTCTTATCTTAATTTTTTTTAAAAAAAATAACTATAAAGGGTTATATTATTATAAAAAGCCGCAAAATCTTTTTTTGGGTTTCTCTTTATTATTATAGCCCTTTATTAACCTCTTTATAACTTTAAAATTATACTAAATATTGCATTAAGTTAGCGAACTTAATATAGCGTTTTTAATTTATTATTAACTTTTTAATTAAAGCGGCATTTTTAAAGAGCTATAAGCTTGCTTATCTTTATTTATTTTATTATGCTTAGCGGTAATTAAAGTAATAGTAAAATATTAAATGCAAACTTAAATAAAGGCTAAGCTATTTTTATTATCTTTATTTTTTAATCCTAGAGTTTCATTTTTATTAATTATATAGTTAATTAATATATCTTTTTAATTAATGCTTTAATTATTTTAATTATTATTATTATTATTTAAGTTAAATTTTTCCTTAAAATTGCTATTAATTAAGTTAATTATATTTTTTGCATTTAAGTTATTTTGCTAAAGCTAATTTACCTTTTTAATATATTATTAAATTATTATTATAAGGTCCTTTCTTAAGTAATATATTTTCTATATAATAATCTTTATTACTTGCTTTATTTTTTTAACTTAGCTTTTTTTTTATTTTAATTTACGCAAAGCCTTTTTTAAATTGCCTTTTTAATTGAAATAGCGCGGGGAAACACTTATTTCTGCCTTTTTCTTTATAATTTTCTTATTTTAAGTTAATAGGGTTTTCTTTTTATAAGGCTTAATAATAATTAAATCTAAGTAATTTTAAAGGAAAGATTTAATATTTAAATAATAACTCTTTTTATTAGCTCCCTAATTAAATTTTTAAGAAATGCTTAAAACGTTATTTTTAGCTATAATTAGGTATAAAAGTTAGGGGCTTAGTAAGTTAAGGTTTCTTTTAATAGCTTGCTAAAGGCTATTTAAGATTTCCTTTTTTTAGGCTTAAGCAATATAGTTTTTAATTTAATTCCTTAAAAAAGCATATAACCTTTTCCTATTACTATTTTTTATAAAATAATAAAGAAAACCCCAGTTTATTAAGCGGTTTTTATAATTTAGGTTAATAATAAGTATATAATTCCTTAAATCTTAAATTTCTTAAGTAATCTTTATTATTAAGTTAGCTAAATTTATAAGGGTTTTTAACTGCTTAATATAATATTATAAAACTTAGTAAATTAAAAGTTTTATATTATTAATTATTTATAACCATTTTAATTAATTAATTCCCTTATTATTTATTATTATTAAAAGCAAAATATATAATAAAGTTTTAAATCTTAGTTTATAAAGTATTAAATATTTAATATTTTAAGCAAACCTTTGCTAGCGCTTATCTTATATAAAAATATTAAAAGGAATTTATTTTAAATCCCTTATATTTATGCTATTATTTTTTATAAATAACTTGCTTATAACTTTAATTATAAATTAGCTATTTATATTTTTTTATTTAATTTTTTAATAAATAATGCAAGGGTTTTAAGAATTGCATTTTTAATAATCTTTCTGCTTTTCTTTAAACCTATTTTCCCCTTTAAGTAACTATTAATTTAAGGTTTAATGCTTTTAATTAAATAAAGTTTTTTAAAACTTAATATTTTAATAGCTTGCTTTATAAATAATTTGCTTAAACTTTATATTTACTAAGCAACCCTTTTTATTAAATATTAAGCTTAAGTTAAGCTTAAGCAAATCCTTAGCGCCTTATTTCCTTAAGAAGTTTGCGATTTAATTAAACTACCTTCCTTATTTATTAATAGCAGTTATTAAAGCAATGCTTAGTAATATATACTTAGTTTTCTTTTATTATTAATATAAAGGCTAATAATTAAGCTTTATAGCTTAATTATATATATTTAATAATAATTTTAATTAATCTTATATTTATAATAGGATATTTCTTAATAGTTAAGCTTATAATAATAACTTAAGGTAATCTTAAATATAAGTTAGTAAGTATACTTAGCCCATTTTAAGTATTTTTAAAATATTAAAGGGAATTACTTTTTATTCTTCTTAAGTATTAATTATAATATATTTTCTTTGCTTAAAATATTAAGGTAAGTAATTAAGCTGTTTTAAATTAAGTTTTATTTATATTTCCTTTTTTTATTTATATGCCTTTTAATAAAGTAAATAATGCCTTTTAATTAATGCATCTTTACCTTTTAAACCCTATCTTTTCCCTTATTAAAATTCTTTATAAATTTAGGTTTTAAACTTTCATTATTATTATTAAGTGGGTTACTCTTATTATTTAAGTTATTTAGGTTGGGATCTTAAATTGGCGCATTCTTCCGCTTAATACTTTTATTACTTTATTTATTCTTAATAATCTTGCTTTTTTAATTGGCAAAGCTAGCTAAAATATTAGGATTAGGAGTGGGATTTCCTATAAGCAAAATCTTTTTTGCTTTTTAGTTAAATAATAATGCTGCCTCTTATATATTATTCTCTTTATTTAGGTTCTTATCCTAAAGCTATATAGCTAGGATGTTATTTAGGTTTAGTATTCCCATTATTAACTTTATATATATGTTTTAATCTTTGCATAGCATGCTTTTTAATAACCTTATTTAATGCTTTACCTTATTATTATTAAGATTTATTATTATTATATTTTAATTATAAAGTTAGTTATTAAGATATAAGATAATATTTACGGTTTATTTATTTTAGCCTATTACTTAGCGTTAAAATGCTTATTATTAATTATAGTTATATTTAAAATCTAGATTAATAATTAATTTATAATATCCTGCTATTTCCTTATAATATAGGATTTATATAATATAGTTTAAGTCCCGGCCTTTGCTTTCCTTTTTATTATTATATAAAGTAGCTAGGGGTTGGCCTTATAAGCCATAGGGGCGTATTATGCCGATTTAAATAGTTTTATTTAAAAGCTTATGGGTTATCTTATTTATAAAAACCGCTGCTTAGTTAATATAAAAATTATATTAAGCACTTATGTTTTAAATAATATTAGCGTTTTAGCTTAGTTAAATATAAAACTTAAAAAGCTGGATTAAGGTGGGGGCTTGCTTTTTAAACTTAAGAATTAAAGCTTAATATATGGTAAAAAATAAATATTAATTCTTATAACCTAAAATTAAAAGCAATTAATAACTTACCGGGAATTGCTTAATAAACCTTTTTATTGCATTAAATTATTTATATGCCTGCTTAATTAAAAGGTTAAGCGTTCCTTATAAGCACCCTTTAAACTTCTTTTTTTTTAAAATAATAAACTTAAAGATAAGGAATTTTTAGCTAGTATTCTTTAAATTCTTTTAAATAATTTATTTAAACCTTTTTATTATATTATGGTTTTGCATTTTATAAATAATCTTATTAATTAAGCTTAAATTTATATTATTTATTTTTAACTTTAAATGGCTTGCCTTAACCTTAATTATAAGTTTGGTTTAAATGCATAGTAAATTTAGGTTTGCTATATAGGTAATTTAAGTAAACTTTGCATTTATAAGGAACTTATTTAATAACTTAATTTTAATTATTACCTTTTTTAATGCTGCTTTTTATATTTTTATTGGTTTTAAGTTTTTAAAGGTTTTCTTTAAGCAATAAGTATATTAATATTATTCCTTATCTTTTAGCTTTAAGCGTTTCTTTTTCTTTTAAGCAAAAGTTAAGGCTTAAGTAAACTCTTTTAAGGTTAAAATGGGCTTATAAGCAGGCTTT